TATAAAGCAGATACTTTGAGGGGACATTCATTCATTCCTCCTCACCACTATGAGCTGAATAAAGAGCATGAAATCACTTTGCGACTCTGAGTATATTTCAGCAACCTTATGCAGGTGATGGAAGAATAAAGAAAGAATTGGGAAAAGAAGGGGGAAATCAAAATACGAGGTAGAAAAACATCAGGAGGAGGAGGGAGAGCGGGCAACAGCAGCTGGCAATCCCATCGCCCATTGCACTTGCCCTGGGAGAGAGTTTGGGCTTTGCCAGAGAGTTGGAGTCAGAGAGTCAGAGAGTTGCACAGGGCCTAGCGAGAACACAGAGAGCCAGCACAGGTGTTCCTAGGATTATCTGGGAGAACGCACATAGCGTTCTCTTTGCATGTGTGTGAATTGCATGGTACAGATGTGACCGACGTGCATGCCCTTCTGACAGGAATGCTCAATGGTGCATTGTGGAGGCATGATACAGCCCCACTGCATTTCCCCCTTCCTCTCTGGAAAAATTTGCTTCAGTGCATTTGCTTGGGAAATGCTTGACAACTGCACATTTTGTTATGTTTGCTCCCAAAAAACCCTTTTAGCTGGACACTGAAGTCAGAGGTCTTCACTTACCAAGGGTTATGCAGGGATGGAGAACATGTACACACACACACACAGACACACACACACACAATGCCCAACAGAGGCACATTCAGGGCAGCAGGACCGCATCCCCAACACTGGGCGCTGAGCCTGGGGGTACCACAGGGCCTGGCAACTCTGACATAGTGAATTGAGCAGAACAGAAGGCGAGAGGCAGGGGGACACTGAGTTTTGGTTGTGCACAGGGCGCTGCTGCAATCTGAAAGACCAAAGTCCACTTCTGCCACCAGATGTTGCTGGATTACAATTCCCATCATTCCTGACCGCTGGCCATGCTGGCTGGGGGTGGGGGGAGCTGGGAGTCCAACTACTGAGCTCACCACCCTGGTTTAAGCTGTTTGGGGGCCATTTTGCTACAATATGAGAAAACATGTATAACCCCCAACCCCTCTCAAAGCAAAAGGCTTAACAGGAAGGACCTCATCCCAGGAGCCAAACTGTGCAGAAATAGTAATGTAGATTTCTCTCTGTGGTAGAACCTAAGTGGAGATGGCAGACATAGCAGGCATGATGCAGTTCAGCATCATCTGGAGGAGAGGACCCCACATCTACCCATGTGGAGCCTCCACAGTCAAAGGAAATATACCTCTGAACCCCCAATGCAGCAAACAGTGGGAAAAGATCATGCCTTTCTTGTAAGCTTCCAGAGGCATCTGGCTGGTGGCGGCTGCAAAGAGGCTGGTAGGCAAGATGGGTGTTGCTTGGCTCCAGGAAGGCCAGGTTCAAACTCCAACCCCAGTTCCAGACTGGGGAAGTCTTCTGCACTGTGGTGGGTTCTGGCTTTAGAAGGGCTGTGACCACATGCTGCTGCTTCTTTTATATTTTTATTAAAGATTTTCTTGATTTACAGAAGTATGTGTAATGTCTCTCTCTTGTATTTTTTCCATGTAACATTTTTACAAATCAGTTTCGTTTGTTGAGACATTAGGAAGAAAAGGGGGAGAGGGGTGGAGGGAGGGAAGATGGGTGGGGGTGGGGTCAGGTGGTTTCTATTTTGCTTAATGTATGTAGAGTTTGGTGTCAGCGTTGCTTGTGCAGGTTCTCTGCTGTTCACTTGTGTTCCTTTGGTGGTGAGAGAGGTTGGGGTTGGCCCAGGGTGTGGTTGTTTGTGGTTGGCTGTGGTGGTCTTTGTTTTCATGTGTGAGTGGGGTAGGTGGGTGTTTTGGGTCAGGTTAGCCATATTGATTTGTATGCTGTTGGTGGATTATTGTCATTGTCTTGTTGGGCTGTGTATATGATAAAGGGGAGCCATACCAGGGTAAAGGCGTCTTCTTCTGTTTATCCCTGTGTCAGTTTCAGTTTATTGGTTAATTTTTCTAGTAGGGCTGTTTCTCATACTATTTGGTACCATTGGTCCATGCTTACTCCTGACAGGTCTCTCCAGTGTCTGGCTATGGTGTTTCTGGCTGCTGAAAGTAGGTGGGTTATGAGTTATTTGTGGTGTAAATGGGCATTGTTGTCTTGGAAGATGTATAGTAGGCCCAATTCTGGGGTGATTTCTAATACTTGCTTAGTTATTTTACATATTTCTCGTATGGCTGTTGTCCAGAATAGTTGGATTTTGGGGCACTCCCACCACATGTGGAGGTATGTGCCTGTGGAGGTGCACCCTCTCCAGCATTTTGGTGAGGTTCCTGGGCGTATTAGCGCTCGTTTTCTTGGTGTTAGGTACCACCTGCAGGTGAGTTTCAGAGTGAGTTCTTTTCTTTTCGTTGATATGGATTTAAAGGGGGGTTTATTTTGGAACAAGATGGAGATAAACTGAAATTGCAGAGTTTTGAAAAACTAAAAAACAAAGTGCGAGACTGGCTTCATTATTTTCAAATAATGGAGGCATTTAAACTGGACAAGAAAATTGGCTTCCAGGTGGAAAGATCAAAATTAGAAACTGAACTGTTAGAACCCAAAACTAAGAATTTGTCAAGAATGTATAACTTGCTGCTGAAATGGAACACTCAGGATGAAACGGTAAAATCGGCTATGATTAAATGGGCACAAGACGTTGGACATAACATTATGTTTGCTGACTGGGAACAGTTGTGGACCACAGGTATGAAATTTACGGCATGTAATGCCTTAAGAGAGAATATTATGAAAATGATATACAGGTGGTACATAACCCCAGTCAAGCTTGCAAAAATCTATCATTTGCCTGATAACAAATGTTGGAAATGTAAAGAAACTGAAGGTACATTTTTTCACCTTTGGTGAACGTGCCCAAAGATTAAGGCTTTATGGGAAATGATATATAATGAATTAAAAAAGGTATTCAAATATACCTTCACCAAGAAAACAGAGGCCATTCTCATCGGCAAAGTCCGCCAAATGGTGTTAAAAAAGGATAGAACTTTTTTTATGTATGCAACAACAGCAGCAAGAATACCCATCGCAAAGTATTGGAAGACACAAGAACTTCCCACGCTGGAGGAATGGCAGATGAAACTGATGGACTATATGGAACTGGCGGAAATGACTGGCAGAATCCGTGACCAGGGAGAAGAGTCGGTGGAGGAAGATTGGAAGAAATTCAAAGATTATCTACAGAAACACTGCAAAATTAAAGAATGCTAGAGTGATGTTGGATTGAAAATAAGTGGTTTCCAGCTGTACAGGATTTAAAGATATAGATAGACTAAGATTAAAGATTAGGATTAAAGAAGTTTAAGGAAATGGAAATTTGGTACTTAAGAGGTAAAATTTTAATGCTACATTACATTAAGATTAAAGATTGGGATTAAAAAAGTGGAAAAGAAATTGCTGGACAAACAATTTGGATTGGAATACAAAAGAGGGAGGTTTGAGGAGGTCCAGAAAATAAGTAAATTTAAAAACGGAAATGAAAAGGTGATATTGTTTTTAATTGTTCTGTTTCTTTTTTTGTTTTTTGTCTTCTGTGTTTTTTTTTTCTTTTTTGGATTATGTACTGTGTATTTGTGTATTTCTTATTTATGTTTTTCTGTTTAACTTTTTACTGAAACCTTAATAAAAATCTTTTAAAAAAATAAAAAAAATAAAGGGGGGTTTAGACCATATTCTGGTCCATTGAGTGGGGTTAATCTCATAGCCTATGTCATTCCCCCATTGTTTTTTGATAGCGTCTAGGGGGGTTGTGGGATTTTGGAGTGGTATTTTGTATATTGCGGATACCATCCCTTTACCATGTCCCTTTGTTGTTAGGAGGAGGTTTTCGAAGGTTGTCAGGGGCCTAGTTGCTGCTTATTTTACTGTTGGGTTGTTTAACAGGGCATGTAATTGGTGTTGTGTTAACCAGGGCATTTGGGTGTCTTCTAGTTTGTCTTGTATTTCTTCTGTTGACAAAGGTTTGTTATTTTTATAAAAGTGTATTAGGAGATATAAGCCTTTGGTTTGCCAGGTTTTTATCTGGAGGTTTTGTGCTGCATGGTGGAATAATGGGTGGTACGCCAGGGGGATTAGTGGGGATGGGGTTGGGGATAGTTTGCCTATTTCTGTTTTCCATGCTTTGAGCGTGGTCTGTGTGTACCTGTTAAGTGTTGTGGGAATTTTCTTTAGTTTGTTTGGGAGGAGTGGGTATGCTGTGGTGCAGGTATTTCCAATTGTGTCCCTCTCTAGGTGTACCCATTGTTTTCTCTCATCTTCGAGTATATATGGGATTATATGGCGTATTTGGTTGGCAATGTAATATGCTTCTATGTTGGGGGTTCCCCATCCTCCTTCTGAGGTGGGGAGGTGCAGGTATTTGGGGCTTATTCTTGGTTTTTTATGTGAGAAGATAAAAGAGTGTAGTTTTCTCTGCCAACTGCAGAGTTGGGTTGGGGGAATCCAGACTGGGAGGGTTTGGAATAGGTAGGTTAGTTTTTTTTGGGGGGGGGGTCATTTTGAACATGGTTATTTTGTCTGAGAGAGTGAAATTCATGTTTTTCCATCTCTTTAGGTCTTTGTTAATTTGTCGCCACAGGGGCTTGCAGTTGTGGAGGTACAATTTATTGAGGTTTCTGGTTATTTGTACCCCTAGGTATCTGAACTTGGTGTGGCAAAGTTTTATTTTGGTGACCTTAGTGAGTTCTTTTTGGGTGTGAGGAGGGGTGTTGAAGCACATAGCTTCTGACTTTGTAAAATTTACCTGTAGGCCCGACACCATTGCAAATGTGTTGCGTTCTCTGATTAGGGAGGTTGCTGTGCTTATGGGGTCTGGTGTTGTGACCATTAGGTCATCTGCAAAGAGCCCTCATTTATAGGTTCTGCCTTTTATTTCCACTCTGTTACGGTAAAATCTGGGTGCGGGGCTACTCTGCCACCCAGCTCGTCAGACTAAGTCCGCGGGTCCCTGCGGAAGAAAATGAGCTCAGCCGGAGACAGGAGCAAACTGCAGAAGATCCAAGTTTATTGCGCAACAGGTTCAAGATGAGATTGAACAGCGAGAAAGGGGTGACATGAACTTTTGAAACTTCCCTCCATGTCCCAGAATACAGTGCAAAATACATCACAGTTACATCATGAATACATTAAGGAGAGGTTGGGTTACACAGATTACATCATGAATATATTAAGGAGAGGTTGGGTTACACCGGATTAACATATGGAGGAGGGAGGGGGGAATATGCAGAGCTGGAGATATGCGCAGATAAGCACTTCCTGAGAAGACAATGGTCCATGTATGCATATTCTGTCACCTGGCATTGCCGGAGGAAAGGCTTGGCAGAGTGATTTGACAGGATTAGGGTCTTGACACCTTGGTTGAGGGATTATGGAGGACAGGGGAGGTGTCATGGAGTCCTGGAGAAATTGAGCAAATTGGCACGTTGATTTTCTATGAATTTTATAGATTTTAGTCCCTTTTGACATTGACAATTGGAAATAAATGGATATATTGTAGCGAAGAAGAAGGTGAAGAAGACATGCCCCCCCCCCCTCCGTATCAACTCCTTTGATGTCTGTGGCTGCTCGGATTCGGATTGCTAAGTGTTCCAGAGCCAGTGATCACATGCTTGAAACACTTGTTTGTTTTCAAGCATGGGGAGGAACTTGAGGTTTTAAAACTTTTAATTCCCCTCAGGTGGTTTTGCACCTGCCATGCAATAGACTTCCTCTTTTAACCAACTGTTTGCAAGCTGGAATCTGCTTGTGGTTTTGCAATAAAAAACCCTGTGTGGTTGCAGGGCTGTGAACTGCATGCTTTGTGTGCACTCATTTTATCTCAAGACTGTGAGCAACTTGAGTTCAGCTGCGGTCGAGGTGCTTGACTGAAGCCAGACCCTGGCACAAAGCACAGCTTTGGAGAAGGATCACGCGGACAGACTATATCTATGATTTGTGTCTATTGGAGCTTCCACAAGGGGGCTGTTTTGGGGTATAATTCAGTCACATTCCTGCAAATTCAGGTTGCACCATTAAAGTTGTTGTTGTCAACAACAACAACAACCCCTTTGTCTGTTTGCAGTAAGGAAACTGACATAGAAATGCACTGGAAAGTGTGGGGTAAAGATTGCTTGGTGCAATATCATATAACATTCCCTGAAAAGAAATTGGAAGGAATTCTCATGGAATCTAACTTCCCCACAGACTTTGTGCAAACAAATCCATGGGGTCACGAAGAGTTGGACACGACTAAACGACAAAAATAATTACCATTTCTAGAAGAACCATTAGCACTCAGCTTACTAGTTACTTGAAAAGGCAAATTCAATACTTGCTGCTATGTAATTTATTAAGTTCCTATTACTTTGATCAGAATTGATTTTGACTGAATCGTGAGATGCGGTTATTGGAGTAGTTTGCTGTTACCCCGACACTGTATCTCAAGGGAAACGTTTTAGAAGGGCAGGCACATTGTCATCAGTATAAATCATTAACAACTGCTCCTCTTATTATGAATCTTATTTGTCATTATTGAATTGCTAATTATTAAATTATTAGTCGTCATTACAGTATTAACTTGTCATAAGTTTTTTTTATTTTAGCACTTGCATCAGGAACATAGCTGTCAACTTTCCCTTTTCTTGCAAGGAATCCCATTCGGGATAAGGGAATTTCTCTTTTAAAAAAGGGAAACGTTGACAGCTATGATCAGGAACATAGTTTCCCGCCTTCGCTTACCTCCACACATGTAACATTCTTGTTTTATGCTGTCTTGTTACATTTTGCATTTCTTTCCCAAAGGACAGCTCTGTTGCAGAGGGATCGTAGCCACGCCCCAGACTCGGAAGGGCGCCCAGCTGCGTTCAGTTTGCCAGGTAAGTTAGAGGACCCAGCAGTAAGTCTACAGGGCTTACTTCCGAGTAGACCCGCTTCGGCTCGCGCTGTCCGTCTCCTGCCGGAAAGGCAGCCCAGGTCCCTCCTGTCTCCGCCAACCTGGTGCCCGCCAGATGTGGCGGGGCTGCGGCGGCCAGGGGTCATCCAGCCCGACCCCCGAGTCAGGTGGCCCTCCAAGCTCTGCTCCAAGGAAGGAGCAGAGTCTGCTCAATATTCTTTTAATACACACAATTCAGAGATGCAGTTAAACGGTTTAATATATTTAATCATAAGACCAGCGCAACCCACAAGCAGATGTTCACACGGTTGCTAGAGCTAGAAGAAGAGCGAAGGGGAAGCAGCGCGTGCCGCGCGATGGGACTTGCTCGCGAGTAGGCGCGCCTCCTCCCAGAGCGAACCCGCAAGCGCCTCATCCCGCCAGCCGGACGGGCCCATCTCGCCTTTGCGTCTCTCTATGGCGCAGCGCGGCCCGCCGCTTTCCGGCCCGGCTCGGGCTCCGTCGTGACCGCGGGGAGATGGCTTTACGGCAGCCGTAAGTGAGGGCGTTGGGCGCGCGACGGGAGCTGGCCGTGGCGGCGGAGGGGCTCCGGCTCTGCCCGTGAGAGAGGAGCGGGAGGGGCTGGGCGGGGTGGGGGGTGGAATTGGCGGCGGAGACCCCAGGGGTCATCTAGCCCGCCCGGGGAGACTCCTCCGCGGCGCGGCCCCCTCGGCATCGGGAGGGGCTCTTGCCGGGGCCGCTTCGGGCGGGGGTGGACTCGACGGCCCTGGGAGCCCCTCCCCAGTCCGAGGCTGGGCGGGTGCGAAGGCGACTCCAGGGGACTCTGCAGGCCCAAAGGATAAACTAGGGTGGCATTAGTTTTGAAAAAGGAAGGGGAAACAGTGCTGCAAAAACAGTGTGGCGAACAAAAAACACACCTTCCATGTCCGGGGTGTGTGTTCTTTAAAAAGACATGGTTTTTTAGAGAGGGAGGTGTGATGGGTTGCCCTCCCGGATAGCATGAAATGAGGGCGTTGGGGTGTAACTTGAGTTAGTTTTCAGAGGGAAACGGCCTTGGAGAATTGGTGTAGGTCCCAGGGAGGCTTAAAGGCCTGTCCTTCTGTGTATTAGATTGCAAAACAGCAATCTGCATGAAGATAATTACCACGGCTGCTTGAAGTCACAGTAACTTTAACCTTGTTGCCACACAGATCAAGTGTCTGTCCTTTTTTAAACTAAGGGATTGGTACCTCCGGTATGTAGGACAAGTACCATGGGCCCATTGTTCATCACAATGGTCACCCTGTGTACGGAACCAGTGAGTTGGTCACATGCAAGTGCTCCTGATGAGTAAGGGGCAGATCCTGTGAAACACAGTCGGTGAGACTTCACTCCCTAAAGAGCACCCCTGGGTGGCAGTTTGGAGTGGGAGACCAGCTGGAATTTGAGCAGAGGCAAAGGTTAAGAGGGGGGTGAAGGGAAGGAATGACTGATCTGGCTGGAATTTGATGGAGGCTGAAAGGCTGTGGAAGGAAAGTGGGTGCCTGTCTTGATGAGGAGCCCCCTCACCAGCCCTGTGTATGTTCTCTTTCCTCCCACCTCTAGACTGGCCAGTTCGAGTTGCGAGATGAGGCCGCAGCAGCCGCCTGTTGCCAGCAAGGTCTTTGTCCAGCGGGACTACAGCAGTGGCACCAAATGCCAGTTCCAGACCAAGTTTCCTCCAGAATTGGAGAATCGAGTAAGGGCTCCGTGCTTTCGTCGTCCCTTGCAGTCTGACACAAGTGGGGGAGAGTTGGGTTACACCCAAGTTGACATATCCAAAGTTGATAGAAAGGGTGACTTTTCCACAGTAATGTTCATGATTCCAGTTTAAGTAATAATATAAAAACTGGAACATTCAAATTTATAAAATTAAAGGTGCACAGCAGCTAAAAGCAACCAATACAAACTTAGGTTTTGAAGTTTTGATGAAAATATACAAAGAAAAAGCAGCAATATTAAAAGCTAGGAAAACTAATTTTCCCTTCCTTTGGGAGTCCTAAAAAGCATTCTTATTCTTGTTTGAAACACAGAAGTATTTTTACACACCCATTAACTACACACTTCATTTTTTAAAAAAATTGCCTCAAATTGGACCCACCAATTCCCAGTCAGAGTCTAGGATATCAGCTGTGTATGGTCTTTGGAGGGGTGGCAATCTGCCTTACTGTTTTTGTTTGCTTTCTAAAGTTCTGGCTGGCAATCAGGGACCAGATTTTAAATTAAGTGTGGGTGAAAGGGTCAGCGCTGCTGCCTGTGCCCAGATTTGCTCCTGCTGAATCTTTTTCTGCTCTTTTTGGAAGGATTCCAAGAGAGAGAGGGAGTCAGACAGGCAAAGTCCTATCTCAGGACCAGGGTGATCTACCATCAGCTTTCCTGTGGAGAGGATCCTAGTCCCTTTTTTCTTTTGATTTTTAAATTTTTGTTTTAATTTTACTTGTAAACTAGTTTGGAACGATTGTATCCTGAAAGGCAGGAGAGATAGATAGATAGATAATTGTAACCATATGTAAATAAGTACTAGTGTGAAATCAACATTTCTTTTATTTATGTTATCCCTCAATGCACGTCAGCTACAGATGTGTGCAAAGTCCAAGTGATTGTGCATGGCTGAGGGCATAAACTCCTTATGTCCTTATCCTGGTGACAGTTTACATTTCTGTTACTGGGCGGGGAAGGTATTAAAAAGGCTGTGGCTCAGTATAGAAGGAGGTGCCTGAAGTGTGTGATAAAGGGTTATATCCTTGGAAATAAGCGCTATAGTGAAGTGCTCTGTGAAAAACCCTTGTAGTCCAGTTTTGCCGCTGGCTTTCAATTGCCAATTCCTTTGCCCAAGAACTAAGTGTCATTATACAGTCATACCTCGGGTTATAGATACTTCGGGTTATGTGATTTTGAGTTGTGCACCGCGCCGAACCCGGGAGTACCGGAACGGGTTACTTCCGGGTTTCGGCACATGCTAAATTGCGCTTTGAGCATGCGCAGAAGTGCCGAATTGCGACCTGCGCGTGCGCAGATGCAGCGCTGCAGGTTGCGAACGTGATTCCCGCACGGATTACGTTTGCAACCCGAGTGTCCACTGTATTTGCCTTTTATTTGCAATTACTAGAGACCAACCTTTCATGGGCTGTAAGTTTCTAGTATCAAAATAAACTTGGGCTATCTAGTGAAAACCCAAGATCATGAACATCTTTGTGTTTTCTCGATTGATTGTCACTTCCTGTGTATAAGTTTTGCTGAACTTGTAGATCCAGCTGCACACTCAAGCCCAGGCAGTTAAAAGCAGCTGAGTTGTTCTTGAGTCACGTTATGTATGTGGAAGTTCTCTAGGTTACTTAGTGTGCCTAATGCAACAGTGACATCGTATCTTCTCATTGGATTCTGTTTGTATTCTTGGATGTTGGTTCACATTCTGCATTTGGAGAGTTGCCTAAAAGCCTGCATGCTTAAGGTTAACTTAGCAAAATAGTGCATGGGGATGAAACTTGAAGTTTCAGCAATGGAAAATAAAGAATACAACTCCCTGCTAGACCAGATGTTTTGGGACTACAACTCCCATCATCCCTGACCACTGGTCCTGCTAGCTAGGGATGATGGGATTTGTAGTCCCAAAACATCTGGAGGGCCGAGTTTGCCTATGCCTGGTTTAGATGATCACCCATCACATGTTCCAAACTGAAGCAAGCAAGCAGGGGAAAGTGAAAGGGTGAAGGCGCAACTCTGGAAGACCACCCAATGGTCGTCCCCGGCCCCCATCACGTTAACCTCAAAGTGGCTTTTTCTTCTCAGCACAGTGGACATTGTAGTCTATTCCAACAGTACAGTCATACCTCAAGTTAAATGTGCTTCAGGTTGAGCATTTTCAGGTTATGCTCGGCGGCGACCCGGAAGTAACGAAGTGTGTTACTTCCGGGTTTCGCTGCATGCGCAGACTCTCTAAATGACGTCATGCGCGGAAGCGGCGAATCGCAACCCGTGCACGTGCAGACGCAGGTTGCATTCGCTTCAGGATGTGAACAGGGCTCCGGAATGGATCGCGTTCGCATCCAGAGGTACCACTGTATTGTCCTGATCTTGAAGAGTTGAGGGTGTGGTCATAGAGCAGTGACACGGCAAGGGCACCACCTTCAATGAGCTTAGTTAGGTGAGACTTGAACAGGGGCTCTTAACTTACTACATGTATACAGTTGTACCTCAGAAGTCAAACGGAATCTGTTCCGGAAGACTGTTCAACTTTCAAAACGTTTGAAAACCAAAGTGCGGCTTCTGATTAGGAAGCCACGGAAACCCTGTCAGACGTTTGGCTTCCAAAAATAGTTCGCAAATCAAAACAGTCATTTCCGGGTTTGCTGTGTTCTGGAGCCAGAACGTTTGGGAACTAAGCTGTTCAAAAACCAAGGTACTACTGTACTGTCTTTCCTCCAGAAACTTACAACAGTGTTTTAACCTCACAAGAATCCAAGGAGTCGTCTTAAACTGCAAGAGCATCTTGCCCAAGGCGACCCAATAGCTTAATCCTATGCACATTTCCTTGAAAGTTTGGCTGAGTTGAAATGGGGATACTTACAAATAAGCGTGTGACAGATTGCAGCCTGAGCCTTGGCTTCCTGCAACTAAACGCCAAATGGTACCAGCTCAGAAGTTAAACAAAAGGAGACAGCGACTTAGTCCAGTTTTGATGCTGTCATCCTTAATGGTGGTGATAATAATGAAGCCATTGTCTTCCACAGTGAGATCACTGCCCCTACTGCCATTTGAATTCAGTGCTTCTTTAATTTTGTTTTGTTAGTTGGTTTGTATCCAAAATGGATTTGAAAGAAATTCATTTTCCAAGCCTTTTAGTGGACCTGTGCAGAGATTGTCTGAGGCCTGTTGTGGGAGTCTCCAGTCGGCTGGGAGACATGGGGTGTTCTTCACATGACAGTGTAAGTCCGGCAGGCTCATGTTAGGGGCCCCAGGTCAGCTTAGCCCTCCAGTCGCCAGAGCAAGTATAGCTGGCTGCCCCTCCCCACTGCACAGGCCTGCCAATTAGTACAGTGATACCTTGGGTTACATACGCTTCAGGTTACACACTCCGCTAACCCAGAAATAGTGCTTCAGGTTAAGAACTTTGCTTCAGGATAAGAACAGAAATCGTGCTCTGGCGGCGCAGCAGCAGCAGGAGGCCCCATTAGCTAAAGTGGTCTTCAGGTTAAGAACAGTTTCAGGTTAAGAACGGACCTCCGGAATGAATTAAGTACTTAACCTGAGGTACCACTGTATACTGCATGCAAATACTTTTTAAAGAATGCTGTTTGGGCCTGTATATAAGCTGACGTCTCCACTGGAAAACATTCACCTCTAGAAACAAAGGTTTACCTGTTACTTAGCTATCACTGCAGAGAAAACCATATATGCATTGGAGTTTGCTAAGTGAACCAGGTTGAATGCCTTCTGCTAAATGTGATGCCTTTTTCAGGTCGACAGGCAGCAGTTTGAAGAAACAGTGCGAACTCTAAACAATCTTTATGCAGAAGCAGAGAAGCTTGGGAGCCAATCTTACCTTGAAGGGTGCCTGGCCTGCTTGACTGCCTACACTATATTCTTGTGCATGGAAACACATTATGAAAAGGTACATTGAGTTATTGTGACCTCTGGAAAGGGCAGGGTGCAACATGGGCAAACTGGAGTTGTCAATGGCAGAAAGTAATTCCACAAAAACAGGCACGTTAGTCTCTTGCAGCAATGAAGGCCAGTGGCACCATTCTGTCCCCAGGAATAAACTTTGCTCTCACTTTCTGGTAAGAGTTAAGGGTGCTTGCCTGCCTGCCTTTAACAAAGGAAAGCACTGGGAAACAGCAGAAGTTCCCTCTGCTAGTTGGCTTTCTGGCCCCAGCTGAATTTTCAGGATAGTTTTCATAAATGGGTGGATGCATTTCCCTCCCGTCAATCACTTTCTTGACATTATAAAGGCTATCCAACTGTCTCTTGGCCAGACAGTTCTGAATAAGAGGTGCTTTGCTTTCTCTCCTAAGCCAGCATGACATATATATTTAGTTCTCCAGAGTCCATTTCCTCTCACCATGGTGCTTCTGTTTCTGAGATTATGTAATCTGGATTTGGTGCCTTTGTTACTTGCTTTTTGAGGTTACTCAGAATGCATTTATAATATATTGGCTTTCAAGAAAGGACACTCAAGGTATTTAGATCCAACCACAGTAAATATCCAAGTTGACTTTTAAAGTTTGCTGTGCTTGACTTAGAATAAAAGCACCCTTTCCAAAGACCATAAAAGGTAAAGGGACCCCTGACCGTTAGTTCTAGTCGTGACCGACTCTGGGGGTTGTGGAGCTCATCTCGCTTTATTGGTCAAGGGAGCTGGCGTACAGCTTCCGGGTCATGTGGCCAGCATGACTAAGCTGCTTCTGGCGAACCAGAGCAGCGCACGGAAACGCTGTTTACCTTCCCGCCGGAGCAGTACCTATTTATCTACTTGCACTTTGACGTGCTTTCAAACTGCTAGGTTGGCAGAAGCTGGGACCGAGCAACGGGAGCTCACCCCGTCGTGGGGATTCAAACTGCCGACCTTCTAGACATAGAATAAACACACACTTTCCAAAGACCATACTTGAGTTAAATGCTTTTTTCTGTAAATGAATAATTTACTAATGCTTCAAAAGAGCAATAAATATTGTTGGCAGTTAGTTATTATCTGGATAACCTTGGCCTATGTTTCTTTAAATTTTCAGATTTTTCCACTGGTCCTGGCATTCAGGGTGCATTGAAGCTGTTCAGTTATTTAATAAAACTGCATAGTTGGATCAAGCTGCTTAACATGTTACAGATAAGTTAGGAGGCAAATTTGAAATGCAAAACAATATTTTGTGTTTCTATATGCCATCTATAAGCAGTATAAAATGTACCAGCTAACTAAACAGCAGAGCAAGATGTGGTTGCCTATGCAGCTGGCTATTTATGCAGTACTCGCCCTGATATTCAAAGCACTTTACTTTCATTATCTTGATAATCTGCCCAACAATCTGTAGGGTCAGCCATTGCTGCTGGGACTGAGGCAAGGTACTTCCTTGATCATGAGACTCTGCAAACAGGCCAGCACCACCTTTGTTATCTTTCTTTCTTTCTTTCTTTTGGTTTAATATTTTTATTAATTTTCACACACAAAAACTAAATCATTACTATCAGAGCTGGCTCCAGGTCCCAGCTCACAGAGGACCAACGCTAGCCGGCAGTAATGTACAAAAGTCTTTATTGAAGTACAGTTTCCATTTTCAAGCCGCAGCGCCCCAGCTCTACGTCTAGGGGTTAGATCGGCGAAGCTCCATCTGAGTCTCCGCCCCCTGTACACCAGTTTAAGATTCTAGCCTTACTCCACCTCTTACGTCTCTCCTTTCTCCTCTGGGTCCTGCTACCCCCCGGGGTCCCTTCCTTCCTGGATTCTTCTGACGCTGACCCCCCTGACTCCTCCCCCGCTTTTCGGCGGGCTTTGGGACCTGGCTCCCTATCCGGGCTGCCAACTGCGCCGCCCTCCTGTACATTTGAACTTGGCGCGCGCGCCCAGCCTTCAACCTTCCTCTCGACCGTTTCCTCGCTCCCCGATGGAGGCGTGGCCAATCCTGACTCATGTCCTCCCACTGGCAGTGCGCCGCCTGATCCCGATGCCTGGGACCCCTCCCCCCGACTGCACTCTGGTGTGGACGCTGGTCCTGATTTCCAACTGCTGCTCTCTGAGTCCCCTCTGGCCCCTGCTTCCTGGGGTGTCACCCTCGGCACCCCCTTGCTCTGACCAAGGGAGCCCCTTTCTGTGAATCTTCCGATTCGCTGGAAAGACTCAGAGACCTCGGACCGCTGTCATCGCTAACATTTCCTTCGGACTCCTCCCCTCGCTCTCTATTTCCTCCCTTTCCTGTGCCTCTGCTCCTGAACCCCTGACATCCATCCCCCTCGAAGCCCCCCTTCCCCCTCCCCTCCTTCAGGTGTGGGTACTGGGTGCTCCGTCGTTGTGGGGGTGAGTGCCGGATACAGTTCGTCCCCCGTGGCGTGCATCCAGCCGGATAAGTCCGGCTCGTCCTCCGTGCCTCGCCGACCTCAACTTCCTCTGCTTCCATCTCTTTGCCGCCGTGCTCGAACCCAAGGTCCTCCCCAACACGTCCATGTCCGTCTCTCCCCGGTCTCCTCCGGGGACGTTGCCTGCCAAGGACCCCCCAGCCACTTCCTGCGCCACTGCTCCTCTGGTTGATTGTCCCACCAATAGGAACGGTCTGAGGCAGACCCCGAGGGTGATCCCTCCGGGGAACGTGTTTCTAGTGCCGGTTCCTCGTCCGAGGTGAACCCCTGGAATGTGCTAGCTGAAAATGTGGGTGTGAAAAGCCAGTCGTCGAAATACTCGGCTGGCATGGGCCTGTGTGGGAAAAGGGCATGAAACTCGTCCTGAGAAAAGGTTCGTCCAAGGCATGGTCTGGCACCCAACTGTTGGCGCTGGCCGGGGTACCTTCTCTGGCGAGAAGATATTCTACTCCCTCTTCCCCCCCATCTCGAGTCTAAAATCTCTGTGACTTCGTTGACGGGTTCCCGCCTTGGCGACCCCCTTGTGGGCGTTTCCCTGAACGGGTCTGGTGCCGTTCCTGGCTCCTGAAATCTATGAGGTGCTTTGTAGGGCGTGAGCACTGATCTATGGAAAACTGGGTGCATTCTGGATCCCTCCGGCAGTGTCAACCGGAAGGCCACTGGATTGACCTGTGCCTCGACCTGGTAGGGTCCTAGCTGCTTATGCCCTAGCTTCTTCTTCGCTAACGATCTGGCCGGCACTGCCTGGGCTGCTAACCAAACCCAGTCTCCCACCTGTATGTCTTCCCCAACCCTTCTGTGCTTGTCAGCCTGCAGTTTGTATGCGTGCTTTGCTAGTTCTAACTGCCTCCGGCTGTTCGTGAACCTCCTGCAACTCTGATGCTAAGGCTTCCGCTGCCTGTGGCTCCCCCTCCCCGCTCTCGCTAATCCCGGGAAGGTTCTGGGATGCCTCCCGTTGTTGGCGAAGAACGGTGTCACCCCCGTGGACACGTGCTTCGTGTTGTTGTAGGCGAACTCAGCGAGCGGCAGGTAGTCCACCCATGTTGCCGGCTGCTGATTTGCGTAGCATCGCAGGTACTGCTGCATGATGGCGTTGACTCGCTCCGCTTGTCCGTTCGTCTGCGGGTGTCTCGCCGACGCTAGGTTGATCTTGACGTTCAGGAAACCCATCAGCTTCTGCCAGAAGTTCGAGATGAACTGTCGCCCCGGTCGGACAGGATAGACCGTGGCAGACCGTGAACCCTGAACACGTGGTCTATGAACAGTTTGGCGGTCTGTTCCGCCGTGGCCACCTTCGCGCACGGAATGAAGTGGGCCATTTTGGTGAACATGTCCACCACCACTAGCACTGCCGTCTTGCCCTCGAGCTGGGTAGATCCGTGACAAAGTCCAGGGCCACCCTCTCCCACGGTTCGAGCGGTGTCTGCAGCGGTTCGAGCAGTCCCGCCGGCGGTTTGTGCACTGACTTGGCCCTTTGGCAGGTGTCGCACCTCGAGACGTAATCCGCGACTTACCCCCGCATCTTGGGCCACCAAAAATCTCTGGCTACTAATTCTACCGTCTTCTCTTTGCCAAAGTGCCCGGCGGTGGGTGCGTCGTGCAACTGCTGCAGTACTTTCGCGCGGAGGTCGCCTCCCGGTACGTAGAGGGCCCCTCTGCGGATGAGCAATCCGTCGCGTATCTGGAACTCGTCGTCCTCCGCCGTGCCCCTTTGCACCTCTGCCATCTTTGCTTGCGCGAAGGGGTCCTCCTGCAGTGCTCGACGTACAGCATCCAGGTCCACGGTTGCTGAAGCGCACGCCCACGCTTCGGTGCGAAAATGTGCTTGGCCGCTGCTGGTGCCGCTCCTCGAGGTATTGCGGCTTTCTGGACAGTGCATCCGCCATGATGTTGTTGTCGCCTGGGATGTACTCTATCCTGAAGTCGAAATCCGCAAAGAACTCCGCCCATCGTATGTGCCTCTGGTTCAGGAACCTTGCCGTGCGCCAGTACTCCAGGTTTTTATGGTCCGTGCGGACCTGCACTGTGTGTTTGGCTCCAATGAGGAAGTGCCGCCACGCCTTGAATGCTGCATGAATGGCCAGCAACTCCCTGTCCCAGATGGTGTAGTTCTGCTCTGACTTGCTGAGCTTCCTGGAGTAGAAGGCACACGGTCTCCAGTCCCCATGCGGGTCTTGCTGCAACAGTACTGCTCCCACGGCTCTGTCTGAGGCGTCCGTTTCAACCCTCATCGGTCTGCTGGGATTCACATGCAGTAGCTGCTCTTCGGACGAGAAGAGACGCTTGAGTTTCTGAAAGGACTGCTCCGCTTGCTCCGGCCAGATGTACTTCGTCTTCGTGGAGCGGAGCGTGTCCGTAAGGGCGGCCGTCTGCATCGCGAACCCCTTGATGAACTTGCGGTAAAGTTGGCGAAACCGACAAACCGCTGGACCTCCTTCCGATTGCGCGGGCTCTTCCAGTCCAACACTGAGCGAACCTTGGCGCTGTCCATGGCGAGCCCCTTGTCCGACAACTTGTAGCCCAGGAAATCTACCTCCTTCATGTCGAACTGGCACTTCTCCAGCTTGGCGTACAGCCTGTGCTCCTGCAGTCTCTGCAGAACTTCCTTGACGTCTCCCTCGTGGGTCTCCTCTGATTCTGAAAATATCAGGATGTCGTCCAGGAAGCAGACGCATTTCTTGTAGAGGAGACCCGCCAATACGTGATGCATGAAGGCTTGAAAACAGTGGGAGCCATTTTGTAATCCAAAGGGCATAACTCTGTATTCATAGGTGCCCAGGGGCGTGAACATGGCAGTCTTCCATTCGTCGCCCTCCCGTATGCGAATCAGGTTGTACGCCCTCGCAGATCCAACTTTGTGAAAACGCGTCCTTTCCTCACCGTTGCGAGCAGGTCATCTATCTTGGGCATGGGAAAGGCTGTGGGCTTGGTTTTCGAGTTCAAAATTCTATAGTCCACCACAAGCCTTTTTGGGGGCGTGTCCTTCTTCTTCACAAAGAATACAGGACTGCCCCCCACTGCCTTCGACTCCTGGATGAAACCGCGCTTCAAGTTGAGGTCTATGAACTCCTGAGTTCCTGCAGCTCGCCTTCAGACATGGAATACAGTTTCCCGGTTGGCAGCGCGCCCTGGCAGGAGGTCAATCTTGCAGTCATAGGACCTGTGGGGAGGTAGCTTGTCCGCTTCCTTCTCGCAGAAAACCTCCAAAAACGCTGCGTACTTGAGTGGCACTGCTTGCAGCGTGCCTAATTGTAGCTGCGGGTCATCCTCTTCCCCTTCCGGGCTAGGCAGAATGCAATGTTCCGCACAGTATGAGGAGCCGAAGGTCAGTTGTCGCTGGTACCACGCCAATGCTGGGCTGTGCCTGTGCAGCCAACTCATGCCTAATACTATAGGCGTGTCCGACAGTTGGGTGACATTGAAGCTGATGACTTCTCGGTGATTCCCAATTTGCATCACCATCGGAGGCGTTTGCTGCACCACCTGCCCCCCCAGCAATTCCCTGCCATCCACCGTGACAACTTTCAGAGGCAGCGTGGCTGGCAGGAGTGCTATGTTGTGCTCTTGAATGAAATCCAGTCCTATGAAGTCTGCGTTACTACCAGAGTCAATGGTAATCGGCACTTCCATAGTGAGTCCATTGGGTAGTTGGAGCGATGCTGTGAGCTGCACCACTGGTTTGGGCGGGAGGGGGTCTGTGGGCTGCAAAATCTCTGGGGACGGCTTCATTGACTTGTCTGGCTGGGCCCCAGTGCCTCTTCCTCCAACCAGACTCTGTCGTTTCCCTGCTGTGGTTCTCTGTGCTGAGTTGCGTCTGTTACTGTTGCTGAGGCTGCAGTGTGCTTGTGGAGCCTCTGGGGACACTCTTTCGCCATGTGCTGAGCACTGTCGCAGATGTAGCACTTCCTGTTCCCTCTAGGAGGCTTCGCTTGACTGCTCCCGGTGTTAGGGCTCTGGCTGCTGACTGAGCCCTGGCGCTCCAATCTCCATCGGTTGCTCTCCCTCCTTGCGGAGGTGGGGATTGCACACGCGCTGCATCCTTGGGAAAGAGGGGAGGTGCCTCACTGGCGTACGTCCCCAACGTCCTTCTTCTCTGTTCCATGGACGTTCTTCCAGACGCACCCCAATTTGCAGCGCCCGCCGGACAACCTCCTGAGTGCTCTTTGGTCTCTCCCCCCTTGCAATCTCATCTTTCACATTTGCATTCAAGCCTTCCCAAAAAGGTCTCTGGCTGGGGCAGAATCCTTCTCCCATCCCAGCGCATGGACTAATGCAAAAAGCGGGAATGGTACTGCCTTACACTGGCTCTGCCTTGTTTGAGCCCATGTATGTCTTTTCTGGCGATATCAATGTCTATATTTGATAAAAACACGAATCCATCGCTTTAATGAATGCATCCGCATTTTGGAGCGCCGGATCCTTATCTCTCCACAGATTGCGCAGCCACGCTTTAGCTTCCCCATGCAAATGGGACAAGATAAACCCCACCTTCTCTTGCTCATCTCTAAAGTCTTTATCCAGCAGTTCCAGCGCAAACAGCACGTCTGCTCGGAAGTTAGGGTACTGCTGCAAATTCCCATCGAAATGAGATACCAGGCTGCCTCCTCTTTCCCCAGCCCAATCCCCTCTGATTTGGGTCCCGGTTGCCCCTGCTTAGCAAGCACTTCCAACCTGGCTTGGAGATCCCTGCAGGCGGCAGCCGCTTCCTCTTCCCTTTTCCTGGATGCGAGTACCTCCGCGTTGAGTTGTGTCACTGCATTTTGCAGGGCTGCTAGTTGCTGTTCTGTAGTCATCTTGCCTGACTTTTGTGAGCTCGCGAAGCACCAATCTTCTCCCTCGCTGCGTCCACTCACGTTACGAGGTTTTTGGTGCAAAACTTTAAGAGATGGAGCTTACTGTCAGAGCTGGCTCCAGGTCCCAGCTCACAGAGGACCAACGCTAGCCGGCAGTAATGTACAAAAGTCTTTATTGAAGTACAGTTTCCATTTTCAAGCCGCAGCGCCCCAGCTCTACGTCTAGGGGTTAGATCGGCGAAGCTCCATCTGAGTCTCCGCCCCTGTACACCAGTTTAAGATTCTAGCCTTACTCCACCTCTTACGTCTCTCCTTTCTCCTCTGGGTCCTGCTACCCCCCGGGGTCCCTTCCTTCCTGGATTCTTCTGACGCTGACCCCCTGACTCCTCCCCTCTTTCGGCGGGCTTTGGGACCTGGCTCCCTATCCGGGCTGCCAACTGCGCCGCCCTCCTGTACATTTGAACTTTGCGCGCGCGCCCAGCCTTCAACCTTCCTCTCGACCGTTTCCTCGCTCCCCGATGGAGGCGTGGCCAATCCTGACTCATGTCCTCCCACTGGCAGTGCGCCGCCTGATCCCGATGCCTGGGACCCCTCCCCCCTACTGCACTCTGGTGTGGACGCTGGTCCTGATTTCCACCTGCTGCTCTCTGAGTCCCCTCTGGCCCCTTCTTCCTGGTGGGTCGCGCCCGGCCCCCAGCCTGGTCTGACCAAGGGAGCCCCTTTCTGTGAATCTTCCGATTCGCTGGAAAGACTCAGAGACCTCGGACCGCTGTCATCGCTAACATTTCCTTCGGACTCCTCCCCCTCGCTCTCTATTTCCTCCCTTTCCTGTGCCTCTGCTCCTGAACCCCTGACAATTACATTAAAGAAAAAAAATAAAATGAGACATTTAAAACAACTGTATACACAATCAATATTAAATCCACATTATGGGATTACTTGAATCCCCCGACTTCCTTCCACTCCTTCCCTTGGTTCCTTTGTATTATCTTCATTCATGCATGTCAAAAAAAAAAAATCTTTATCTCTAATAAACTCCAACATTGTCTATAACATTACAAGTGTTTTTAAAAATCCTGCTAACGTATTAACTTGCATACATTGCTTTTGTAAATATGCAATAAACATTTCCCATTCTTTTTTATATTTGTTGTCATCTTGATCGCTTCTTTCCAGTGTTGGGCTAGCAGTATCCGGGCAGCCATTGCTGCATACATGAACAAATTCTTGTATTCTTTACGTAAATCCATTCCTGTAATACCTAATAGGAAAGTTTCTGGTTTTTTAACAAAGGTTATTTTTATTTTTTTCCAATTCATTATATATCATTTCCCAATTTTTAAAATAACTTTACATTGTCACCACATATGAAAAAACGTACCTTCTACTTCTTTACATTTCCAGCACTTACTTTCTCTTGTTTTATACATTTTGGCCAATTTAACCGGTGTTAAATACCACCTATAGATCATGTAATTCTCTTTAAGTAAGGTACAGGCTGTGAATTTTATATCATTCTTCCATAGTCTTTCCCAATCTGTCATCTGAATATTATGTCCCACGTCTTTTACCCACTTTATCGTAACACACTTGACCTCTTCATCCTTAGTTTCCCATTCCAACAAGTTACACATTTTTGATAATAATTTAGTACCACTTTCTATTATTTCTCTCTGGAAATTTGAGATTTCATTGGTGAATCCTTTCTTTTTATCATTTTTGAATACTTCATTTAACTGAAAATATTGTTACCAGTCTGTTACCTTTCCTCTTCTTGAAATTCCTTCAATTTTAATTGGTTATTCATTTCTGTTAACAGCTCTTCATGTTGCCCAATTAGGTTTCATATTTAATTTTTTCATGGATATTGCTTCCAGTGGGGAAAGCCACCATGGTGTTTTTGTTCTAGCAAATCTTTATATTTTTCCCAAACTTTAAAATCGCAATTTTTATTATATGATTCTGGAAGTTTTTATGTACTTTTGCCTTCTGATACCACAAGTACACATGCCATCGAAATTTAGTATCATGTCCTTCTAAAACTAATAAATCTGCATTTTTTTAATATTATCCAATTCCGGATCCAGCATATGCAAGAAGCTTCATAATATAATTTTAAATCTGGTAAGGAGAAGGCACCTCTTTCCTTAAGATCTGTTAATAATTTATATTTTATCCTTGGCTTCTTTCCTCACCAGATAAATACCTTTGAAATATCCTTCTGCCACTCTTTGAAGCAGCTCACATTGCTTATCACTGGGATTGATTGAAACAGAAATAACATTTCCTTTTTTTAAAAAAAATATTTTTTATTAACCGACCAATCAAATCAAATCACATCAGATAAATTCCGAATTACAAAGCCGAATTTTAAATTTTTGTTGGGGGGACCCATATTTCAAGTTCTGAAGGGGGATTCCGATCATCTTCTTGCTGCTGCGTTAATATCCACAAATCTGTCCAAATAATGTTCATAATTCTATCCAGTCTTATCTTGCTGTTTCCACATCTCATCTTGTTCGTATATTTTTCTTTATGATCTCTTCTGATAATCTCCTTAAGCAGGTAAACAATTATAATCCTGTGTGAATTTTTCCGTTCGTCCAATCATCATATCAAGATGGTTTCCATATATCATCATTTTCATAAATAACAGCACTCTTTCCATCATTAATCTCGCAAATCTGTCGCTCTTTAGTCCCTCTGAGGAGGCTTACCCACAATATGAAAACAAATCTTCTACTCTTCCCAGATATAAGTCTTTCGACAGAACTTGCCAAAATGGCGACGTTATTTTTTGCTGCGTCATTCCAAAGCTCTTATGCTTTCCACGATCTTCTTGAAACATGCTTTGGTTAGAAAATTATCTCCACACAGTCTTAAATCCACAGCTTAAGTCATTTAAACGGCATTTGTGACTTGTGGGGGGGGGGATTCTTGGTTAATCACATAGAGAAAAGAAAGGAAAGTTTTTCTCCCTCCCCCATCCAGTCCCGTTGCCAAACATACCGAGCCTTGGTGTGTCTTCTCATGATTTATTCTTGTTCCTCCAACCCGTCTTGTTTCTCAGAGATCTCTTCGGTTAGCAGTCTTTACTCCCCATTCTTCCTTGAAATATGTGCATTAGCTTCCTCCTAATTGTTTCTTTTGAAGCTGCTGCAGCTAGAGGCAACGTCCAGGAGCGCCGAGATCCGCACAAGGGCTTTCTGCCTAGTGCCCCCACCCCCTCAAATTCGGGGGTGGTATAGGGCACAGCAGGCAAGGGCAGTCCCCCACACACACTTGGGGGGGCCGGGAGGCTGTTTACTCCCATCACAGCCTCTTAATTACCTCGTGTGGGTCGGAGAGATGTTATTGTCAGCCATCTTCCGATGCGCCCCAGTGCCCCCCCCCCGAAATAACATTTCCTACAGGCGCTTGTAAAAGGACTTTACTACTTTAAACATGGTTTTGCAAACATAGTTTTGGGAAGCAGATTGGATGCAAATGCTACAGGAACGTTTGTCTCTTCTTTCCCCAAGGTTCTGAAGAAGATTGCCAAGTACATTCAGGAACAGAATGAGAAGATCTATGCCCCACAGGGCATCCTCCTGACGGACCCCATTGAGAGAGGGCTCAGAGTTGTATCTTTTTCTGTGGCTTCCTAACCTTTTGTGCTCTGGTAGCTCTCATATCTGTTTGTGCCTTTGTGAACCAATAAAACAGCCTGTGGCCATTAAACAAACAAATCCTGCTGGGATCAAATTAGTATTTTACTCCAGCTTTTGAGCAAATCTTGTTTTAGCCTTTGTTGTGTAAGCACAGCCCCTTAGCTATCTTCACAATTAGTGTTGGCCTAGGACTTGAGAGATTCGTGCTCCTCACTCAGCCAAAAAGCTCACTAGGTAACCTTGTGCCAGTCACTCAGTCTTGGTCTTAACAGAGTTGTTGTGGGGGGAGTGGGGAAAGAAGCTTGGATGAAAGGGTGGGATATGAATGGAACAAATCCCTTTCTTAGGTGTGGAAATCACTTCATACGTAATGATTGCTACTTCCGTTGAGTTTTCGCTTGATAGCACATGGGGTGAAGCTGGCAGATAGAACCTTTCCATCAGTGCTGGTTTGGGAGGCTGCTCCAAGCAGAAGAGAAGCATCTCTTGCTTCAGTTTCTGCATAATTGTAGTTTGCTATGTGAGGCCTGTTATGTTGACACACCAGGAAGCTTCAGGCGTACAGGCCGGTTTGCCTGGACTCTTCTTAACAGGTGTCAAAGAGTACTGGTTGGGGATCCTTGGAGGTAGGGAACAAGCTTCCTTCTGAGTGTTGCTTATCAGCTATAGCAAAAAGAGCCTTCCAAGAAGTCTTTCCCCCCATTCTGTAGATTTTGCTTCTGACAAGGGCACAGGCAACACGGGCTCTCATTGGGAGGGCAGTAAAGTGCTTTGCAGCCGCCTTTGCCTGTAAGGAGCAGCATGTTGGCATCTCTCCTCCAGAATTCAAAGTGGGGGTGGGGAAGGGTTTATGCTAGTTCATTAATAGTATAACATTTGGAAAGAAAGAATTTGGCTGAGTCAGACTCATTGGCCCATCTAGCACAGCATTGTCTGCACTGGCTGGCAGCAGCTCTCCAGGCTTTGAGGCAGGGGACATTCCCATGGAGACCTTTGAGGACTGAGCCGGGTGTCTTCTGCAGGCAAAGCACTGAGCTGAGGTCCTTCTCGCCCCTTAAGTGGGGGTGGGGCAATATAATATTCAGTACTTCGCTATCTTGATGTTTTTACCCACATGCCTCTTCTGCAGTGTATTTTTTTTAACAGCCCTGCTGTGCAGATTGAAATTACCATTTATGAAGACAGAGGTGTGAATAGTGGGAGATAAATCCTGAGGTCCAAGGTAAGTGTTCACTGTAGATGCTGCTTTGTGATCTGCTTCTCTACAAAAGAAAACCCCACCAAAATAGTTTATTCCCACTGCTCCCACCAAAGAAAATGGTTTCTGCATTTAAAGTTCATGGGAAAAACAACCCTATACTATTGCATTATGATTGTTTCACGTAGCCCTAAATAAGTGAAAATTCTAAAATAATGTTAAACCCCTGGAGAGCTGTTCTAGCAGCAAATGAAGGAACAGAATTGAGAGCCAGTGTGGTGTAGTGGTTAAGAGCGGTAGTCTCATAATCTGGTGAACCGGGTTCGCGTCCCCGCTCCTCCACATGCAGCTGCTGGGTGACCTTGGGCCAGTCACACTTCTCTGAAGTCTCTCAGCCCCACTCACCTCACAGAGTGTTTGTTGTGGGGGAGGAAGGGAAAGGAGAATGTTAGCCGCTTTGAGACTCCTTAAAGGGAGTGAAAGGCGGGTTATCAGACCCAAACTCTTCTTCTTCTTCTTCTAATGATTCTTCTGGAATTATAGAATAATTAGACTTTTTTTATTTAATCTGATTGAGTATTATCTTCTACCTATCACTTTGAAAAGGAGGAATCAAGATTGGTAGGATGTGGAGGAAAGAAAAGGAGAACAGGGAGACTGACAAAACAGTGATAGCTGGTTTGGAGTAATACTGTTGTAGTCACCAAGAAGATAGAGTGCATATGCATATTAAGGTTTTTCTTTGTATGCATGTTGCTTGTTTTCAGGATGCTGGTTCTTGGGTTCTGTCACCTAGTCATCAGTTTTGAATGGAGAGTGAATTTTCCCAACAACCTAGTGGGAAACCAGAATGTAACCAAGCACTGAAGGACAAACAGAAATCCTCAGCCGCTTGGCATGAGGAGGATTTCCTTTTGGACACTTTGTCAGAAATTGCATGTTGCCTTGCAGCTCAGCCCCCCCAGTCCGCCTTGCTGGAGGGTCTGCACGGAGCAGAGGGGTCCTTCCACCTTGCCCTTCAAGACTCCATTGCCAGTTGTGGGGAAGTTTGAGCAAGGGGCACCCCAGTGGGCGAGTGGAAGCTGCCACGGATAGGATCCAGTCAGCAACTCCCCCCGCCCCCCAAGAAGGTGTCTGATAGGTGGACCCCACCACCAGCCCGAGACTGCAAGGGGCCCCTCTGTTTCTGCCCAGGGGTTAGGATTAGCAGCCTGAGTTTCAATGGCTCAGAAATGGACTGATGATAAGTCTGAGATTGAATAATACTTCCAAGAAATGAACCAATCTACATGTTGTAGATGTGGCACACCCACCTGGTACAAAGAAAGATGTTAAGAGATATTTAAGCTGGCTTTAGGACCATTGTTGAATAGCAAGTGACAAGTCTGGTGAATTCACCAACTGGCAATAAAAATGCCATTATCAGGCCAAATAGGTCATTAAAGAGAACACCCTTCAATCTTTCTTGCCAGATAGGTGATTTAGAATGCAAGAATCAATTTTTAGTTGATTGGTCAGTGTCCTCTATCAGCTCCTATGCTGATCAGAAAGAAGTTTCACCCATAAGCATGTGCAATTAAGAGTATTCTAGTTTGATCTATCTTGCCTTAAGTTGTGCATCCTCATTACTTGGGAGAGAAAAGTGGGATGAAAACCAAATTTGGGAGTTGAAATCTACCCTCTTGTGTAGGCAGCAGCATTACTGAAAGTGAAATTCTAGATCTTTTATCCTGTCACAAGAAGGAGTGTACAGTGGTACCTTGGGTTACATACGCTTCAGGTTACAGGCTCAGCTAACCCAGAAATACTACCTCAGGTTAAGAACTTTGCTTCAGGATGAGAACAGAAATTGTGCGGCTGCAGCAGGAGGCCCCATTAGCTAAAGTGATGCTTCAGGTTAAAAACAGACCTCCAGAATGAATTAATTTCTTAACCCGAGGTACCACTGTAGTGCTGATGGAAGTAATTAGTTGAAATTACAAGTGATTTTCCCTATAAATATAAAAAGTTTAACCAGAAGTCATTGTTCAAATGATTAACAAAGTGTAGTTCTGCTTATTGCTGCTGCTGCTCTTGTTTCGAAAGCAATTTCTGTCCAGTCTGTTGTTGGCTTCCCTGGAGGAAAATGTTGGCCCCTGACACCCTTTGGCTGCAGTATGACTGTTGCTGGTGAGCTTAAGAATAGTGCAGCTAGTCCATTGGAAGGTCCTGCTAATCCTTGAACTCTTGAGAGGAAGCTGTCATGTTAGGCTCTTGTTTTCTGTGGCTGTAATACACCCTCTTCCCTCCACGCCGGCTGCGTTTACTGCCACATCTGTTTGGCACCATCCATTAGATATGGCTCATTTGACAGTTGCTAGTGCTTTCCAGAATAGTTGTAGGGATTTTGAGCAATTACATACACAAAGGACCTATGTTATTGGTGTTCAAGCCACTGTGAAATTTCTGAACCTAAGGCACATAGACTGATAGTACATTTCTGAATAGCTTCATTAACTGCAAGTGTGTTTTATTTAGCATGATGATTTGAAGCTCTCCAGTAATGTTGAGGTAGAAAAGGAGCTTTGTAGATTCTCTGGCTGCCAAAATTATCCTTTGGTCACCTTCCTCTTCCAGCCATCTGAGGTTGGCTTCCTGTCCACGGCATTCGTCCAGAATGGTCCACAGCTGTTGAACATACACAGCAAGGATGTCATGGGGACCCTCATGACATAGGCACTCAAACGCCCCTTTGGAAATTGGCGTTTGAGTGCCTGATGCTCATCAGAATGACACAGAGCTGGTACTTTATTTATTTAGTGCAGCGAGGCTCCTCACGGGTTCTCTGCCATGGGAGCATATTCACCCAGTGCTTTTCCAGCTGCACTGGCTCCCGGTGGAGTACAGGGTCAGATTTAAGGTGCTGCTTTTGACCTTTAAAGCCCTTCACGGCCTAGGACCCTCGTAGCTACGGGACCGCCTCTCCTGGTATGCCCCACGGAGAGCCTCAAGGTCCATAAATAGCAACACCCTAGTGGTCCCAGGCCCTAAGGAAGTTAGATTGGCTTCAACCAGAGCCAGGGCCTTCTCAACACTGGCTCCGGCCTGGTGGAACGCTCTGCCTCATGAAACCAGGGCCCTGCAGGATCTGATTTCTTTCCGCAGGGCCTGTAAGACAGAGTTGTTCCGCCTGGCCTTTGGCTTGGAGCCAATTTGATTCCCTCCCTCCCTCTCTTCCTTTTTTCTTTTCCTTCTCCTCCTGCGATGAGGCTACATTTTAATATTTTAATGTTCCATTATTTTAATGTATTTTATTTTTGTTTTTAAGTTGTAATCATTCATCTTGTTTTTATTATTGCTTGTAAGCCGCTCTGAGCCCGGCCTTGGCTGGGGAGGGCGGGGTATAAATAAAAATTATTATTATTATTATTATTATTATTATTATTATTCTTTTATAAATAACCTCCAGCCAATCAGAGTCTGCTGTCACCCAGGCCAGTCAGATGGATTTCACCTGATGCAGGCCACATGTAATAAAACCTTAAAGCAATTGCCCCTCTCTCTCCTCTGTCAGAACCCCTGCTCCACAGGTTTGCAACACTGGTAACAGTACAAGGCTTCAAACCTTTAAAGTCACTGAAAAGTTTACCTTCAAAACACAAACATATCTGAGAGGAAAGTGCATCAATGTTTTGTTTTAATCTGTTTAACTCAGCTCTCTTTCTTCCTAGGTTCCAGCTTTTGTTCCAGAAAGTTCCCATACCTCCTCCATCATAACATCATTCCTTTCTTCTGCCGCCAACCCCATGGTGCCATCTACCACAAAGACTTAACTTCTCAAAATCCTACTCCTTCACAGCAAAATCCCATGGACAGGATAGCATCCATTTTGTGTCATATGGGTAAGCCAAAAGCAATGGCGTCTGCCTGGTAGCTTTAGCTTCCAAGGACCAGTTGAGCAGCCATACGAGTCAGTGGGCACAAGACCAGACTGGAGTCGGCTAAGGGCTGAGTGGCTCCTTTTGCAAGCTCTCGGATTTTGTCAGCTGTTCAGGAAGAAAGCAGGAGTGCGGCATAGGCAGCTGAATCTCCAGAAATGAGGCCCATGTTTGTGAAGTGGCAGCAGGGTGTTTCTCTGCTTGTTCAGAGGAGACTTGGAACAAATACCATCTTGAGTTGAAGCCTCCTGTGGTGGTAACAGCAACAATGCAAAAAGGCTTTCATTTTTAACACTTCACCAAGAGCTAGTGCAGTCTTCGGGACACGAAGTCCTCTGCTTTCACTGTGTCTTTCAAGAGAGGAGAAGGTCAATGGTTTGTTTCGTTCAATGCGTGGAAGTGCGGCAGCCCAAATGTATGCTGTGCCAGTCAGTGTAACCGCCCCCTGCTCTCTCCACCCCTTTTCAAGTGTTGAATATGTGAGCTAGGTAATAATTGGTTTTTGCAGTTTTGTTAGCAGTTAAAAAGTTTTAGGGCAAGCTGGTAACTTGACTAGAAATGGTGTTATGATAGCGCTTCGTTTTAGATCTCTCTCACACAGTGTGCAACTCAGCAGCCTGTAGTACTTCCACTTGCATTCAACATTCCTCTAGCAACACTTACAAAATATATAGAAGATTTTAGTCTTCTGAGTTGATACCTTCTTATGGATCAAGTGTTTTTCTCCGTTCATCCAAGTGAGCCCTTGAGTAGAGGCCAGCAAGAGTCGCTCATCCGCTTGACAGTTGCTGTCGCCTCCCATGTCCAGGAATTCAAGGCTTTGCCAAACGAGACCACCTACAAAACGGATAGAATATTTCACTTCTTGAACGATTCAAAAAGCCAGTAGTGAATCAGGGTCTTTAGGTGGATTATTCTTCAATACCTATTTGCTGGTTTCTTTATCCTTTCCTCTAGAAGTCTGTTTAATATTAAAGTGTACAAAACACCTGTTGTTGTTTTTCTAAACTGTAACAGTGTTCTGCCTTTTGCACCCGTTACAATCAGTTTTGAGAAATATTAATGGATTGGTAACTTTTTTTCTTAAATAAATTTTGTCATTTGCTAGCACTGATCTGAATTTGGGTTTATTTTCTTCCACGAAAGTTAAACCAATGACATTTGGGGGGAATTGAAGATCCCCTCCACTACTCAGCCTGCCCATGGCCTTATTTGTATGTATACATTAACTTGCATGTTAATTTTTGGGGGATCTTTAATGTGAATATTATTGCACACCAAGGAAATCATTGCACTGCACTTATACATCCTCAGTTATTTGGAGGAATTAACAAAAGACAGAATCCCAATGTCAATTCAAATAAAATATTTTTATTTATTTGCAGCCAGAATGGTGTGCAGTGAGTAAAATGCCTTTGCTTCTTGAAGCTCTGGATTGCAGCATTAGAGGATAGAAACATGGCTAATGATTGCAAGAAAATACCTAACCCCATATTGATTGGGCCAATAGCTTACACTTCCCTTTTTTACTATGGTAAAGAGGAGATCGGCTTCCCTCATAACTTAGTACCTTCCAGGTGTTTAGGACAACAACTCACTCTGGATTGTACCTATGGGTCCCTTCCAAACTTGTGATCCTGCATGTGTGAAGTTGGAATCTTTTGAGAGGAAACCATTATTGAACTGATCTCACAGCCTTGTCACACAAAAGTTTGCCCCTACTTAGTTTTTTTTCATTTCAGCTAGCTATTTCAGATGGAAAAAGTTGTTTTGCTTATGCACAATGAGTTGGAATTGGTTTCTGCTTTCCTGCAAATCAGCCAGAGATCTCCCGGTAGATCCCAAGCTATTTTCTGTGCCCCAACCTGTCCTATTGTACAGCAGATTTTCTAGTTCTGACAACACAGCATGAGATGGGAGTTAAGATAAGGTTACCAGATTTTTTTCAATGAATCTAGGGACACTTTAAATAAAATAAATAAATACTATGTTTGGGACATTGATGCTGCAGCAATGGCGGTGGCAGAGGGGCGGCCGCCACCTTGACCTCAACTGCCACGTTTCCCCTTCCTCTGAGGCTTCTATCTCCTTTCTCCATGAGCCTGGGCAGCCCCTGAGTTGTTGGTTCTTCGGTGGTGGTGGGGAATGCAATGGGAAAGGCAAAGGAGGGCCGAAGGCTTGGGCAACGCGATGCCTCTCTTCCCATCGGAGCAGCCCCAATCCCATTCCTGCTTGCACACAAGCTCTGATGGGCAGTGTGAAGCCTCCCTTCCCAGCTGAGTTGCTGGGGTCAGGGAAGGTGGAGGCAGCCCGGAAGGTGCATCTTGGAGCCCCTGCACCAATATCATATGGGGACCTCCGAGCAGCTCCTGAAGCCAGCCAGAGCCAACTGCTCCGGGCTGCTGAGACTGCGTTTCCCGGGGACGTTTGATGAAATCTGGGGACATTCCGGGGATGGAATTTGTCTGGGGACTTATTTGCAAATCCGGGGACTGTCCCCGGGAAACTGGGACATCTGGTAACCCTAAGTTAAAAGGTGCTCCTGGGTGTTCTCTCCCCATCCCGCCCTAGGGCAGTGACTCTTCAACTTATTTCTCTGAGCCACACTTTCAGGATACAAATTTGTTCACCTTTTTGTTTTAATTGATAAACAATACCCAGGAAAACAAAAAGACACCACTCCCAGCTGTCATTTCTAACGCAGAAGCAACTACAGTACTTTAGAATAGGCTCCAGGGACAGCGCTGCTGCTTCATCTCTTCCTGATCCCATGAAGCAAGCCATCCTCTGTCCAGGCTCTCAGCTTCTTATCTGCGGGTGAATTAATTAATTGAGTAATTCATAATACATGTGTCAACGTTTCCTCGGCGGTCCTTGAATCTTCGCGCTCGCCCGGCAGGCTCGGGGCCCCGCTGCCGGGAGGAAAGGCCGGGCGGCGGCGGCGGCGCCTTGAAGAGGCCTCTTCGTCCGGGGCGGGGCGCTCCGGCTTTTCCCGCGCGGCGCCATGGCGGACTCGGGCGAGGAGGTGCTGCTGACCCCGGCGGAGCTGCTCCGGAGCCTGGAGCAGGTGGGAGAGGCGCGGGCGCCTGGGTCCCGGGGGGCGGGGGCGGGCTGACTTTGCCCGCGAGGCCGCTGCGGGGGCCCGGGCGCCGCCGAGGCCGCATTCCCGTCGGGGCGGCGGGCCTCGGCCGAGCGGGGAGTCCCGGCAGACGAGGCTGGCGACCGCCCGGGGAGCCCCTGGCCAAGGGCGGCCTGGATCTCCGCGGCCAAGCGGGCGCCTCTGCGGGAGCCCCGAGCCTCCCCCCTCCGCGGGCTCCCCATCCTTTCGCGAGATTTGCACGGGCAAGAGCCGCAGAGTGCGGAGTCAGCGGGGTGCCCAGTGGTGATGCACCCGAAACGCTCATTGCTTGTATGCTACTAAAGCAACAAAACCCACAAAGTGGTTTAGATAAAACCATGTCCATGAGCATGTGTGTGCGCTTATATATTATATGTTACTTGTTATTTGCTAAAGTTCTATATCCAGAGACCTCAGGGTGGTTCACAGCTCAAAAACGCAAGATAAAACCCCAAAAGACATAAGGAGAAACAAGAACAAAAGCAGAGGAAACCAATGACATCCCCAGCCTCTCCCACAAATCCATTGAAAAGCATGACTTAAATTTGCATCTGTGTGCATAGATAACCATATGCAAATTTGCGCCGCAGTCTTGTAAGGACCTTGAATTCAGGGTGTTATAAAGGAGGCTGGGAAAATTGGTACCACCACCGCAATGCCCATTGGCTGTTTCTGCTCTCCAGGCCTGGATGAATGAGAAGTTTTCCCCTGAGCTGCTGGAGAGCAAGTCAGAAGTGGTGGACTGTGTGGTCGAGCAACTGGAGCACATGGTAATATGTGGGGCGGATGGGAGGGACCTTAACTCTGTTTGTTTGGAAAAAGCCATGCCCAGATGAACGCTTAAGGCAGGCGTGGCTAACCCTTTGAGGGCCGAGGCCACATGGACCCGCAGGCAGGCAGCCAGCCTTCTGGGGGCCACATGTAAAATTGACTTTGGTCAATCTAAAAGACACCCCCATTACATTGTGGGGAAAGGCTGTAGCCCTAAGGCAGAGCATCTTCTTTGCATGCAGAGTCTGGTCCCAGGTTTGGTCCTCAAAGGCATCACAGGTAGGACTGGAGATATTCCCTGTCTGAAACCCTGGAGAGCCATTGTCAGTCCCTGGACACAATACAGACCAAGGCAGTATGCATCAGTGGTTTGAGTCTGTATAAGGCCGGTAAATTCCTTTGGCATTGCAGAATCAGAGCAGGAGGCATGGGAATGGTCAGCAAAAAAAAAAAAGGCCCTTTAAAATGGACAGATATTGGGGGGCTACAATGACCTTTTGGTGGGCATCGGGTTCCTGTATAAAGAAATAATTTACTTTATGCATAGAGAGAGATGTATGTCTCATGCTTGCATAAGTTTTTCAAACGGGGAAGTTAGGTGGGTGGGTGGGTGTACAGCACCAGAAACATTTCTCGTCATAGTGAGGAACCTATGGAAGCAATCGGGTTTGTTTGTTTTTTTAAGAAGTAATTGCAGGCGGCGACAATTTTGCATGCATCCAGTTGGCACACAACTGCCAGCATGTGGGTAGAAGAGGGCAGAACAGGGGCAAGGTGAGTGGCCAATTGCATACTCCGCCGACGCACAGGGGGCCAGGAACGGTGGCCGCCTGTATTACTTTTAAAAAAAAATTGCACAGGGTCAGCACAAAATTTCTATGGCCTCACAGTGGGAAGGCCCATAAGAGCTATTTTTAAAAAATCTTTTTGTAATTGACGCATTACAGGAGGTCTCATGGGGGCCAGTACATAACCTTAGAGGGACTGTACATAACCTTCAGGCTATGGGTTAGCTGCCCTTCCTTAAGGGTGTATGTCTTGATTCACAATCCCCATGTTAGGGAGTCTGTGTCTTACTTTGAAGGAGGCACACTGCATCACACTGTGGTGTGACCAAGGAATGGGAACAGCTGGAGGCTGGGCATCAATTTCTCCCCCTGCATCCTTCCATGTGAGCGAATGTCGCAGCTGCGCAGACGAAAGGGTTTGGCCGACTGTGCCTTCTTCCTCGGTGCAGAACTTCTGATTTTGTGTGTGTGACAGGAGGCGAATCTGAAACGGGCCGAGAGAGGTGATCTCAAGGTCAGCATTCACCGCATGGAGGTCGAGAGGATCCGTTACATCCTCAGCAGCTACCTGCGCTGCCGCCTACGGAAGGTAAGGGCCAGCTGCGTTTTGCTTAGAGGTGCTGCTCTCTGCTCTAAATAGGTGAGTCGCTGTGAGCGTGATTTCCATGCAGAGGTCACATGTCACATCAACTTTCTTTGTGTGTCTTCTGCTACCTGTTGTACAGCTTAGTAAGGTAGAGAATGATCTCCCATATTTTCAGCCAGAATTGGCAAGTGCTTCCAGCCTCCCTTCTCTCTAGAGAGAGACAGACAGAGGGAGTGTGCAGGGAGGCTAAAGGGCCGTGGAGGGCTAGCCTTAGTAACCTCTGATCAACTGCTGCAATATGTTATGCACGGGATAGCCTTTGGAGAATATTTGGAAACCTTTGCTGGTCCTCAGAAGAGGAATCGTGTGTGTGTACAGCAGTAGCAATAAAATGAGGGGCAGAGCTCATGGGGCCTTGCTTGCAAGAGGTCCCAGGTTCCTTCTCTATTATTGCCATGTCCAAGTCTGTTGCAGCATGTAGCCCGCTTAGCAGTTCTTACGCCATTTATTTCCGCTTGCAGATTGAGAAATACTTTCCCCATGTCCTGGAGAAGGAGAAGACTCGGGCAGAGGGGGAGCCAGCCCTCCTATCACCGGAAGAGTTTGCCTTTGCCAAAGAGTGAGTGAGTGGGCCATGGGGAGGCAGGAAGGTGAAAGCAACGGGTGGCTCTCGCCCCTCATTTCTGTGTTCTTAATTTCAGTTGCATTGTGCATCTTCCAGGTGGCCTGGACTAGCTGCCAAAAATTTAACATACAGACACAAAATTAGGGTTGCCAACTGATCAGAAAGAAAGGCTGGCCGGCTCCTGTGCCTTTAACAACAGCATGCTCTATAGTGGCAGGGGGAGGGGGCCACATTCCCTCATGGATGACCTTCCAGTGGTGGGCTGTACCAGCAACAAATGTTGCTGGTACAGCCCACAGCTCATGTGAATACCATTGGCAGAATCCAACCGTACAAAAGCCAAAGCTTTCTACACACCCCATACCCATGTCTCTCAGTCCAGGTCCGCATTGCCGCAGATCCAGCCAGGTAAAAGCATCTGAGGATGCCATGGTGGCTGGTAAGAGTTGGGACTGGGCCGACGGCGGATGGGGCCAGCTAATTCTCACTTGGTCCCCAGACTCCTCCCTGCTGAGTTCTACACGGGCACAAGAGGCTCCCCCCCCCATTGCACCACACCTTTAAGCTGCTGCAATGCCGCTTTAAACAGTCATGGCTTCCCCCAAGCCATAGGTTAAGGGAGCTGAGAGTTGTTTGGAGATTCCCTCCCCTCACAGAGTTTGGGAGGGGCAGAAGGAGGAGACCCCCTGCTTCTTGGCTGCTCCTTGTTCTTGGGATGGCTGCATGCTTGTGCCGCTCTGACGCTTCTCCCTTTCCCAGGAAAAGCCCACGACTGTGACTTTCTTGCAGGTACATGGCAAACATCGAGGCTCATCTCAGAAATGTGGCCTTGAAGCACATGCCTCCCAACCTGCAGAAGGTGGATCTCCTGAAGTCTGGTAAGCAAGGCTGGACTTGGCAGTGGGCCATCCAAATACTCCCCACCACGTGGCTTTGCAGAAGTTAAGAGGCAGGTCCTTGTTCCGAGGGGCTTACAGGGTTGGCAACGTGATGCGCTCCAGCTGTTGTGGGGCTCCAGGTCCCACCATCACTGACCACTGGCCAAGCTGGACTGGGTGGGTGGGGAGTTGGGGATCAGAGCAACGTCTGGAAGTTACCACATGGTCTCTATGCGGTCCTTTATGTACCTTTGCTTTTTCATACCATAAATATACATGCCATCCAAATCTGTTATCTTGCCCTAAGTCTAAAATACCTGCATTTTTCAAAATTATCCATTCCTGAACCAACAGATACAGGACGCTTCATAATATAATTTTAAATCTGGCAGGGCAAAGCCCAGTCTTTCCTTGGTGTCTCTTAACAGTTTATATTTTTTCCTTGGTTTCTTCCCCTGCCATATAAATCTGGAAAGATCTTTTTGCCATTCCTTGAAGTGTCCTGCACCGCTGATCGCAGGTATTGGATGAAATAGAAATAACATTCTTGACAAAACATTCATTTTTATCAGTGATATTCTTCCCCCAAAAGATAAATGCATCCTTCCCCAAATCTCTAGGTTCCTCTTTATTTCTTTCCAAATATTTACACAATTGTATTTATATACAATTGTGTGACGCGGCAGCTAAAAAAGCCAATGCAATTCTGGGCTGCATCAATAGGACTATAGCATCTAGATCAAGGGAAGTAATAGTGCCACTGTATTCTGCTCTGGTCAGACCTCACCTGGAGTACTGTGTCCAGTTCTGGGCACCACAGTTCAAGAAGGACACTGACAAACTGGAACGTGTCCAGAGGAGGGCAACCAAAATGGTCAAAGGCCTGGAAACGATGCCTTATGAGGAACGGCTACGGGAGCTGGGCATGTTTAGCCTGGAGAAGAGGAGGTTAAGGGGTGATATGATAGCCATGTTCAAATATATAAAAGGATGTCACCTAGAGGAGGGAGAAAGGTTGTTTTCTGCTGCTCCAGAGAAGCGGACACGGAGCAATGGATCCAAACTACAAGAAAGAAGATTCCACCTAAACATTAGGAAGAACTTCCTGACAGTAAGAGCTGTTCGACAGTGGAATTTGCTGCCAAGGAGTGTGGTGGAGTCTCCTTCTTTGGAGGTCTTTAAGCAGAGGCTTGACAACCATATGTCAGGAGTGCTCTGATGGTGTTTCCTGCTTGGCAGGGGGTTGGACTCGATGGCCCTTGTGGTCTCTTCCAACTCTATGATTCTATGATTCTATGATTCTATATTCTTCGCTGTATACCATACACCTAAATACTTAGCTTTTTTAGCTATATTTAAATCCGTAGTTTGTTGTAAGTCCTTTTTATATTGCCCTGTCATGTTTTCCACCAAGAGCTTATTTTTATTTAATTTGAAACCTGATACCTGATCAAATTCCAGGATCCTCTCCAAAACCTTTGGTATACTGCTCTTGGTATCTTCTACAGCAATCACAAGGTCATCTGCAAAAGCTTTTAGTTTATATGCTTTTCTTCCTACCTCTTATTGTCTCATCAAATCTTAGGTTTCTCGCCAGGGTTTCTAACACTAAAATAAACAATAACGGTGACAGGGGACACCCTTACCTTGTCCCCTTTGTTATTTTGCATTTTTCAGTTATCACATTATTCACAATCAGCATAGCCTGTTGATCTGAGTAAATTGCTTCAATACCTCTGCTGAATGTCTCCCCAAAGTTCATCATTTCTATTGTCTTCTTCTTAAAAGTCCATGAAATATTATCAAAGGCCTTTTCTGCATCTATAAACATTAATGCTACTTGTTTTTCATTCCTGCCCTCCAGATATTCTATAATGTCAATTATATTCCTTATGTTGTCCTTCATCTGGCGGCCTGGTAAGAAACCGGCCTGATCAATATGAATTAAATCCATTAACCCTTTTCATTCAGTTTGCAAGTATATTGGCAAATAATTTGTAATCATTATTTAATCAAGAAATTGGCCTGTAATTTTTGACTAAAAGTACATCCATATTGTGCATTGGAATCAAAGTAATACAGTAGTATCTCGGGTTAAGAACTTAATTCGTTCCGGAGGTCCGTTTTTAACTTGAAACTGTTCTTAACCTGAGGTACCATTTTAGCTAATGGGGCTTCCCGTTGCCACGCGATTTCTGTTCTCAACCTGAAACAAAGTTCTTAACCCGAGGTACTATTTCTGGGTTAGCAGAGTCTGTAACCTGAAGCGTCTGTAACCCGATGTACCACTGTATAGGCTTCTTTCCAAGACTCTGGTACTTTCCCAATATTTAAAATCTCATTCATTACATCTGCAAGCAGTTGTACCAGAAAGTCTTGTAATTTTTTTATAATACTTTGCAGACAATCCGTCTGGTCCTAGCATTTTACCTATTTTAGCTTATTTAACTGCATCTTGCACCTCCAGCACCATTACTGGCGCATTTTAAAAAATCATTTTTTTCTTTTGCAATTTTTGGTAATTTATTTTGCTTAAATATTCTTCAATTTTCTCTTTATTTTCAGTACCTGCTCTGTATAGATCTGTATAATACCTTACAAATTGCAATCTTATCTTTCAGATTGTCTGCTACTTTCCCCTCTATATTTAATTTGTTTATTAAATTTGCGCCCTGTTTTTACCTTAACTGCCATGCCACTAACTTACCTGGCTTGTTGCCATATTCAAAAATTTTCTGTTTCATCCTTTTTATTTTCTACTCTATCTCCTGATTTATTATCATTGAATCATAGAATCATAGAGTTGGAAGAGACCACAAGGGCCATCGAGTCCAACCCCCTGCCAAGCAGGAAACACCATCAGAGCACTCCTGACATATGGTTGTCAAGCCTCTGCTTAAAGACCTCCAAAGAAGGAGACTCCACCACACTCCTTGGCAGCAAATTCCACTGTCAAACAGCTCTTACTGTCAGGAAGTTCTTCCTAATGTTTAGGTGGAATCTTCTTTCTTGTAGTTTGGATCCATTGCTCCGTGTCCGCTTCTCTGGAGCAGCAGAAAACAACCTTTCTCCCTCCTCTAGGTGACATCCTTTTATATATTTGAACATGGCTATCATATCACCCCTTAACCTCCTCTTCTCCAGGCTAAACATGCCCAGCTCTCTTAGCCGTTCCTCATAAGGCATCGTTTCCAGGCCTTTGACCATTTTGGTTGCCCTCCTCTGGACACGGTCCAGTTTGTCAATGTCCTTCTTGAACTGTGGTGCCCAGAACTGGACACAGTACTCCAGGTGAGGTCTGACCAGAGCAGAATACAGTGGCACTATTACTTCCCTTGATCTAGATGCTATACTCCTATTGATGCAGCCCAGAATTGCATTGGCTTTTTTAGCTGCCGCGTCACACTGTTGGCTCATGTCAAGTTTGTGGTCAACCAAGACTCCTAGATCCTTTTCACATGTACTCCTCTCAAGCCAGGTGTCACCCATCTTGTATTTGTGCCTCTCATTTTTTTTTTGCATTTCTCCCTGTTAAAATTCATCTTGTTTGTTTTTCCCCAGTTCTCTAATCTGTCAAGGTCGTTTTGAAGTGTGATCCTGTTCTCTGGAATATTGTAACGTTTTTATTATTTGTTTTATTGATTCTTTCCCAGTTTTTTTAACCGTTTCTTATTTTTAATCAATTCTTCCAGTATTTCCCTTCTCTAATCTTTTTCTGGTAGGCATTTTGTTGGATAAAATAGCCTCTCATTACAGCTTTATTGGCATCCCAGACCATCTTTATATCTGTTTCTTGATTTAAATTTAATTCAGAATAATCCCTCAGGACTTTTTCTGCTTTTTGTAAAACATTTTGATTATCTAAAAGTCCTTCATTTAATCTCCATCTAAACAGGCAATCTTTTTCTCCTTTTAATTCGAGTATTATTGAATTATGGTCTGAAAGTGTGCTTGGTTGTCTCTCTATTTTTTTGGTTTGTATTGATAATTCTCTAGAGAGCCGTACTGAGTCAATTCTTCCGCTAAACCAATACAGTTCTGAGAAAAATGTAAATTCTCTCTCCAGTGGGTGTTTAAATCTCCAAATACCAATCAAATTAAAGTTATCCACTATTTTAAAGAAACTTAAAATTCCTTTAAAAAATTTATTGGGTTATACATTTTTAAACATCAAAATGTCACATTATATAACAATAATATCATTCCCCAGTTTCCCCCTCCCCCCATATGACTTCCCTCAACTTCCTCTTCTGGTTTATTTTAACGTAATATCTTCTCCTGCTTCTTCTACTCTTTTCTCAACTTTTTGGTATCTTTAAATCATATTCTTATTGTTCTGTTCTCATATCAACGTCATATTTATACTTTTGAATCTGCCATTCTGATTTATGTTATAATTTTATTATTTCTAATTGTTGAATTATGAATCTTGTTGCTTTTGTATCTCTTCTTATTTTTCACCTGTATCCTAGGGAGTTTCCTCCCCTTCTCCTGTCAAGGGCTCCGCTTCTCCTAGTTGTTTTTTAGACTTTCTCCAGAATTTCTCCACTTCCGATGTATCTCTGCACCTTTGTTTCTTACCTTTATACGTAAAAGATACCCCTTCCGGGAATTCCCATCTATTTGGGATGTGATTACTTTTCAAAGCATCTGTCAGGAATTTATAAGGCTTTTGGATATAAGGCTTTTTGGTTGCACTGTAAAGCAATTCATCAAGATCTGCCCCAATATTCCGTCATTCTGATACTCCGTTTCCCAGTCCCCGCTCTGGATGGTGCTGTACTTGTTAGTCACGCTCCTTGAAGTCTCCAGAGAAGTCAATCTGTCTCACTCCCAGATGATGGAGTGAGTCTCCCCTTGGAGGAGTGCTTTGCAGACAATTTTGATGGAGAAGCCTTTCCCTCTCTGTGTGTTTCCTTACAGTACCCAAACCGAATCTGGATTCCTTCGTATTCCTGCGGGTGAAAGAGAGACAGGAGAATATCCTGGTGGAACCAGAGACTGATGAGCAGAGGTAGGAAAGAGACTCCCAAGAATGGAGCTTGCTGAGCTTATCAGTACCCCAAAAAGGAAGGGATGAGCCCAAACACCAGCATCCAAACGATCTCCCCAGAGAAGTTCCCTCCACCAGCCTTTCCCAGCCTGGTGCTTTCCAGATGTTTAAGGCTGCTACTCCCGTCCACCCCAGCAGGACAAACTCCTGTTCAAGCCGTTGTTCCCAAGGAGCCTCCAACAAGGTGCACGACTTCTGAAAAAGAGAAGCCTTTGCACCTGCTTGCTGGGTGTGTCTCTTTGCTTCCTTGCGGCTGATATTCGGCATGTCCCTTTGCCTTTTTGAAATCTCTAGCGGCTTACACAACAGGCAGGATTGTAGCGACTTCTTGGGCTTTGTGCACTGAGGCTGAGCTAAACCACTAAAGGTGTTTGGTTGGCTTCCATCAGCTGCTGTCTTAAATGTTATTTTCTGAACAAGGATGGCTGTTTATGTTTCAGGGTTTTGTTATAGTTGATTTGAGAATTGCAAACTGCTTTGTATGTCCATGGACAGAAAAGCAGGGTAAAAACAACAGATCGTCAGCTTTCTCAGGAGCAGCCCAGTAGGCTTTGGCCGTTGCTCCCCTGCTTCCTTCGTTACACAGCAAATAGTGAAAATGTGGAACTTGCTGCTGCAATATGAAGCAAGGGCCACAAACCTGGATGGCTTTGAAAATGAATGAGCCTTATTCTGTATTCACCCATCTCTCACAGGCTTCTGGCCACAGCAGCTGTCTGTGTTTTTCCTCCACTGCCAGGGGCCGTATGTATCTGAATGCCAATGGAAATGGATTTCTTTAAATATGTCGTGGGTGTTAAGCCTGATTTGTGAGGCTTCCAGTCCTTCTGCTTGGAAAGGCTTGACGGTTTTTGAGAGAGGCTGGGGAACCTGTGGCTCTCTAGATGTTGGCCTACAGTTCCCACCTTATCCCTGGCCAGGCTTAGAGGATGGCGGTTGGAGGCCAACAATATACAGAGCGACATGGGTTCTCCACCCTGTTGTAAGTGTGTGTAAATACTTGCAGATCTTTGACATTTGAAAATATATTTTCACAGTGACCTCAGAGAGAGAGGAGATGGAAATTAGTGCCCTAGTTGAGTTTAATAAATTCCTAGTAACTAGCATGCAAATCAATCCAACATATCTCTAATTAGGAAGAAATTCCTACTATGCTCAAAAGTAAGTGTACATAGGTTTGCAACCTTACCTAACCTTATTATGGTCTGTCTCTTTCAGAGAATATGTGATTGACCTGGATGAAGACTCTCAGCATCTGATCAGATACCAAACCATTGCTCCCCTGGTGGCTTCTGGGGCAGTTCAGCTCATCTAAGCAGCATGCAGCTGCTTGGACATCCTTGCAAATGCTGAAGTGAATATTTATCCCACATCAAAAGGACTGCCTGGTGACCATCTCTATCTAGTTCCTGGTAATTCACCTCCCTTGGCTTGCTGGCATCTGGACGACTCTTGATAAAGTTAAATAGCAACTTGAGATCATGTCAGGGGGAATGTCCCCAGCAGACAGGAAAGAAGGGCTGTTATCCCTGGAAAGAGGATTTTGGAGGTGGGGAAGCTTGACTTCCTAGGCGGTCTGGCTTCAAAAAGAGGCACAGCTGCTGTTCTGTTGCATCTCCAGAAGATGGCAATGTTTCACTGGATCTGTTCTGGGCATTGCTGCCCAGTTCCTGCAGAAGCGGAGAGAACTGTGCCTGCCAAGTGTGCCTGGAAGGAAGGTGTGCCTCCTCCAAGGCGATGACTGGGCCCAGCATCCCTTCCTTTTCAGCTTGACTTCTGCAGTAGCTCCCTGGGTGACGTCAGAAAACACCAGTCGCTTCTTGCAGGGCCAGAAACAACTTTTGAGGACATTAAAGCAGAGCAGCTTGTTCCAGGAGGGCCCATTGTTTCCACCTCTTTCAAGGGCGTTCTCCATCCATCCCTAACCACGCATCAGCGCTGCCCTCGCACTGGGTGTTGGGAAGGGCCATAGGTCAGGGGCAGAGCAGTTGCTTGGCACACAGAGGTCCTGGAAGCAGATTCCTGGTTGGGGAGGTGTCCGCAGGGGCGTTGTTCTTGCCCTCCGTTCAGTGCCTGCCCTCTTTCTAAGCCACTTGGTTCCAGTCAGTGGAGGCAATACTGAGCTAGATCAACGGTCTTTTTGTGTTCTCATTTTGTATTTTTATCTTGTGAAATGTCCTGTGATCTTTGGATAAGGGATGGTATATATACAAATTTAATTAATGATAATAATACTCACCTGATTGTAGGAACATAGGAAGGTGCCTTACTCAGTCCATCTACCTCAGTATTGTCTACACTGACTGGCAGCAGCTTTCTTGGGTTTCAGAACTTAAACTGTGGCAAAGTAGGTGCCACACTGCTCAGCTGTGGGTCCTTCCCACAAAACACCTTCGGGTGCCCTTGCTTCTGATGTTGCCGTGGGGTCAAGTGAGGACGCAGCAAGAAGTTCGAGGCAGCAGAAGCCTTTGGGCAATTGGCTTCCTTGGTGGTCGGCTTGGTTAGCGTGTGGGGAAGGAATGGCCGCTGCAAAGGGGACAGCGCAGGGAATTCTGCGGAGTGGTTTCCCCTGGACTTTCATGGGGCATCGGGAATCCCTCTGACCCAGCATTTGCCGGTCACTGTCCAGGTGGACACTTGGGAGAGGGCGGCGCATGGCCAGCCGCTGTTTTTAGCAGCTTTGTCTCCTGTGTTCACGTCAAGGCTGCTTGCCTGGAGGATTAGCCAGCAGCACGAGGCTAATTAGAGGAAGTGGGGGCCTTGCTCTTCCAGTCCAAGGTCTGCTGGAGGCCAGCAAAGTCCCTTGAGCATAGCAAGCAACCTTCCACAGAGTCGGGGCACTGGCTCATCTAGATCAATATTGTTTGCACTGTCTGGCATTTTGAATGTGGGACTCCCAGCTCTGCTTGAAGTGGCTACGAATGGAGCCCAGGACCTGCATCCAAGACATGAGCTCTACCACAGAAGTAGGGCCCTTTCTCGAAAAACAGCTGATTTGCTGTTGCACGTTCAAGGTGCCACTATTAGTATATGTGGCCCTTAACAAGTTGGCACTGGTTCACCTGCATGATCTCCTTACCCCACAGAACACCCCCCTTGACCACTTGGATCTGCAGCCCTGACACTGTTACAGCAGCCCAAATACCCCTTTTGCATTTGTAAGAAAGATCTCTTTTCGTGTGGCAGCACCCGCACTCCAGAATGCCCTGCATATTGACACCAGGACAGCACCATCTGTCTAAAACTTTCTGGCACCTGCAAGTAACAACTTTGTTCAGACAAGCCTACCCAGGTATGCAGAATGCCACTATGTTTTTTTGTTTTTTGTTTTTAGCTTATCGTTGATTTTAATATTATATATATTAAATACAGTGGAACCTCGAGTTGCGGACATAATCCATCCCGGAGGCATGTCCGCAACTCAAAGCGTTCGCATCCAGAAGTGCTGCGCAATTTAGCGTTTCTGCGCATGCACAAGCAGCAAAACCTGGAAGTAACTGTTCCGGTACTTCTGGGTTGCTGCGGGATGCAACTTGAAAAGACGTAACCTGAAGCAGATGCAACATGAGGTATGACCGTATAATATTACATATATTAAGTAGGAGTTGCTGTAAGGAGGCGTAGAAGGTGCCATCAAACGTCCCCATCTGAGGGACTCTGCTCCCAAAGATGTCCCACAAAGCAGCAGAGGTTTCGGCCCAGAGTTTTCCTTCTAGATTATTATTCTTATTATTTCATTTCTATACCACTTTATGTTTTTAAGAAAAATCTCAAAGTGGTTTACAGCATATTAAACCTCAATAAAACAATGCATAATCAAGTATTTCTGAAGAAAGTCAAATATAAAGTACACAGTCAAAGCAACACAATTAACAGGAAACCAATATACCATCTCAAAGATTTCAAAATAAAACATTACAAAGCAGGTCATACATATTTAACACAACAGAATACATATTTAACATAAAGTTAACAAAAAACAAAACCTTAACCATTTCAAAAGAAAACATTGCTAAGTGAAGTCAAATATAAAATGCACATTTAAAACAGCATAGTTAACAAGAGAATAAAATATTATAAGCATGACACAGCTGTTTGGCAGGCACAAAAAGATGGGGCAGAAGAATCCAACAAGTGGGATTTGTTGCCAAGCATAGTGATGTTCCTCCGGCCTCATGAGGAGCCTCTTCAGTGGGGCTGGTGAGTCTGGGCCCCACCCCCAGGCCAGGTGGAAAGGGCCTTGCAGGGAGCAGCCTTCACGACTCACAGCTGGGCGATGGGATGAGCTCCATCTGCCCTTCTGCAGCACTTGCAAAAACTGCCTTCTTGCCTGTTGGACCCACTCGTGGGTGGAATCTGCACATATAAAAACATTATGAAAATGCTTTTTTTTAAAGCATTTTTGAAAATACATTGAATTTTCTGTAAGGCTCACTATCGCCATCTAGTATCTCATAGTATATTGCACTTAAAACGTTTTGTTTGCAGCTGTATAGCTGAGTCCTTGGTCTCATCTGCTCAATCCCATCAGATCCCCTCACCTGGTTTAGCCAGGCAGTCCAAGCCGTACCCAGCTGTGGCTGCTGTCCCCTTCTGACATGACAGCTTCTAGGAGCCACAGGTGAGAGCTAAGTGCAGGGTGGGAACCAAAGGTGGGCAAACTACTGCTGAAGTAGCAGGATGTGTCCCCCACCAGAAATACTACCCCTCTGCTAACACCCTGTACATCCCAAGCAGTATATAAAATTTCCTAAACAAAGGTGTCCCCCTCTTTTCCAGGCTTTGGCAATGCCATGCTTCATACTAAGGGGGTGGGGGCCTGGGCCCCAAATGCAGCCCTCCAGGGGGTCTACCTGGCCCTCAGGACAGTCCCCAGGCCATGCCTCACTCTAGCCCTGCTCCACACCCTCAAAGGCCTTTGCCCAGCTGATAAGTGTCCTTGAACTGCCACTTTCCTGCCAGGATGGAGAAATGGTGCCACAAACCTCATTTTTGCACAGCTGGTATGTCTGCTGCAGCAAGGTGGGAGCTTACACCTGTTGGCATGGGGCCGCAGGAGGTTGCCTATGGGCAAATAGACTCCCTGGCCTGATAAAGGTTCCCTGACCCTGTGACTCAAGTTTCCAAATAAGGTTGCCACTTTTTTGCATGCGAGGCAAAGGTGGAGGAAAACTTTGTAGGTGAATTCTGAGCTTGCACCCCTCTGTGGCTCTTTGCAGCCGTTGCCTTAAAGTTCACCCCCCCACACACACACACTCCAGATCTTTTAAACAGCCCAGCCTCCATCTGGCCCACAACTTCCTACACTTATCACAGCAAAGCAAACTGCTGGCCATGGGCTGCCTCCTGCTACTTAATTTCATATGAAAATATAAAGCACACAAAAGGCCATGACCTGTTTTTGCACTGTCTCCCATTTTACAGCTAGGGGAAACTGAGGTGGAAAGGGAGCTGTTTGTTGTGTTTATCACATTTACACCCCAGCTTTTTCTCCAGGGTGGCATACCCTGTTCTCTTTGTTTAATCCCCACTGCAATCCAGTGAGGCAGGTTAGACTGGGAGGCAGTGACTGGCCAGAGGCCACACGGTGACCTTTGTGGCCAAGAGTGGGGATCTGAGCCCTGATCTCCCAGGTCCTACTCTGACGCTCTAGTCTAATCCAACTGGCATCCCCTGCAGATTCTGGCCCGCGGACGCTTTTGCCATAATAAACTTGCTTGTATTTGTGGCACTACTCCTTGGCTAGCTGTCGGTCTGTTTTTTTGCTGCGAAACCAGCCTGCCCCTTTGGAAATGTATTGGTGAGTGAGAACCATGGCCTTCGGGAGCAGAGCCTCTCCCTCCCCAGCCCACGATTTGGAGCCTTAGCTGCAAGTTCCTCGCTGCTTATGGAAATACACTCTGCACGTGCTCTGGGGTTTGCTTTTGCATGCAAACCACGTTGTGGGTTGTCTGTTACCTGCCTGGTTGGTTGTAAGCCGCTTTGGGTTGCGCTGGGCAATGCTCACAAGGGGCCTCCGTTGCTCCTCCTCCCCGCCCAGCCAGGCGCACGTGGCAGAGTTGGGTCAGGTGGAGGGGCGTGGCCAGAGCGGTGGGGGCGTGGTCACGCAGGCATCGGCTCCTCCTCCCTTTCCAGCGTCTTCATTCATTTCTTCCTTCCTTCATTTCGGGAGCGCCTCGAGCCCACGACCCGGGACCGTGGCTGCAGGCGGCGCGATGAGCTGCGGAGAGTGAGTGTCGTGGGAACGGGACACGCGCGCAAAGGAAGGGGGAAAGGGGAGCAGTCTGGGGCGCGCCGCTTTTTCAGGCGCTGCAGCCTCTCCCCTTGAGCTCTGCCCATAACTGGGTTCCCATGGAGGCAACTTTTTCCCTTCCTAACGCTGCGGCCCCCAGGGATGCGCTTCGAGGGGGATGCCCGCTTGGCAGCAGGCGGAAAGGCTCCAGTCCAGAACCTGGCAGCTCCCGTTAGGTCTGGAACCGAGCCCTGGAGTGGAGAGGGAAGCCTTTCTGGGAGACGCCTCTGGGCTGACCCGGGGGGGGTGGGATATAAATAAATGTAGTACTACTAACTATCCTAACAGTCTGAAACATCTGGAGGGCGCCAGGTTGGTGAAGGCTGGAACTGAGGCTGCTGAGCCAGATTGGCTGCACTGATATTAATAGCACTTTGTGGTATAAATCGAATTAACTGAATAAATTAAGTAATCATCTCAGTATAAGGCAGCTTCCTCTGGGTCACGGGACTGTCTTTCTACTTCAGTGTAACTTGGGGGTTGAGCCGGCAAGAGGGGAGAATGGGCAACGCTCAAATGCTGGAGGCGTATTGGAGGGGCCCCCTCCAGGTTTTCTTGGTAAAGCCACTCTTAGGAAGAGCCCTCTTGCTTTCGGAGGTGGACATGTGGCCGGTCTGACCATCCAGGTCGGGAGCTGAATTCAATAAAAAAGCATTTGCTCCTTATAAGGGGAGGAGGTGGTAGGATTGGTGATGGGGTCACCAACTTCTCCATGGAACATTGCACCCTGTGTCTTTTAAGGGGACTTGCAGTGTAGATTTTAGCAGGGAGTCAAGCTTATCTCTGTGCTGCAAAGAGCCTCTTCTGAGTTCTGGGCATCAAGAATCTGCTAAAGGCACAAGAGAAGTAGCCCTTTGAAGACAGATAGCACTGGGTTTCCCTTATTTGGCTGCATGCACACCATAAAGTTAAAGCACCCACCCCAAACAATCCTGGGAACTGTATTTGTTGAGAGTGCTGGGAATTATAGCTCTGTGGAAGGTAAACTACAGTTATCAGGATTTGGGTGTGGGTGTGCTTTAAACAGGTGTTGTGCGTGCAGCCTTAGAGACTGACCACTGATTTTGTTGTGATCTTTAGCCATGGTGCAAGTAGGCTTAACAGCTGCAGTCACACTGGTGCCTTGGTGTGATCCCTGCTTGCAAATCCCAGGTTCAAATCCCCGCTCCCTGGTTGGCCTTGGGCTGGCATCTGTCACATAGATAAAACAGCGTGAGGCAGCCCTGATCTTCTGGGACGAAACACAGGGATATAGCCAAAATAGGAAAGTATCTGAGTGGTTGAGTGCCAGCTTGACATGCCAAAGATTCCAGGTTCAATCCTTGACATCTCCACCGAAAAAAATCTAACATGGGTAACTTCCTACTGAAAACCTGTAACTTTGCATACCACAAATATCCAGAGGGTTGTTGTTGTTTGTTGTCCTTCTTTTGTTCTGCTGTAGTACAAGAGTGCCCTTCCAGACAACTAGAATGTGATAACACTGCGGAAGAATTGCAGAACAGATAATAAAGCTGAATGATGTGTGGACAGTCCAGTATAAATCCACCATTGATGTGCTATTATTGCATCAGTGGCATCTTGCAGAAGAAAGCTGCAAATCAACAACAACAAATGTCTGGAAGGGGCCCTGAGTGGTTGCAAACTTGCCTTTCTGCTATTTTGGTACTTGTATATCTTCCTGAAGGCTTTTGTGTACATGCACCAGCCTCCAATCACAGGTATTGGGAGTGAAATGGATGCTCACATTCTCTACTACATCATCTGTGTGGAGTTATCCACCCCGAATATGTATATTAATAATCTCTATGTTGAGGGGGAATAAGTCACGCCAAGTCTTGTGCTGTCTCTGATCCTGGCTAGGTGCTTCCACGTGAGTCCCTAACTCCTTCTCCGGCTTCCAGCCTTTTCCAGGTGTTCAGCACGCGGGCGATGGTGCCCCGAGCCACCTCCGTCGATCGGGCCATGAGGCTTTGCCTGAGCCACACCCCTCCCATTCGCAAGCTGCTGGATTCCTACGAGGAGCTGCGGGGGGGTCTTGGGCACCAGCCTTTGCGCCCTTGCCTGAACAACTGCCTGGAAGGCGAGAGGCGAGACGCCATCAAGGGTTGCCGTGGCAAGAAAAAGAAGAAGGTGGTCTTTGCTGACATGAAGGGCTTTTCACTCACGGCTGTCCGGATCTTCTCCAAGATTGAGGAGGACCTGTGTGATTTGCACCAAGCTCTGTCTCACCTGACCAACTTCCGGAACAAGCTACGTGGCTCCCGTCCTGAGACGAAAAAATACATGCTGGATTTTCCCCAACCTTCTGCTGATTATTTAGCCTTTCACAACCGCTTGCAAAGCAGCTATGTGTCTCTGGAGAACTGTGTGATCCAGGAGAAGTCCCTTTCAGGGACCATCAAAGTCAGAAACATCAGCTTTGAGAAGAAAGTGTACATCCGCATCACCTTTGATTCATGGAGGAGCTTCCGCGATGTCTGTTGCCAGTACATGCCCAACACATACGGCCTCACTGACACGGATGTCTTCTCCTTTGAGGTGGCCCTACCAAAGGCACCAGCTCCTTGCGGGAATATTGAGTTCTGTGTTTCCTTCCACTGTGGCCAGAAAGTCTATTGGGACAACAACCACGGGAAGAATTACAGAATCCGCCCCGTAATGCGTCCTTCCCCTCCCAATGCACTCTCCTGTCTGGCAAAGGGCACCTTCACGGCTGGCGAGCCCCTGGGCACCTCTCGTGCTGCCGCTCTGGTCCTCTCTCGCTTGCACACCTGGAGGCGCTCCGATGACCAAGCCTACTGGTAGGGATGCTTTGGATTGAGCTCTCTCGGCTGAGCTCCAGATCATGACTCTGACCCATTGCTCTCCTGGCGGCTCTTGCAAAGATTGTTCTGTGGCCGATGCCACATGCCACACTTTGGCAGTGTGCAATTTGATCTTCATTTGCAACCAAGCCATAAGCTCTTGAGGTTCATGGCAGAATTGGGGTTGGCTGCACCAGAGAGACTTTGACGGCCAGAAGCTGGCCAAATCGGAGGTGCAGGTCAAGGAGAAAGCAGGCTCTCCCAATTATTCCACTGCAGATGGGAAATGGACGGTTATCGGGGAGGAGGCTTGCCTGGTTTCATCAGCATGGATTAGAAAAACTGCCTAGGACCGTCATAGCGCCATATTGGTTCTTCGCCCTGCAGGCCATTCTTAGATCAGGGGTGCAACAAAATGTCCCAATTTCTACATACCCACATACAACCCTCTCTGTTGTCCATCCATTGTCATTGCTGCCCTGGGCTCCTTTGGGAGCAAGGGCGGAATGTAAATTTAATAAATTATTATTAATAATATCAAGCAAGTTCAAGGACACATTCCAGCCAGGCAACAACCCTCAAAGACGGCCAATAGTGGGTGGGGAGAGGGGTTCTGACCTGCAGAGAATCCTGAAGGTCAGAATGAGAGGCTGGGAAGGTCATGTTTTGGCCCTGGTCCAGAGATTCTTTGCCCCTGACTTCTGTCTGCCTCTCTCTCACACACACAGACAACCCTGACTCCCCATATTGCAATAAAGGTACTGACCTACCTGACCGGGTGGTTGTAAGGATTATGACGTGAAGAGCTTTGCACGTCTAATATCTCCAACCCTACATGCACCTGCCAGAGAGTAAGTCCCTTTGGCAGGACTGACATCAGGAGTAAATGTGCATAGGATTTTGTGCTGCACAATGCTGATGTAAATGTCAAATTGTTCATTAAATATTGTTCCTGTGTAGACCCTGAGTGATGCTGCCGGTCTGGCGACTGCAACCCATCTCCTTTTCCCTTGAAGTGAGCAATGGTTTAGGAGGTGCTTCTAAGCCGTCCTGGGAAGGTGTGCCTTGCTCTCCATATGACCCTGGCTGGATTTGAGCCCCAGTGGCTGGAACTGCAGCTGAAAGCCCACAAACTGGGGGGGGGGGTAACCAGGTGTGATGGCAGCAGGTCTCTGTGTTACAACCTGTGTCTTCTGAGAAAGTGGGGGGCAGGAAAGTGGTGTAGGCAAAGGAGCAGTGGCCGAGAAAGGGGTGCTGAGCCCTTCCCCTGCTTGCTGCAAGCACTGGTGCCAGCGGTCAGTACCAAGCAGGGGCCACACTGCCAATCTCAGAAGCCTCCTCCCTTGCTTCTCCTCTTTACCTGCCTTAACCCAGGGAGTGAGCAGCTATGGCAGAGGGGAGGAGAAAGCATGGGAAACATCTGTGTGGCTTTGCCTTTCTCCTCCTCTCTGAGAGGAGAAGCTGACTGGATCCAGAGGGAAGGATCCCAGCTCGGTGATAACAGCATCTGCTCCAGGTTAAACCCCTGCCATACCCTGGTGCAGCTGGGAAGTGGCTCCTGCCTGCAACCCTGGGAAGCTGCTACCAGTCATTGTAGACCAGTGCTTCCCAAACGTGGGTCTCCAGCCTCTTTTTGGACTGCAACTCCCATCATCCCTAGCTAGAAGACCATTGGTCAGGGATGATGGGAATTGTCCAAAAGCAGCTGGTGACCCAAGTTTGGGAAACACTGTATGTAGACAATAACAAGCTAGATGGACCACTGAGTTATCTATGCCCCTTCTAAAAAAAAAGCCAATGCAATTCTGGGCTGCATCAATATGAGTATAGCATCTAGATCAAGGGAAGTAATAGTGCCACTGTATTCTGCTCTGGTCAGACCTCACCTGGAGTACTGTGTCCAGTTCTGGGCACCACAGTTCAAGAAGGACACTGACAAACTGGAACGTGTCCAGAGGAGGGCAACCAAAAGGTCAAAGGCCTGGAAACAATGCCTTATGAGGAACGGCTAAGGGAGCTGGGCATGTTTAGCTTGGAGAAGAGGAGGTTAAGGGGTGATATGATAGCCATGTTCAAATATATAAAAGGATGTCACATAGAGGAGGGAGAAAGGTTGTTTTCTGCTGCTCCAGTGGACACGGAGCAATGGATCCAAACTACAAGAAAGAAGATTCCACCTAAACATTAGGAAGAACTTCTTGACAGTAAGAGCTGTTCGACAGTGGAATTTGCTGCCAAGGAGTGTGGTGGAGTCTCCTTCTTTGGAGGTCTTTAAGCAGAGGCTTGACAACCATATGTCAGGAGTGCTCTGATGGTGTTTCCTGCTTGGCAGGGGGTTGGACTCGATGGCCCTTGTGGTCTCTTCCAACTCTATGATTCTATGATTCTGCAAGGAAGCCCTCGAGCAAGGCAGAAGGCAAAATCCTCTGTACCTGCTATGATCCTGTCACCTCTGCTGAACTACTCTCCTTACCTTATGGTGCCACTATTATGACCTCCCTAGTGGTGCAGCAATAAAGCTGCTAGCTAAGCAAGGTCCAGTATGGTTTTGCATTGGATGGGGGGCCATGTGTTGAGATTCTTGCATTGCCGGGGTCCCTTCCAACTCTACAATTCCAGGGTTCTGACTTGTCTGTGAGGAAAGGGTACATTTCATAGAATCATAGAATCATAGAGTTGGAAGAGACCACAAGGGCCATCGAGTCCAACCCCCTGCCAAGCAGGAAACACCATCAGAGCACTCCTGACATATGGTTGTCAAGCCTCTGCTTAAAGACCTCCAAAGAAGGAGACTCCACCACACTCCTTGGCAGCAAATTCCACTGTCGAACAGCTCTTACTGTCAGGAAGTTCTTCCTAATGTTTACGTGGAATCTTCTTTCTTGTAGTTTGGATCCATTGCTCCGTGCCCGCTTCTCTGGAGCAGCAGAAAACAACCTTTCTCCCTCCTCTATGTGACATCCTTTTCTATATTTGAACATGGCTATCATATCACCCCTTAACCTCCTCTTCTCCAGGCTAAACATGCCCAGCTCTCTTAGCCGTTCCTCATAAGGCATCGTTTCCAGGCCTTTGACCATTTTGGTTGCCCTCCTCTGGACACGTTCCAGTTTCTCAGTGTCCTTCTTGAACTGTGGTGCCCAGAACTGGACACAGTACTCCAGGTGAGGTCTGACCAGAGCAGAATACAGTGGCACTATTACTTTCCTTGATCTAGATGCTATACTCCTATTGATGCAGCCCAGAATTGCATTGGCTTTTTTAGCTGCCGCGTCACACTGTTGGCTCATGTCAAGTTTGTGGTCAACCAAGACTCCTAGATCCTTTTCACATGTACTGCTCTCAAGCCAGGTGTCCCCCATCTTGTATTTGTGCCTCTCATTTTTTTGCCCAAGTGCAATACTTTACATTTCTCCCTGTTAAAATTCATCTTGTTTGTTTTGGCCCAGTTCTCTAATCTGTCAAGGTCGTTTTGAAGTGTGATCCTGTCCTCTGGGGTGTTAGCCACCCCTCCCAATTTGGTGTCATCTGCAAATTTGATCAGGATGCCCTTGAGTCCATCATCCAAGTCGTTGATAAAGATGTTGAATAAGACCGGGCCCAAGACAGAACCCTGTGGCACCCCACTAGTCACTCTTCTCCAGGATGAAGAGGAACCATTGATGAGCACCCTTTGGGTTCGGTCAGTCAGCCAGTTACAAATCCACTGAGTGGTAGCATAGTCAAGACCACATTTTACCAGCTTCTTTACAAGAATATCATGAGGCACCTTGTCAAATGCCTTGCTGAAATCAAGGTAGGCTACATCCACTGCGTTCCCTTCATCTACCAGGCTTGTAATTCTGTCAAAAACGAGATCAGGTTAGTCTGACATGACTTATTTTTCAGAAATCCATGCTGACTATTGGTGATCACAGCATTCCTTTCTAGGTGCTCACAGACTGTTTGCTTAATGATCTGCTCCAGAATCTTCCCTGGTATTGATGTCAGACTGACTGGGCGGTAATTATTTGGGTCCTCTCTTTTCCCCTTTTTGAAAATAGGGACAACATTTGCCCTCCTCCAGTCTGCCGGGATTTCGCCTGTTCTCCAGGAATTCTCAAAGATGACTGCCAGTGGTTCTGAGATCACATCTGCCAATTCTTTTAATACTCTTGGATGCAGTTCATCTGGCCCTGGAGACTTGAATACATCTAAACTAGCCAAGTATTCTTGTACTATCTCCTTAGTTATTCTGGGCTGTGTTTCCTTTGCTGAATCATTTGCTTCAAATTCTTCAGGTCAGGCATTGTTTTCTTTATTGGAGAAGACTGAGGCAAAGAAGGCATTGAGGAGTTCAGCTCTTTCTGTGTCCCCTGTTTGCATTTCACCATCTTCTCCTCTGAGTGACCCCACTGTTTCTTTGTTCTTCCTTTTGCTACGGACATACCCATAAAAGCCTTTTTGTTGCTTTTAGCCTCTCTAGCAAGCCTGAGTTCATTCTGTGCTTTAGCTTTTCTGACTTTGTGTCTACACGTGCTGGCTATTTGTTTGAATTCCTCTTTGGTGGTTTCCCCCTTTTCCATTTTTGTACACATCCTTTTTAATCTTAACTCAGTTAAAAGTTCTTTAGATAGCCACCCTGGCTTCTTTAGGCACCTTCCATGTTTCCGTCTCATTGGTATTGCCTGACGTTGTGCTTTTACTATCTCCCTCTTAACAAACTCCCAGCCATCATGAACTCCCTTTCCTTTTAGTATTACTGTCCATGGGATCTCACCCAGCACTTCCCTAAGTTTTATGAAGTCAGCTTTCTTAAAGTCAAGAAATTGAGTCCTAGTATGCTTGGCTGCTCCTTTCCACTGTATAGTAAACTTCAGAAGAGCATGATCACTCGCGCCTAATGATCCTTCCACTTCTACCCCACTAACCAGGTCATCAACATTGGTTAGGACCAGATCTAAAATGGCTGTTCCTCTTGTTGCTTCTCCCACTTTCTGGACAATGAAGTTGTCTGCAAGGCCAGTGAGGAATCTGTTTGACCTTATGCTCTTGGCTGAGTTTGACATCCAACAAATATCCGGGTAATTGAAGTCCCCCATTACTACTATCTCCCTTCCTTTTGCATGCTTGGCCATCTGTTCCAGGAAGGCATCATCTATGTCCTCCGTTTGGCTTGGGGATCTATAGTAAACTCCCACAATGAGGTCACTGTTATTCTTTTCTCCTTAATTTTGACCCAAATGCTCTCACTTTGGCTTTGAGGTTCTAAATCTTGGATCTCTTCACAGGTATACACATCCCTGACATATAACGCCACTCCTCCTCCTTTCTTGTCTGGTCTGTTTCTCCGAAATAGATTGTATTCCCCCATTATTACATTCCAATCGTGGGACTTATCCCACCAGGTTTCAGTGATGCCTATTATGTCATATTTAGTTTGCTGTACCAAGAGCTCAAGCTCATCTTGTTTATTTCCCATGCTTTGCGCATTAGTGTACAGACATTGAAGTCCATTAATCATTCCCGGTGTCTCTTATTTAAGGATTTTTTCCTCCCACCACTAGGTCTGTGTGCTGTTTGCTCCATTTGGTCTATGACATATGGATGATCATCTTCATCAATTGATAGACTCCTACCTTCAGGAGCACTGTCTCCCTCCCCCACATTAGTCAGTTTAAAGCCCTCCTGATGAGGTTTCTGAGATTTTTGGCAAAAACATTTCTCCCAACCGTTGTGAGGTGCAGCCCATCGCTTGCCAGAAGTCCATCTTCAAGAAACTGCAGTCCGTGATCTAAGAATCCAAACCGTTCCTGTTTACACCATTTGCGAAGCCAGCTGTTCACTTCCACTATTTTCCCTCTCTCCCTGGGCCACGTCGTTCAACTGGGAGGACAGATGAGATCACAATTTGTGCATTTAATTGCTTCAATTTCCTGCCCAGAGCCTCGTAGTCTCTTTTGATCTTCTGGAGGCTATTGCTTGCAGTGTCATTGGTTCCCACATGAACCAAGAGGAAGGGGTATTTGTCAGTGGGTTTTATGATTCCTTGCAGTCGTTCAGTTACATCTTGGATCTTAGCCCCGGGAGACAGCACACTTCCCGAGACATCTTGTCAGGCCCACAGATCACTGCTTCTGTTCCCCTCAGTAGGGAATCCCCTATCACCACTACACGCCTCCTCTTAGGTTTGGTCGGGGTTCTTCCGTGAGCTGTCCGCTCCAAGGTCGCCTGCACATTCCCTGAGGACTGACTTTGCTGCTCGTCTTCATATACCTGATCGACTGTAATGAGTGAGAGATCCTCAAATGGAGTCTGCTCTTCGTCTTCCATGCTAGGGGAGAGGACCTCAAAGCGATTGTGTATTTCTAAACAATCAGAGCGAACCCTGGGCCTCCTACTTCTTTGAGTCACGTTTCTCCATATATCTGGCTCCTGCGTTGGTGAACTAGCGTCCTTCTCAGGGGAGTCCCCTGTCTCCTCCTTGGTGGAGACGGTGTGCTCTGTTGCTTCCAAGAAGAGCTCCAGCTCTCTAATTCTTTGGAGCGTAGCTACACGTTCCTCCAGTTGCTGGACTTTGTCTTTTAAGAGGGCAATCAACATGCAATTGCTGCAGGTAAAGCTGCCTGCAACCTTTGGCAAGATGGCAAACATTGCGCAGGAACCGCAGGCGACTGCAGCTGTTCCCTCCCCCTCCATCTTGAGAACGTGTCGTTGGGGGTGGCTACAGCGGTCCTCCATCATAAAAAGCGTGAAGACAGGAAAAATAACTCCCCCCACAAAAAAACCTAGGTCTCCCCCAACAAACGTTTAAGACTAGCTCCCCTAAATCACCTGCCTCCACAGAAACCCTACCCCCTCTGACCTTTGCACAGGGAGAGCAGCCAATCAGCCACAAAGAAACACACACACACAAGAAAACCCTTTTTGCTCCTTCTTCAACTGCTGCCCTGCAAGCTCTGATAAGCTCCTCCCACAGCTAATCACCTGCCTCCACAGAAACCCTGCCCCCTCTGACCTTTGCACAGGGAGAGCAGCCAATCAGCCACAAAGAAGCACACACACACACACACAAGAAAACCCTTTTTGCTCCTTCTTCAACTGCTGCCCTGCAAGCTCATTTGTGGCTGTTTAGTTGAGAAACAAGGCAAGCAAGGGGGGACATATAGAGAGAGAGAGAGAGAGAGAGAGAGAGAGAGAGAGATTTAAATCTTTCATATCCCACTCTTCCAGCCCAAAAGTTCCCAGTGGCTCAAGGATTATCATTTCATAGAATTGCAAAGAGTGGGTTTTCACAGGGAAAGCACAGAGGCAAAAAAAAAAAACAAAAACCAAAGCACTCTGACAGGGAGCTTTAAAGCACATACCTGTGCCTAGAAACACAGCACAAGAGAAAGTCGGAATAAGCCATCCCTCTCTGATTTGGCATTTATTCGTGGTGCTTAGAAAGAAGTCGTCCATCCCTCTCTCGCTTTACTAGAACCTGGGATCATCCAGGCAGGCTCTGTGCTAAACATGTTCTCTGTAGGTGACTGCATAAGGCAAGTTGGCGAATGCTGGCAAAAGGAACTTTCCAAAACGATGAGGCTGTTTCAGACTCTTGCTCTTTTGTGGGTGGGCTTCTCTTGCGCACCAACAAGTTCAGGTTGTGCAACTGCAGTTGAGTTGGAGTTCTTGCGCAGCAAACCCACTCCCTGCAGCCATAGATTTTTGTGCTAAGAAAAGTGTTGGGGACATGCACTGGAAGGTATAGATGTGATATCTCCCCACAAACAAATCAGAATGATTGCTCCCTAAACAGCATACATTGTACAACCTCCCCACAGATTTGTGGAAGCAAATCAGGATGAATGCTCAATAAACAGGTTGGCAGTGACCAGAGTCTCTTTCCAGATTTTGTATGCCCTTCTTAGCTCTTTCATCTTAAGCTGGCCATTAATCTGGTTCAAGAAACCTGGATTTCCTGTGCCTGCGTCATGGAACTCAAATCCTTTTCGTTCCTGTGTCCTCTGCCGCTGTGATTAGCGGGTGACATGATGGGGAAAGTGGCAAACCAGAACTGACATCTGCATTCCCCTAAGCCAAGAGAGGCCGTTTAGAAGGAAAGCCTTTCTTGCAGAGGAGATTTTGTCTCTGCAGCTGCTCCTGGAAGCAAGCGTGGTCCTTTCCACAGCAGGTGGAGTTGGGACCACTGCAGTGGGCATCTACAAACAGCAGCATCTGCTGCCTCCATGCCAGAGATGCTGGTGAATCGACTTGGGAGCTTACCTTCTGCATGAAAAGCAGGTCCTGTACCACTGAGCTATGCCCCTAGTTTAGAAGAACATACAGGCATTTCATGCCTTGGAAGCAGGGGCTCTACAACAGAGGTACACAGGAAAGTCCAGTCTGCACATGCTGCAGAATGAGTTGGCAGACTAAGCAGAGTCAGTTCAATGTGTTTCTTAAACTTTCCCTGTGTAAAGACAAAACAAATCAGGCCTCCCTGCAATTAGTAAAGTAGTACATCAGAGAGAGAGAGAGAGAGAGAGAGAGAGAGAGCGAGCACATAATATAAGCCACTTCTTGATGTGCTATTTTTCTACATGCAAGGAATTTTGTACCAGATGAATACATAGTACAATTTTAACTTGGCGATAACCACAGAGTAAAAGGTCTGGCCCAAGCTGAGGTGGATTCTTTAACAGAAAGTCTGCCAAAGAAATAGAAAGGCAGTTTAAACAGATTTAGGAGAAAAAACTGACACCTTTTAATTTGGCGTCATTGAATGTATGCAATTTGTGCTTTTTTTCTTTAAAAAAATGTTTAGGGTTACTCTCATTTTGACTCAAAGCTACCAGCATGAGTTTGACCAAACTGCGGGAGGCAGTGGAAGACAGGAGTGCCTGGCATGCTCTGGTCCAGGGGGTCACAAAGAGTCGGACACGACTGAATGACTAAACAACAAAAACAACAACATTTTGACTCAAGAAAATCACCATTTTATAGTTCAAATCAGGAAAAATAGAATCATAGAATCATAGAATAAATACAGTAAATGGACAAAAGTACAAAGATTCACGAAATGTTTGGGCGTTATGCGTACCCCTGCGTCCCCCCAGAAAAAAAGCACTGAAGCACATTATGACATATCTCAGGTAATGAGGTTTTTTCTTTTTCTTTTAAGACCACTATAGGCAGTATCTAAGTTCTATTCAGAGTAGACCCACTAAGTTATTCATGTCTGTGGGATAAATGGATAAGAAAAGGCTTAGCAGAAGCAACCATGCCTCGCCTTGCTGTTGTAACTGTTTGCATTGCAAAGACAGAGGAAACTCGTGGTAATATGTAATACATTAAGTATAGAAATTGCTGAGAGTAGCCAAAAGGTATTAAAGCATGGGTAGGCAAACTAAGGCCCGGGGGCTGGATCCGGCCCAATCGCCTTCTAAATCTGGCCCGTGGATGGTCCAGGAATCAGCATGTTTTTACATGAGTAGAATACGTCCTTTTATTTAAAATGCATCTCTGGGTTATTTGTGGGGCATAAGAATTCGTTCATTTCCCCCCCCCCCAAAAAAAATATAGTCTGGCCCCCCACAAGGTCTGAGGGACAGTGGCCCGGTCCCCTGCTGAAAAAGTTTGCTGACCCCTGTATTAGACAGTCTGTGGGTGACTCAAAATCATGAGGAAAAATGGAAGAGAACAGTTAGAAAGGCATTGCGCATGATTAAAAGGGCTATGAATATTAGTCAAACCGCCCCTGGTGGAGCTATAGCTAATTAACATGAACATGTGATGTATGTAACAGTGGGGGTACATATCAAGGAGAAAATATGTAATAGGCGGACCGGGAAGTCTGTAAACTTCAATTTCTTAACCAATAGGAGATTGTAGAAGAGAAATTTGGACAGGCTTTAGGGTATAAAGTACTTGTGATGTAAATAGGACGGTGCCCTCCCTCTTTGCAGCATGAGCGGGGAGTTGTCCGTGCAGCGCTGTCTCGAGAATAAACAACTTGTGGTTTTGCCTGATCGTGGTGTCAGACTCCTCCCTCTCACAGAGCAATTGACTACCTCTGGGGAAGATCCCTGGGGCAAATTTGTCCAACAGTGTCCATTAACTTCAATGGGTCTACTCTGAGTAGGACCAGCACTGGATACAATCCTGAATAAAAGCACATTTTCCTGCACACAGATGCCAATGTGCAGGGCTACCTTTTGGATTCTGTGACATCATGTCTCCCTCGACTTGTGACCTCATGTAGTGATTATTGCTGACAAGATTGTAGCCAAATTGAGGCTGCTGAAGAACAAGAGAGGAGTATTGGTATATTTGGGCCATCCTAAGGCCTAGGACTTGCCGATCAGAAGGTTGGCAGTTTGAATCCCCACGACGGGGTGAGCTCCCGTTGCTCGGTCCCTGCTCCTGCCAACCTAGCAGTTCGAAAGCACGTCAAAGTGCAAGTAGATAAATAGGTACTGCTCCAGCGGGAAGGTAAACGGCGTTTCCGTGCGCTGCTCTGGTTCGCCAGAAGCGGCTTAGTCATGCTGGCCACATGACCCGGAAGCTGTATGCCGGCTCCCTCGGCCAATAAAGCGAGATGAGCACCGCAACCCAGAGTCGGTCACGCCTGGACCTAATGGTCAGGGGTCCCTTTACCTTTACCTAAGGTTAGCAGAAGCCTAAGATGGCAAAAAATAAATGCCTCCCAGAAACATCCCACCGAAGTCTGGGCATGCACAACAGCCACAGAATGGGGTGTGTGTGTGGAGTGTCCTGCTTGGGCCCTGCCTTAAACTATTATACCAAGGGGCCCATTTTCTTACGCTTGTGGTTTTTCCATGGTGATGATTTGCTAAGCATGGGTTTTACTGGATAAAATGTAATGGGCCTGTGTGAACGACACTGGAGCCCAAGGATTGGGGTTGGGCTAGATGACCCTCAGGGTCCTTCCAACTCTACAATTCTATGGCCTTGTGACTACCTTCCTGAGTTTGGTGGACTCCAGCTCCCATCATTCTGTGAGCATTAGTCTCTCTGGCTAGAGCTCATGGGGGTTGGAGTCCAGCATTGGGAGAGCCACAGGTTCCCCATTCCTGCTGCAGTCTGGTGACTTGCAATGAAACATACATAGGATCAGGCTGCACAAATGTCACAGCCTGATCCTCCGAGGTTTGCTTGCACCCAGAGCAGAGACAAATATTGGTGCTGGAAAATCCAGACACCTCCAACTAATTCAAGTGGATCACAACCCATGGCAACCCTTATGGAAATGAACAGGATCTTGCACAGCTGCCACTCATTTCAGTGGGACCTGCATGGGGGATGTTTGCCGTAGCTCAGATCTGCCCATCCTCTTCCACTCTAATGCCCTGAAAAGCATGCAAAAATTCTATACCAGAAACATTCTGATCAGCTTGGCTCAAGGAAAGACACACACATACAACTGTGATTAATAAAGGTTTATTTTTGTGTGTGGAAAATGTTTCAGTTTTTTGGAATAAAACAACAGCAACTTGTTTTGCTAATCAGAGTAGCATATTGTTACAGGTTTGTGGGTGTCCGTCTGGATTGCACCTGTGGGTCCCTTCCAAACCTGAGATCCTGTGTATGTGGGGTTAGATTTAATGAGAGGAAACCTGCTAAACCAGTCAAACCAGTCCCTTGCTTATGGTACTGGCCTGGGTTGCTATTTGCATGCCCTAAGAGATTGCTAGAGAGACCAATGAGCGGGCCTTTTCCTACCTCACCTGACATGCCACACTTGGCCATGGCAAATCTGAATAAAAAATAAATACAAGCAAAAGGGATGTCGTGCCATAAATAATGGTCTCTCTTTAGATCTCTGAGTCTCCCTTACAGTTCATTGTCCAGGGTCTTCTTTCTTATCTTTTCTGGCCTCCAAAGCAAAAAGGGTGACTTGTTGAGTCACTGAAGCATTTGCATCACCAAGAAGCAATAGGACCGTCTCTGTTGGGAGGAGACAAATTTCCTGTAAGGTGAGAAATTGCCTCCTGGGTCCAAGGTATAGTAAATACTGTAGTAATATAGTAAATAGTGCAATATGTCTTCCACCTGCAGATGCCCACATATTCAGAGTCTTATCTTCGTACGGTACCCTGTTATATTATCTGTCCAGGACAGTGGAGGGCATAACTTGAAAATGCAGCTAAGCAAAAGCAAATCTAAGTGAGGCTGGCCAGAGATTTGACAGGTAACTGGCTCTAAAATGGACTGTTTTTAGAAGAGGGAACCAAGGAGAGCATTTAGAGAATTTAATCGCTTGCAGATCATGTAGTGATTCTGTCCAGTGGCACCAATCCCTTAGTTGGCATTTGTCTGTAGATATAATCTCCTCTATCTTAGGGAAATAATAAAGAGTTCAAATAATATTGTGTGTTAGATTTCCACTACCGGCTGTTCACCAATTCCGCATAACAAGTCTTTTCAGCTAATTAAACCAAGTACAAATAGCTCTTGCAGTTAATGTTGGCCATCCACATTCCATGTGTAAGAGTTCGGATGCTGTTCCCTTGGGTGCGGAAAACAGTCTCTTGAGAAATTGGTTTTGCACCATTTCTAATCCTTTAATAGTGCTCTCATCCTCGCCCCAGATTATCCTTGATATGTCTTCCTTCTTCTTCTTTGGCGATCACTCGTAGCCGAGTAAGATTGTCTTCCATAAACACGGTTTTAACAATGAGCCCGTAAGTGACTGTGGAGGCCAATTCTGGATCCACACGTCCTTCCACCTGGTTTCCAGGTGGGAATTGATCACGGTGTGGATTTGTTAAGCGTGCCTTCCTCTTAGCACCTTTCTCCCTTGCGTCCTGAGTTTGAGTGCCAATGACACCTTTGGTAAAGCCTGTTCTCCAACTGGAGCGCTCGCAGGCCAGTGTTTCCCAGTTGTCGGTGTTTATACTACATTTTTTTAGATTTGCCTTGAGACTGTTAGGATATTTCCGTTCCACCTTAAAAGGGAGCAGGCTTTGTGAGTCACAGAGTCTGCGCATTTCCTGTTCACAGGATGTTTGTGTTTTCTGTTGCTTTCGTTTTTTCTCTCTGTGTCTGGAGACACTGAAGCAGGCAGTCATGTTTTTCTTTGTTCTGATCAACGCTGAATAAAACTTGTAAATAATGCTCTCCTGCGTGCAACTTCTGCTGTGAATTATCTGCTGATAGAGTGTGCATGAGCTCTGGAATGTGGCAAGCTATTTCTAGAAACTCGTGTCGCTAATTGCTGATACTGTATCTACGGGAGATCGATGGATCGTCCGGCAGCCGGCTTGGGGGCCATGATGGACTTTGTCTCCCTGGCAGTATCCCAACAACAAGGTTATGGGCCCAGATTCACAGCACTTACAGGAGAGTAAGACTGCGACAGACTGCGTTGAGGTATGTGGGAGAAGCGAAGGAAAGGCTGCTCCAAAGGCCAAGGCCAGATTTATTGTGGACTCTGGTGCCAGCCGCCATCTAACAAAGGATCGCCATCTTTTTATCTCCTTCACACCTCAAGACGGAGAGATCCACCAGGCTGATGGAAAGACGTTGCGAATTGCAGGAGTCGGGACTGTGAAACTGGCAAGTCTGCACACTACCATCAGAGATGTACTTTATGTTCCAGGTGCTGCAGACAATTTGCTCAGTGTCCCACAGCTGACTGGGCGTGGCTTTGAGATTTCCTTCAAGAGGAGCGTTTGTGTCATCAGAAAAGGCAAAGAGGACATTTTGCATGCAAAGTTTATAGATGGTTTGTTCTGTATAACTTATGATGACAATGGTGCTGTTGTGTCTAATGTTGATTCTTGTTGTGTTGCACAAACTAACAAAGTTCTTCATGCAGGATGCATTCATGATGCACACAGAAGGTTTTGTCACCTCTCTTGGAAGGCGCTGGCCAAGATGCCAGAGATGGTTGAGGGTTTGAACATCAAACCCTGTAAGTTTCACATGAAATGTGTATCTTGTGCAGAGAACAAGGTGAAGGTTGCTCCAAAAGGCAAGGAGTCTAGCAGGCAGGCTTCCAAACCCTACCAGCTAGTGCACGCAGACCTGGTTGGTCCACTTGCGCCCTCTTTGGGTGGAGCAAGGTACTTCATGGTTCTAATTGACTCTTTTTCCAGGTACATTCATGTGTTTATGCTCGAGCAGAAATCGCAAGCGTTTCCGAAGTTCAAGGCATTCTGTGCTTGGTTAGAGAATGTTCACGGTAAACGTATTGGCTGTCTCTTTACTGATCGGGGAGGGGAGTTCACTTCTCAGCAGTTTGAAGCTTTCCTGACTGAGAAGGGAATCCAGCATGACTTGTCAACGCCTAGATCGCCATGGATGAATGGACTTGCGGAGCGAGCAAATCAGACGTTGCTGCAAGGACTAAAAACCTTGTTGCATGATGCCAATCTCCCTGATAAGTATTGGGGGGAGGCTCTGTCGAATTTTGTTTACACTTATAATCGCAGATTGTCATCACCTATTGGTTGTACCCCCTATGAGAAGATGTTTGGTAAGAAACCCAACATCAAGCACATGAGAATCTTTGGTTCTGACATGTGGGTACACACCCCACAAAGCAACAAGCTTGGGAAGCGTGGGGCACATGGTTTGTTCATGGGGTACGAAAAGGGAGCGTACAGGGCATGGATGACTGACTCTAAGTCCATTAAGTTCACAAAGAGTGTTGAGTACAATCCTAAGTGGGGGGAAAATGTGGGAATTTTCCAGAGTTACCCAGAGGAAGATGAAGGTGATGTGAAAAAAGCAGATGAAGCTGAGGATGATGATGATGATGATGATGATGATCAGAGTTCGGATTCCAGCTCAGTGGGCGGCGCTGCTGCTGATGTCGGTGACAGTGATGACACAGCAGACTACAAGAGCGCAAAGGCCTCAGTCAGACCATCTGATGCGTCTGACAATGAACTGGAAGAACCACTGTTCACCATTGGTCACTTTTCTCCTAAGAAAGAGGAGATGAGTCCAGAAGACTTGCATCTAGTACACAGATCTGAGAGAGCCACGAAGGGCAGACCTCCAAAGAGATTTGCTGATGAGTTTGCTAAGACGGCAACTGCTGTTCTTAGTAGCTCAGAGAAGGTGTGGGAACCTTCAAGCTTCAAAGAGGTTCAGGAGTTAACCTCTAAAGATGCTGAGCCTTGGCTTAATGCCATGAAGGCTGAAGTTGATTCCTTGAATAGGAACCAAACTTGGGAGTTGGTACCGGTAGTCCCAGGAATGAGACTGGTTGGCAGCAAATGGGTCTTCAAGGCCAAGACAGACCAGAATGGCAAGGTTGTCAGACACAAAGCCAGATTGGTTGCCAGAGGTTTTTCACAGGTACCAGGACAGGTACCACGAGACCTACAGTCCCACAGTCAAATATGAGCGCATTCGGCTGATGCTCAAGATAGCTGCAGAGGAGAAACTGCATGTTTCCCATCATGACATTAATACAGCTTTTTTGTACGGGAATTTTGGAGGAGGAGCTGTTTATGCTTCCACCTGACAGGATGCAGATACAGAAGGGAATGGTCTGTAAACTGCGGAAATCCTTATATGGTCTCAAGCAGAGTGCCAGGTGTTGGAACACAAAGCTCACTGAGACATTGCTTTCTCTAGGTTTTCACCAGGGCAAAGCTGATCCATGTGTGTTTGTCAAGGAGGAGGGGCAAAACAAACTGTATTGTTTATGTTTTGTTGATGATCTTCTGATGTTTTGGAAGAATCAGGCTTTGTACCAAAGCACCCTAGCTCAGCTGAAGGAGCACTTTGACATGAAGGATCTTGGTGAGGTATCCAACTATCTTTCTCTGCAGGTGGAGAGGGACCAAGCAGGTAATTTTCTGGTACACCAAACACAGAAAATTGCTGATGTGTTAACCAGGTTGAATTTGGTTGATGCAAACCCAGCAGACACACCGATGGTGACAGGTTACCAGGTAGACAGTACTGCTGAAGCGTTTTCTGACACTACGCTGTACAGATGCATTCTAGGCAAGTTGAATTTCATTGCTAGATGCTCAAGACCTGACATAGCTGTAAGCACTAACCTGCTTAGCAGACATGCCAACAATCCTACTGTTCAGGATTGGAAAGCTCTGAAGCGCATAGCCCGCTATTTGAAAGGGACTATGCACTACAGGCTGAGGTTCACCAGTCAGAAGACTGGAGGTCTTGAAATCTTTGCAGATGCAAGTTTTGGAAGTATCACCACGGATGGTACAAGCACTTCTGGTGTATGCTACATGTACAACCACTGTCTGTTTGACTGGCTGTGCAAGAAGCAGACGACAGTGAGCCTAAGTTCCTGTGAAGCAGAACTCAATGCTCTGTCATTTTCACTCATGGATTGTGAATGGTTGATGCAACTGTTTAAGGACATCAGAGTTTCTGTGAAATGTCCTATACAAGTGTATCAAGACAATAGATCTTGTTTGGCTTTGCTGAACTCAGAGAGTTGCAAGCAAAGAACCAAGTACTTGCAGATTAAGCTACATCGTGCAAGAGAGTGTATTCAGAAAGGACTCATTCAGGTGTCCTACATGCCAGGAAATGAAATTCCTGCTGATCTGTTGTCTAAGGTTGTTAACAGAGAACAACTTAAGGTTTACGTACAAAGGTTGCAATTGGGTTGAACCACAGGTACTACAGGTTACACGGAAAGGGGGAGGATGTTAGGATATTTCCGTTCCACCTTAAAAGGGAGCAGGCTTTGTGAGTCACAGAGTCTGCGCATTTCCTGTTCACAGGATGTTTATGTTTTCTGTTGCTTTCGTTTTTTCTCTCTGTGTCTGGAGACACTGAAGCAGGCAGTCATGTTTTTCTTTGTTCTGATCAACGCTGAATAAAACTTGTAAATAATGCTCTCCTGCGTGCAACTTCTGCTGTGAATTATCTGCTGATAGAGTGTGCATGAGCTCTGGAATATGGCAAGCTATTTCTAGAAACTCGTGTCGCTAATTGCTGATACTGTATCTACGGGAGATCGATGGATCGTCCGGCAGCTGGCTTGGGGGCCATGATGGACTTTGTCTCCATGGCAGTATCCCAACGACAGAGACAGTCTTTAAACATATTTTGTTGACCACCAGCATTACACTTTCCATTTTTAAGTTGGGAATAGAGTAGTTGTTTTGGAAGACGATCGTCAGGCATCCGCACAACATGCCCAGTCCAGTGAAGTGGATGTTGAAGAATCATCGCTTCAACACGGGTGATCTTTGCTAATTCCAGTACACTGGTATTAGTTCGCTTGTCTTCCCAAGTGATGTATCAAATTTTCATAGACCCCGTTGATGGAATCTTTCGAGGAGCTGGAGATGGCGTTTATCAGTGGTCCATGTTTCACAAGCGTACAGTAATGTTGGTAGTACAATAGCTTTGTAAACAAGCATTTTGGTTTCCTTGATATGTAGTATCCCTTTAACTCAGGGGTAGAGAAACTATGTCCTCTCCAATTTTGTTGCACTCCAGCTCCCCTCAGCCACAGGCAGTATCACCCATGGTCAGAGTTGTTGCAAGTTCTGGGAGGAAAGTATCCCAAGGACTCTGGGATGTCATGCAGTTTTGCCAGAGACAGTGATGTCACTTGACTTGGAAGGCTTCGGGGTTAATTTCGAGGCTCCCTACGGGAAGGAGCAACAGCACCTCTGAGCACGTTAAGAGTGCAGTGTCCTCCTTAATGGGCAAACACGTCCAATGTTTCTCAAACTTGGCTTCCCAGCTTAGCGAGCAGGTGGAGAACAGGAGACTCTTCATCTCGGGGCCGTGAGGGGGTTGGACTAGATGACCCTCCGGGTCCCCTCCGCCTCTACAACTCCCCCTATCCCTGACACCCCCCCCCCCAAGGGCCGAGCGGAGTCGCGCTCCAACCACAGCCGGGCCTGAGAAGGCGCGTGCTGCGACGCCTGCGCAAACCTCGCGCTGCGTCTCTCCGCCCCGCCCACCTTTTTGCGTCGCGGCGGGAGAACGACGTGTCCTCCGGAGGGGCGGGGTTGCCTTAGGAACACTATTCGACACGCTGCGCGCGCACAATAGGACGCCCCTTCTCCGTCAGTTCTCCCTCAACCCTAGCGCCGTTCTCATTGGACGCTCGGGGCACTTCTGGAAAAGCTGCCGCCGATTGGCTGCCTCGCGAAAAGGCGGAGCTCGAGGGCGCCCCCTGGTGGGCGGAGCGACCGGCGCCGGCGAGCCTCCCCGGCTGGTGACGCTGTGACGTATTAGCGGCGGCGGTTTGTGCGCGCAGGCGCACCAGCTCGCGATTCCTGGCTCCGGCGGCGGCGGCGCCTCCTTCACCTCAGCCGGACCAGTTGGGGGAGGGGCAGAGCGCGAGCGAGCCAAGGCAGGTGAGTGCCCCGCCCATTCCGCCAGACCACGCCCCCTCCCTGGAGGACCCCCCACCGGCTCCCTCCCCGGCCGCCTCCGTCGGGCCTGGCTGACTGACGGGCCGCCTGGGACGGGGCGGCTGGGCGAGCGCGTGGAGAAGAGCGGGGCGGCCGTTCACACGTGACGGCGCCAGGCTTGCGTGAGGGTGACACGTGTACACCGCTCTTCCTCTGCTGAAGGCGGGCGTGTCTCTCAGAACAGCCCTGCGAGGTAGGTCAGCGGGCGGGATTTGAACCCGGCTCCAACCCCCGCACCTCCGCTCTGTTCGTGGCGCCTGTCTCCCCGCAGGGGCAGCCTCTGCCTGGGGCTGGGGCCTCCAGGGCAGCGCTTGGCCCCTCGACGCCTTGCAGGAAGCCGCAGCACCCCGTCTCCTGCGCCTGCCTTCCTGGGAAGCGGGAGCCTCGGTGCTGCCCAGCTGTGGCTGCGGGAGGGTTTCCCCTTGTGAGCCAACATAGCTCTGGTCTGCTGTGGTTATTAACAGGAATCGAATCAAACCACTGCCTGTGACATTAATCATTAGTTTCTCTTGCTGTTAATCATAATTACTACATTATTAATTACTGCCCACCAGCTTGCCCCTTCCCTCTTCCCCTCCACACCCTCCCAGAACTGATGCCCAATGCTCTTGACTTGCATGATGATTGATGTCAGTCACAATGTGTATGAAATACAATGTGCGTGTAGGTGATTTAGTACCATGTACGGGGGTGGTGCTAGTTTGTTAATGGGGAAAAAAAGATTCTAATTAATTAATGGATTTCTAGCCCATTTTCAAGGTTGAAAGCCACTTGCAAGGTGAATTACAGCACACTTAAAACACAGCATATAATCGAACCATGTAAACAATGAGCAATGTTCAGTTCACAAATTATTAAAATAAGATAGCCTCAGCAGATAAAACTTCAGTTAAAAGCACCCAAATGCAGGCTGGAGTATAATAAAGGATTGCTTAAAATGTTTTGTTATTGTTCTTATTATGCTTCATAATATGCTTTCTATTCACTGCTTGGATAATTTCTTATTTTTATACATTATACGTGTGTACTCAGATGTAAATCTCCTTGAGTTCAGTAGGACTTACTGCTAGGTGTGTAGGATTGAGCAGCAGTCTTTCAAATTCTCCCAAGGCTAGCCATGCGTAGGCTTTGCATAGTGTGTGTGTGTGTGTGTGTGTGTGTGTGTGTGTGTGTGTGTATGTGTGTGTGTGTGTGTGTGTGTGTGTGTGTGTGTCAGTATTATATCAGCTGTCCATGTGGTAGAGACATGCGAGTTGCTCTAGTGAGGACAATCCAGAGCGTCAGTGCCATAAAGGCCTTGTTCCTTGCATCCACCCATGGAAACTCAGCTGGCAGGAGGATCTCAGGTGCTGAACCGAGTGCTTGTATACTTGTGTGTGTTGGCCTGTATTATACATTAGAATATGTATTAGAGTAATTCCCTATCTTTTTTGCATTCAGGCTGTGAGTCCTTATTTGGCCAAACACACATGCGATGCCGTTATTGGCAGGCTTGGGTGAAAGGCCAAGATTTGCAGAAATATTACTACTACTACTTCTACTACTACTACTGATAATAATGGGGGAAATACTGAGGAATAGGGGATGAATTCCCAAAACAGGCCAGTGAGGACTGAGCATACGCAATGGGTGTGGAAGGTTGATTGACAGTTGAAGGGGGAAATAGAAAATTAGGCGAGGAGAAGAATGGAACTGAGAACAGTTTTTTAAATATATTTTTTATTTTTTATTTTTAATATTTAATTCTGTATTGTTTTTAACACTTGATTGGAAGCCGCCCAGAGTGGCTGGGAAAACTCAGCCAGATGGGTGGGGTATAAATAATAAATTATTATTATTATTATATATAGGGGATGTCTGACTCAAACAAGGAACTGGAAAACACCACTGTTGTTACACCTTTTTGTTGCAGGCTGTACTTGTTACAATATACACAAATAATTACAGGTACACCACAATCAGAGTTAAGTGCTTCAGAGTCTACTTAATTAGTGTGGAAAATATTTGCAGCCTAATTGTACACAGCTTTTATATTTTAGAGTTGCATTTTAAAATATATTTTGTTAGCCATTTCTAGCAGTTCAAATTTTGGACCAGAAAGGCAGGACACAAGTCTTTCTAAGGAATGAATATGTTGTTTACTGATAAGTAATTCTCACAATTTTTAGTGAACTTACTCCCAGGGAAGTGTGTGTATGAATGTGGCTCTACAACACAGTTTTGTGCATATCAACTCAGAAGGAAGCTCCACTGAGTTCAGTGTGGCTTATTTTGAGGACAATTGTAGCTCATACTTTCCTCTCAGTAAAATCAGTGGGTCGACCATTGGTCCATCTAGCTCAGTATTCTCGGACAATATTCACTGACTGACAGCAGCTCTCCGGGATTTCAGGCACGAGTCTCTCCCAGCCCTACCCTGAGATGCCTGGGATTGAACCCAGGACCTTCTGCTTTCAAGGCAGATGCTCTGTTGCTGAGCTGTGGCTTCACAGTGGCTTAATTTAAGTGGATTGTGAGAGAGTGAGATGCCTGCAAGTCACTGGGGAGCAGGTTGGTTGTGGTGCTTTTAAAGAAACAAGCATTTCCAAAATCTACTAGCAGCAAGGAGGATTCTCTCACACTTAGCAGATAATGCTTCTTCTAAGGTGATGCCTGCTGTGACATGTGTGTGTCACGTAAAAACTGGATAAAACAATCATACTTTTTCTGAACAACTGTTTAATCAGGTGACAGCCTCATTATATAGGTGTGCTTATGTAAAAAATGTGTTAAAGTAAATGCCAGGAACTTGTTGACTGCAGGAAAATGATGATACATTTTTAAGTTGCATGAGGCCTAGGTAGCAAGCATGGTCAGGGAATCCACATTTTTTAATGATTTGTGCACTTACATTTGCATGTGCACCATGGTAGATGTTCTTTACCTACAAACTGTGGGAATGAAGATGATGTTTGGAGATTTATTGAAGATACTCCATTTGCATGTGTGCAAATGGACACATCACCCTATGAAGTTCTCAACATCTTCAGGTCTTGGGCCAATCTTAAACAACGCCCTGCATTATAATAATTAATAATAATATGTTCTTCCAAGGAGGCAGGGGTTATAGTATCCCAGTGGCCCTAGATTTCAATCCATAGTTGAGAGCATTTTTTTAAAAAACAACAACAACAACCCTCCCTTCCCTGAAAGGCTGAAGTACATGTCTGTAAGTCATGGTAGAAGACCATTGGGGGCTTGGTAAGCTTTTCCTAAAGGAATATCGAGTCAGACAAGTAACTTGACAGCTAAAACCTATGAATAATTATGTGGAAGTAGCATTCCACTGTGTTCAGTATTCCCCAATAAGTGTCCTTAGGATTTCAGTGCAATTGGTTGCTCTCCTGCTTCAGATGAAACCAAACCTAGCAGCCCCACATCCACTTACAGCAGCAATCCAAAATGGAAGGTCTGGTCACAGTCTCATGGCAAAACACAGATACAATGTGAGACAAAGTCCAGAAGTAGCCCATGATCAAAACACAGGAAAGTCCTATCAGGGAAGCAAAAAGCTTCCTTGGAAGATAGCTTTCCATTCCTACCAATCTGCTGCTTTGGGCAGTTGCAGTGCATGGATAGGCCCCCTGGCAGTTCACATGGCCTCTTGGCAAGGCTCAGGCAGCCACCTGCATGAAGCAGGGCACCCCAGACATCCTGCAATACATGCAAGATCCATGGCAGATGTTGAGTGTCCATTAGCAAACCAGTTAGGCTGGAAAGCTCTCTGTTAAAGTAGATAGTCAGGAAGCTTCTTGCTTAAATTGACCTTTGGTCCCAAACCAGTCAGTTGACTCTTCTAAACAGGAACATAAGACGGGCCTTACTGGATCAGACCCAAAGACCTATCCAGCATCCTGCCTCACATACTGACCCAGTTCATATATCACTTGAAGCCATAGCTAAGAGTAAACTGAATTGATGCAAGTGAACCATGTGCTTGTGCCTCTGCTGAAAAGTTCTTGCTCTGCTCCTCCCCTGCTGCCATGCTGCTGGGGAACAGGCCATAGTCTGCCTTGCCATAATATCCCTGATGTTTGTTGTCCTCTAAGCAAACCATGGGAGGTCAGCCAAGAACAAGTCTTGGTTACTGTTTGTGGTTTGTTTATATTAACGAAAGTTGGCTTTTACTTGATTTAATGTGACTGCATACCAGGATAGTACCTTGGAGGCCACAGAAACAAGGAGGATCTGACTTTGCTTTTACCAGAAGAATAAAAACTAGACTTTGCAATGTAATAATTCAGACAGCTACTCAAACAAGGACTTCCTTTGGTTAAAGTTAGGTCATTGCAGTAGCTGAACATTAAGAGCCCACAGAAAGCAACATGGGAAATGGCAGGTGCAGATGTCCAAAACTGGATTCCAAGGAATGCTAGAGGTGAAGGAAATCATTTAAGGCTTTTAAGGCTGCAGCCCCAAACTCTACAAGGAAATAAATCCACTGAGCTTTGTGGGACCTCTGCATAGGACTGTGCTGTTCATCAGGTTCCCTGAATCCCACTGAAGTTTAGCCCAGAATACAGTGGTACCTTGGGTTACATATGCTTCAGGTTACATACGCTTCAGGTTACAGACTCCGCTAACCCAGAAATAGTACCTCGGGTTAAGAACTCTGCTTCAGGATGAGAACAGAAATCACGCAGCGGCGGCGCAGCAGCAGCGGGAGGCCCCATTAGCTAAAGTGGTGCTTCAGGTTAAGAACAATTTCAGGTTAAGAACAGACCTCCGGGACAAATTAAGTACTTAACCTGAGGTACCACTGTATGGAGTTTCCCCAAAGCATATCTGCCTCTCCTCATAAACTCCAAAATTCTAAGGAATTCAATTGAGGCGGCCTTGAAGGTGGTCTTTTTAGAAGATAATGTGATAGTCATAGGTGCCAACTCCCTGGGCACCCACAAAATTCCCCATGAAAGGGCCAGGCACCCACAAATGTTAGTGCCAGGGCCATGCACGCTGCATGCCACCCGCGGCCCCAGGGGCAAGTTGGCACCCATGGTTATAGTTCTGCTGAAGTCTATTCTGCTGCATCTGACTGGTGGCTTGTCCACAAAACCCCAGAGTTAGAAAACTAAAGACTGCAATCCTTGCCATATTTGTTCAGAAGTAAGTCCTATTGAACTTATTGGGCTTACTCCCAGGTAAGTGGGGTAAGGATTATAGCATAAGGATAACTCCTTAGTTTTCTCATTCTGGAGTTTTCTGGACAAGCCCTCACCATCATGCTGGAAGTGAGGAAAGAGGGAGCTTCCCAGGTTAACACCTTGGTTTTTGACAGTAATACGTGGATTTTATTTATTTTATTTTTAAAAGGAAGACAAAAGGCATATGGAGTCCAAATGGAACAGATAAGCAGTGAAGGAGGTGTTGATATGTGCCATATAAGATTTTTTTGGAGCTCATCCTGCTTAGTGCTGCCCAGAGCTGTTGGGGGGGGGCTGAAATTTTAGGTGCTGCCTTATCCATCTAGTTTTTCAGTGAAATGCCTCACATATTTTCAATTCCTTTCTTGGCAGCTCTTGCAGGGTTTTTTTTTCTAAAGAAAAACCCATGCAGATTTTTTACACATATAAAATATGTATATTTTAAGTCAGTTCTCTATGCTGCCTTGCACCAGAGCTTAACCAAGATCCAGGATGGGCCTGTGCAGAAAGAACAAGCTTGATTCTTAATTGCTTGGTCACTAGGGGCAGAAAGCAAGTATGCCACACACCCCCCGGGCAATAGTGCCATTGAGTCCTCCCTTTTAATTTGGACCTGGGTACTTGAAGGACTGGGACACGGGTGGTGCTGTGGGTTAAACCACAGAGTCTAGGGTTTGCCGATCAGAAGGTTGGCGGTTCGAATCCCTGCGGCGGGGTGAGATCCCATTGCTCAGACCCTGCTCCTGCCAACCTAGCAGTTCGAAAGCATGCAGTGCAAGTAGATGAATGGTTACCACTCTGGCAGGAAGGTAAACGGCGTTTCCGTGCGCTGCTCTGGTTCACCAGAAGCGGCTTAGTCATGCTGGCCACGTGACCCGGAATCTGTACCTCAGCCAGTAAAGCAAGATGAGCGCTGCAACGCCAGAGCCGTCCCCGACTGGACCTAAACGGTCAGGGGTCCCTTTACCTTTACTTGAAGGACCATATTCTCCCCTAGGTGTCCTTCATTTCCCTCTGGCTCCTGAGGTTCTGCTTCTGGTTCCCCTGCCAGTAGAGCATTAGCATGTCCATGGGGAGCATTGCAAAAAGCACTATCTAAATGTTATACAGTGTTCTTAAGGGACCTATTAGAAAAAAAGCTTATGGACAGGTGGGAAAACTTAAAATAAGGGAATGGTTTTCCTGTTTGAATGTCTCTTGCTCCAAATGATGGGCAGTTTGTTGTATATGTGAATTGTCTTGCTAGATCAGATCTATGGTGCCCCTAGTCTACCAATCTGTTTACAACTGTGGTCTGACAGATGTTCTGAATGCTCACAAGCAGGACAGACACCTGATGCCCTTTTCCTGTTTGTATGGCCTGGCACTCCAGTTGTTGTTAAACTACAATTCCCATTAGCCCCGGCAAGCATGGGCAATGGCCAGGGATGATGGGAGTTGTAGTTCAGCAGCATCTGCAGGGCCAGAGGTTCCCCTTCTGTTTACACACGAAAGCTCATACCTTAAAAGCTTATATTTAGTTGATCTTTAAAGGTGCCACTGGAATTATTAAAAAATATTTTTTCATCTTTCATCTTGTTATTTATTATCCCTTCTATTTGGTTATCATTGCTCACTCTCTGGAGGCTAAACTAATCCCTTTGAGCATAATAAGCAAATAAGAGCTTGGGAGCAGTCCAGTGGTAGCCATCCCACACCTGCCATCACAGAGGCTCTTCAAGCATCTTGCTCTCAGGGAAGCCAAGAAGAAGTTGCAGCAGCAGCTTCTCCAAAAGAAACAGTTGTCTTTTCTGTTTTATTATTTAAATAGTTGCTGGTTCTTATTGTGGGAAAATGTTCATGTAAACCACCCTGTGAAAATGTTAGATACCTAAAATAAATGAATAATAAACCATTCTCTTTTAAAGCCAGTGCATGTCATCCCATTTGATGGTACTGAACTCCATAGGTTAATTGTCACAAAAGTGAGCATATTGATATAATATCACTGCTGCCTCACTCATTAGGGACCGCTAATGTGATCCGTTGAGGTTTCAATTTCATTGACCACTTCCCTTGCTTCCCTTAATGAGCATGATGGGGAGAACTTTGTAGGCTATCTCTTATCTGCCACAGTTGTGTAGTACAACAATGATATGTATTTGTGGTTATTTGATGATAAATGGAATTATTTTATTGAGCCCTGAGCAATGCAATCTGGAAGGAAGATTACTTGAAACAGAACCTATTCTGATACCAGTGCATATTTCAGATAGTGATGTAAAACAACAACAGGAACCTAGGTAGCAAGCATTGCTGTTTAAGTCTACAATTACCAGTGAGAAAATGTTTCCAGTTCTGCAAGCCAAAATTGTGATGAAAGTGAATATGTCTGAGTTTAATCATTGTCACATCCTGCTCTTGTCTGCTCTTGCTTTGCTTCCTTCCCCTGCTTTGTATATGGCAGAGTTTTTGAATTGCACAGAATGCTGCTGAGACCTGCCTGCTGAAGAGTTCTGTTCTGAAACTTGATGTCTCTGGAAGTTTACCCACTCTTGATTCTTTCTGTCTTGGGGACCACAACGTTCTGATGATGTTGTGATTAACATATTTCAGTCAAAATAATTTTGAGTCAGCTTTCCTGCTTATTTGTATCAGGTGCACATTTCTAGTCAATCAGTTTGGGAAACATACAAATGGCTTTATACCACTGCCAATTACTTAGAATCAGGCTGATGCCCTCAGGCAGTGATTTCTCTAGACTCTGATATGTTGCTTCCCACATGGAGGAAGCCATTTCGTCATTCCCAGCGTGAACCATGGAATCTCTTGGAACATTTTGCAAAGATTACACACCCCAGCTGGGTGTACATGCTCTTGACTGCTGTTCCATTCCATTGGTGATGCAAGATCATACACTGTTCCAGTTGAGGGCAGCCAGTGGTGAGTTTCTCTCTGGAGCCTCTTGTTTCTGTTTCTCCGCCCCCACCAGGAAAAAAAGCAACCACCCCTTGGATGTTGCTTAATAAACAGTCTCCTGGGCTAAAGCTCCGGTTCTTCACCACCTCCCTCTGTGACTTCTATTCAGCTTCTGTGAGTAAAATTCTGAGTGAGCAGCAAAGTACTGTTTGACTGTTTCCAAATTTTGGAAAGAGTGTCTGTGGCCTTGGCAGGGCTTTGGATTCGGTGTAAATAGCTACTCAGTCAGTTCAAACTGACTGGGACGGGGGTCTTCTGTGTCCTTAGCTTCTGCCAGGGTGGGATCCTGGGCAAATGGGAGAGTTAGTCAGGGGTTTTATATACAGTGGTACCTCAAGTTACAAACGCTTCAGGTTACAAACTCCACTAACCTGGAAGAGTTACCTCGAGATGAGAACTTTGCCCCAGGATGAGAACGGAAATGGTGTGCCAGCGGCAGCAAGAGGTCCCATTAGCGAAAGCATGCCTCTAGTTAAGAACAGTTTCAGGTTAAGAACAGACCTCCAGAACGAATTAAGTTCATAACTAGAGGCACCACTTTATTTATTTATTTATACCCTGCCCATCTGGATGGGTTTTCCCAGCCACTCTGGGCGGCTTCAAGCAAAATATTAAAATACAGTAATTCACATAGAGAGAGAGAGAGAGTTGTAGCATCTCCATCATACCTCTAGGCTTAGTTGATGTTGCAAGTGCTGATGGGCAGATACCTGGGCTAGAGTAATAGTGTTTTTAATTAGTGTTTGTTACACTCTGCTTTTTCAGAGAGGTTAAAGAGGCTTTCCTGGGTCTCCCAGTGGTCTCCCATTCAAGCAGGTCCATCTTCCTCATGAGTAGGCAAACTGAGGCCCAGGGGCCGGATCTGGCCCCATCGCCTTCTAAATCGCAATCAGTGTGTTTTTACATGTGTCCTTTTATTTAAAATGCATCTCTGGGTTATTTGTGGGGCATAGGAATTTGTTCATTCCCCCCCAAAAAATATAGGCCAGCACCCCACAAGGTCTGAGGGACAGTGGACCGGCCCCCTGCTGAAAAAGTTTGCTGACCCCTGTTACCTCTTTGCTTCAGCGGTATAACACAATCAAGTGCTCCCTTAGATGCAGAATGGCCAAGCCTTTCAGATGCATGCTACTTCCATTACAATACGTTCCAGGTATTCTGGAAGAGTCTGACTCGGAAATTTTATGATGCCCTAATTCAGCTAGCATCTGATTTAGCATGTTGGGGTTATATATATGTATGCATGTGGTATTTGTCTATCTGCCTGCCTCTGTATTTATTCATTTATTTCATAAATTTTACTGTTTGATTGTAGAAAAAACTCCAAAGTGGTTTACAGAAAGATAAAACAATAAAATTATCACTAAAAAAATTACACCATAATTTAAGACAAACAGAAAATTAAAGCCACAGTAAAATAGACTAAACAAATTAAAACTCATACAAGCTTTCTAGATACCTGGGAGGCTTGTCTAAATACGAATGACTTCAGCAGGCTCCAAAAGGAAGACAGCGAAGGTGGCTGCCTGATTCCAAGAGGCAGGTCTGTGCCTTCCTAATTGCATCCTAACCCGAAGGACAGTAACCTGAAAAATCTTAATTACAGCTTTGAAAATGATCAATTTGTGACATTGTTGGCCCAGTTCAAGTGCTAGGATTCCACTTAAATGACTGAGGACTCAGGTACCTTAAGGGACATTGGCTCATCTGCCCTGACAAGGATCAGCTCCTGAAGTCCTGCTCATCTGCCACCACTGAAGTACAGGCAGGGGGTGAGTTTGGGAAGCAGATCCTTTTGCGTTATGGTACCAATGCTTTGGAAAGCCCTTTCCAAGGAAGTCCATGGGGCTTCCCATGCTATATGGGAAGGAGGGAGATGTCGTCGCGCCACCCCTTGGTGTGTGGAATGCCGCAGGGCACAATCCTCTCCCCAATGCTTTTTAACATCTTTATGCGCCCCCTTGCCCAGATTATCCGGAGCTTTGGGCTGGGTTGTCACCAATATGCTGATGACACTCAGCTCTGTCTGCTGATGGATGGCCATACCAACTCGATCCCTGACACACTGACCAGATGTTTGGAAGCTGTGGCTGGATGGTTTCGTGGGAGCCGATTGAAACTAAATCCTTCAAAGACAGAGGTCCTCTGGCTGGGTCGGGATGGTATGGAGATGAGGGACCAACTCCCTTCTCTTGCGGGGGCCCAATTAGTGCCATTGCCTTCTGTTAAGAGGTTGGGTGTAACCCTTGACGCCTCCCTTTCCATGGAGGCGCAGATTACAACAGCAGCCAAGGCGACATTTTTCCACCTTCGCCGCATCAAGCAGTTGGTCCCTTACCTTTCCCACCCTGACCTGGCCACAGTGATCAATGCGGTGGTCACCTCCAGGCTTGACTACTGTAATTCGCTCTACGCGGGGCTGCCCTTGAAGCTGTCCCTGAAACTCCAGCGGGTGCAGAATGCTGCAGCGAGGCTCCTCACGGGGTCTCTGCCATGGGAGCATATTCACCCAGTGCTTTTCCAGCTGCACTGGCTCCCGGTGGAGTACAGGGTCAGATTTAAGGTGCTGGTTTTGACCTTTAAAGCCCTTCACGGCCTAGGACCACCTCTCCTGGTATGCCCCACGGAGGACCTTAAGGTCCATATATAGCAACACCCTAGAGGTCCTGGGCCCTAAGGAAGTTAGATTAGCTTCAACCAGAGCCAGGGCCTTTTCAACACTGGCTCCTGCGGTGGAATGCTCTGTCTCTTGAGACCAGGGCCCTGTGGGATCTGATCTCTTTCTGCAGGGCCTGTAAGACAGAGTTGTTCCACTTGGCCTTTGGCTCAGAATCAGTTTGATTCCCTCCCCCTCTTTCTTTTTCCTTTCTCCTCCTATGAAGAGATTGCTCCCTAATTGTTGTAATGTTGTTTCTTAATCTTTTAAATTGTATTTTAATCAACTTGTTTTTATTATTTGTTGTTAGCCGCCCTGAGCCCGGTCTTGGCTGGGGAGGGTGGGGTATAAATAATAATAATAATAATAATAATAATAATAATAATTATTATTATTATTATTATTATATTCATTTTGCCAGCTAATTAAAACCTGGCTCTTTGGGAAAGGCTGATGGCTGACCTCTCTAGTGTTACAAATGATATAGTATTGTTTTATTGCTTTTATAGATATGTTTTACAATTTTAGACACTTTGGACTCCTGTATTTAGAACATCTCTGTGTGTGTCATTAATGTACATATAAATAAATAAATATTTTCAGGAAAGAATCTTGTGGTGCCTTAAAAGCTAACAGTTGTATTATGGGATAAGCTTTCATGGACTCACACCCATTTTGTCAGATGCATCCTGTGTGCTACAGCAGTCTTTTTTAAATAAACGTTGTCTCCATTCATTAAGTTACTTACTTATTTTGTGAAACAGTTCAATTTTAGAAAAAGGAAATATTCTCTCTCTCTCTCACTCACACACACACACACACACACACCCATGGGAAAATAAAGAAGTAGAACATGTTCCATTTCAGAACACATTCTGTCCCTCTTCACAGGTTACTGCTTTCATTTTGAAAATAGTTGCATGTTAATGTGCTAGGCTTGTAAATCGCTTCTTGCTTGGTTACCCCCGCCAGTCAGAATCACCTGTAGCCAACTAGGCAGGGAAGTTGTCCAATAGTTAGGTCTTATTCATTTCCTTTTATGACCACAAATCAGACAAGCTGGGAGCAATGTTTGTGGACTACAGTCATACCTCATGTTATGTCCACTTCATGTTATGTTCTTTCAGGTTACGTCCCGCAGCGACCCAGAAGTACTAGAAAGGTTACTTCTGGGTTTCGCCGCTCGCGCATGCGCAGAAGCGCGAAATGACGTCACACACATGTGCAGAAGCAGCGGATCACAACCCGCACGTGCGCAGACGCGCCGCTGTGGGTTGCACTCTTTTCATGTTGCGAACAGGCCTCTGGAATGGATCCCATTTGCAACCAGAGGTACCACTGTAGTAACGTTAGTGGACTTTGTCAACAATACACAGATCTGACTGGCAGGATGAGTTGATCCTTCCCAAGTTTTCTCCTTGCTGTCATTTTAGCGAAAGGTACTCGAGCTTCCCCTTCGCTGCTGTCCTGGAACTGGTGACTCTGTTCCCCTTATCTTACGTTCCCCTCTCCTGTTCTGATATTTCAGTGGCAGGGTGTGCCTGACCCTTTCTCTTTCCTCCCCTAGTGTTTGAGACCTGTGAATGCTGCAGTCTCACAGAGCATCTTCCAAAGAAGAGGAAGCACCTGCCAGTTGTGACTTGATCCCACACGCCTTGGAATGACACTTGCTACAGACTACATGAGAGATTCGGAGCTGGCCCTTGTGTCTCAGTGGCAAGAGCTCTAGCTCTGTAGCCCACCAGGCTTTCCTCCTAATGCTGGGCAAGAAAAGGAGCTCACCTCAGCCTGGCAAAGAGACGTTTCATGCCCTTGACAGCTCAGAGGGGCTTCATCCTCGCAGCTTCCTGGGAGCTGCTCCCGAGCACATCTCTCCTTGCCCTTGGTGCACTTCGCTGTGGCACTCCTGGTGTGACCTTCGTACTCTTAAGCCTTTGCCATTTCTCTTTGCTCTGTTGCCTGTTTCCGGACTGGATCATGGGGGTTCCTCACCACCCCACAACTGTTGGAGGAAGGGTGTGAACTTTGAAATGGCACCTGTGAAATGCCAGGGACCTTCTGCACACACAAAGCTGCCACTAGTTGACACAAGAACTGGCTGACTGCCCAGGCATCCTCTCTCTGCCTGCCTCAGGATCCCACAGGACACTCGCCTTGCCTGCTGCTCGCCATGTTTCTACTACTGCCCTTTGATAGCTTGGTGGTTAACCTGCTGGGCATTTCCCTGACCGTACTCTTCACTCTGCTCTTGGTTTTCATCATTGTGCCAGCCATTTTTGGAGTTTCCTTTGGCATCCGCCGCCTTTACATGAGAACCCTGCTGCAGATATTCCAGGTGAGTCAAAATTCCTGATGTTGCTGTGAGTGGAAGGCAGCAAGAATTAATACCCTCCACTGGATGGGATGTGTCAGCAGTCAGGGTGCCTCAGAGCTTTTTACAGCAGCAGGCTTTGCAATCAACGTTCAGGCAAGGCTTTATTTGCTCTAGGGCTGGCTCTAGCAGCCGTTGTCAATGCCAAGACTTAGCCCAGGAACGTAGGACGTTGGAGTCAACGAAGATGACCCTGAGCAGGTGCAAAGTGCTACTAAATAAGTAACTACAAAGTTTCCCCATGCATCAGCAAGGGGAGAGAGTTTCCAGATCAGAGGGCAGGGTCAAAGAGCCCGTTAGCACTGCCGTCAGTTTTTCTAGAGTTTTAAGAGTGGGCTTTGTGGACCACCTTGCACAAAAGGAGGAGTGGGCACAAGCTCCCCTCTGACACCGTCCAGATCACTTTCTATATGGGCTGTGATTGGTTTGGGAGGCAGACCCCCCCCCGCCCCAGTCTGCTCGTGATGGGCAGCTGTGTGAGCAACTGTGCTTGCGTAAGCAAATATATCGAGTTTAGCAATTGAGAGAAGAGCAGTCAATGAAAGTGCCTCTGCTCTGCATAATTTTTTTTGTTTCCCTGAGGTCCACATCTCCTGGAACCTAAATGCACACCATGGGCCTTTGTGCTCCAGTTCTCTTTCTGATCATTAATTCTGCCAGGCTCTTAAGTGCTGGGCTGGCACAGGCATACCCTTAGCTCCATCTAGGAAACATGCTGAGGGTTCCAGCGCACCCTCCTCTCTCCTTCTCTTCTTGTCTCTCTCCAGCCCTTCTGTCAGCTGGTTTCAGCATTACATTTACTATTTCTAAAGTGATTTCAAATCAAAGTGTTCTGCAGTAGACCACATCATCACCATTTGAGCTCAATTTCACCCGAGTTGGTAACGGGCGCACACAACAGATGCTCTTAAATGTCTTTTTAAACATATGTTTAGAAGTGAGGGGTTCAAAGAGAGTGGCATGTCCAGTTGCATACCCTGTTCTGAATTGCTTAACCCTGCTTAATTGTGGGCTTACACGGGCTCAGTGCATGTGGGTCACTATTGCAGCTTTCTCTTCATTTCAGTGAGGAAGCTTTGGGCAGACTCTTCTGAACTCTGAGAAGCATATCTTAACCAGTTTTAGAATCCTCATTTCAGAACCATACCAAGAAATGCTGCAGTGTTCTCAGCCTGAGAGATGGTTGTGTGCTTCCTCCACTGGACTTTGGTGGAGAAAAAGCCTGTTGATCAAGGAGGAGTGTGGGCCTGTGGTGCAAGTTTAGTGCCCTGAATATTTTAGTCCTTAGCTGTGTACCAGTGCAGCAGGGAGGAGGAACAGAAGGCAACCAGGAGTCCAGTTGTGGGTATATGGTGCCTTGGAGGGGAGAGGCTGACCTGGGCATAAGGGGGAAATGAGGCTGGCTTCAGGCAATCACTTGAAAAGCTGCCCAGGGTTGTGTCTTGTTCTGTGGCTGGTTGGGGCAGAAAATTAGGAGCACTGGAGGTGGCAGGGCAGGGAGAACTTTGCCTGGCTAGGTTGCGTGAACCCAGAACTGGCCCAGCAATTGGGCAGGGTGAGGCCACTGCCTCAGGTGGCAGAAGCCCCCCAGGCGGCACTCCCGGGGGTGCCCCACTGCCTCCGTCAGTGATGATGAAGCACTGCCACCAACAACGCCAATTTCAGGCAAGACTGCAGCCATTTTGAACAAGATCTCACCAAAAACCAGCCCAATCTTGTTTGAAATTGGCGGTGCCCAGCAGCGCATGTGGCTGCGTTTGCAGGTATGGGCATGGGGTGGTGAGTGGGCAGGAGCAGGGGCAGGGCAGGGCAGGGCGACACTTCCCGTTTTGCATCAATCGGCCAAAGAGGGTGCGGTGTCTCTGCATGAGCCACGTTGACGTGCATCTTCTGCCACAACCAGCTGTCTGCTTCGTGTCAGTTCCAGAGATCAAGTAGGCAAAAGCTGGCAAGGGCATTAGGCAACAAGCAGAGCTCTGGCCCTGACTGGGTTAAGCTGGCTTCTTGCTGTTCCTCATGTAACTTGGAAGTCAGCTGGAGAAAGGATGTGTGTGCAGGTATGGTTTTCCCTTTCCTGAACTTCCAAGGATTTGCTTTTTTATTTCAACGAATACCATATTGACCTGAATAAAGCTGCACTTCCCCCCAAATTCTAACCGTGAAAAGTTAAAGTGCGGCTTATATTCGCGACCTTACGGTATGCAGCCAGGAGCGTGGGGCAAACAGTGGCACCCGCCCTGCGCGTAGTCCCCCGTCCCCTCCCCCAAGATCGGGAAGGGAGAGAGCGAGGAAGGGGAAACACTGCTGACAATGCAGCGCGCGCACACACACACACACACACACACACCCAGTATGCAGCAAGGAGCAGCAAGGAAGTGAACGACTTATATTCAGGTATCCCCCCCCCCCTCGCTCCAATTTAAAAGCTGCGGCTTATATTCAGGTGCGGCTTATTTTCGGGCCAATATGGTGCTTTGGAAAAGCTTTGACTGGACCAGCCCTTTCCTATTTTTCAGGCCTCCCGCTTCGTGGGCTGGAAGCCTCCACAGGCTGCTATTGTTATGATCCAGGTCCACAGATTGTTTTTCCAGTCCCATCCTTCCCAGAATTTGATTCGGATATATTTATTTATTTTAAACGTTTCATGGGCTGTATTTTTCTGAGAGGACAGCATCTGAAGCAGGCTACCAAAAAGAAAGAAAGATTACAAGCATCAGTAAGCAACACTAGCATTTCAATTGCCATCAGTAAAACAGGCAATACAAACCAGGCACTGCAGCCAGAGAAAGGCATCCACAACCAGATTAAACCAGCAACCAGTGAAAGCATCCTGTTTGCCTGTGAGACAGGCCTTTGTTTATTATGAGGGGCCAGGTCTGCCCTTGTCGGAGCAGGGAACTCAACAAACCCCACTAGGCAAAGCAGCCTTGTGTCCTGTTCATTCTCCTCTAAGTCGCTGCTCCTCCTAGCCTGGTGTTGCCCGCCCTGATTCATAGTGGCTTTCTGAGGTCCTATCCCAGCCACTCGCAGTCTTACCAGCTTAGGCTGCTGGGGGTTGCTCTCCTGCACACCTAAGAGAGAGCTTCCTGGAGCAGACCAAGGGCCCATTGTCCTGTTCCTCATCCAACAACAGACAGCCAAGCATCCAGAAAGCTGACAAGCGAGTGATGAAGCCAGTGGCCACCCCTGTTTATCTCCAAGATCTGGTATTCAGAGGTGAACTACTAAATGGAGATGTGACTGTTGCCCATTGGTAGGGCAGAAGGCAGGAAGGCAACTAGTAGGGGGGAGCCAGAGCCAAGTCAGTCTACTTTTGTCCCCATCCTTCTCCTTTGCCGAGTTTCACAAGGGCAACATGGAGGCAGTGGTGATGGAGGAGGAGGAAGCTGACTTGGTTGTAGGCAGGCTGGTCCAGGGGTGGCTAAGAGCAGACTGAAGTTGGTGGGACAGTTCCCCATTCACCCTAATGGACCAGCCTCCGCTGTGTTCACTCTAGTGGTTGGTCCACCCATCCTCTTCCCTGAACTTGTCCAGCTGTTTTGAAAGCCATCTGTGTGAGTGTCTCTTGCCACATTTCACAGGAGTGAGTTCCAGGTCAGTTGTGTGTGACTGGTAGGATTCTCCTTTTTCCACTCTGTTGTCTTGCAGTGGGCAACGCTGAGGATTGAGCGTGGGGCCAAAGAGAAGAAGCACCCGCTTTATAAGCCCTATGTGAATGGTAAGAGGCCTTGCTGCCGTCTCTCTGGGGGAGGAGGGGGTGCGTGGCGGGTTTTGTTCCCCTCACTGTGTGTCTGCTGCAGGGATCATTGCAAAGGAGCCCACTTCCTTGGAGGAGGAGATCAAAGAGATCCGGCGGAGTGGCAGCAACAAGGCCCTGGATGCCCCCGAGTTTGAACTCTCTGACATCTTCTACTTCTGCCGCAAGGGCATCGAGACCATCATGGATGATGAGGTGACCAAGCGCTTCTCGGCCGAAGAGCTGCAGTCTTGGAACTTGCTGAGCAGGACCAACTACAATTTCCACTACATCAGCCTGCGCCTCACAGTCCTCTGGGGCCTGGGCGTCCTGATCCGCTACTGCTTCCTCCTGCCACTCAGGTAGGGCCTGGGGCCTCTTCTGAGAAAGACTGAGCTGGGTGATGGCCCCACCGCAACCGGGGCTCCCTATGGTCCAGGGATGGGGAACCTGTGGCCCTCCAGCCAGTGTTGGACATCAATGCCCATCTGCTCCTGCCAGCAGGGGTAGTTCTTAGGGATGATGGGAGTGTAGCCGAGCAACATCTGGAAGAACCTCCCCACTTGCTCCAGAATGAAAGCTTGGGGGGGGTGTTTCATGTTGTGCCTGCCCCATGGTGGAACTATGTTAGTGGCTGGGGTACCAGTGCAGATGGTGGTCCTGCCTCCTCAGGGTTCTCATCTATCTCTCTCTCTCTCCCCCCCCCCCCGCAGGGTAGCTCTGGCTTTCACTGGCATTAGCCTCTTGGTGACTGGCACAACCATGGTGGGTTATTTGCCCAACGGAAGGTGAGTTCTCAATAGTGGACCCCTACAAAGATCACCACCTGGCAGCAGGTGCTGAAATACTCTTAGAATCATAGAATCATAGAGTTGGAAGAGACCACAAGGGCCATCGAGTCCAACCCCCTGCCAAGCAGGAAACACCATCAGAGCACTCCTGACATATGGTTGTCAAGCCTCTGCTTAAAGACCTCCAAAGAAGGAGACTCCACCACACTCCTTGGCAGCAAATTCCACTGTCGAACAGCTCTTCCTGTCAGGAAGTTCTTCCTAATGTTTAGGTGGAATCTTCTTTCTTGTAGTTTGGATCCATTGCTCCGTGTCCGCTTCTCTGGAGCAGCAGAAAACAACCTTTCTCCCTCCTCTATGTGACATCCTTTTATCCTCTTAACTTGCTTCGGGTACTGGGATTAAGGAGCAAACATCAGAGGAAAACTAATGGATTTAAATGTGGACTCCCTGTTTCTGCTCTTGTCTCTCTGGTCAGGCTCTGTTGATTCAACCTTCATATCACCATTTTGCCCTCGGGCAATTAAACGTGGAACAAAAGTGGGCGAGACTTTTTCTTTGTATTCTCTATTTGGGTGGTGGGAAGGGGGAATTGCCCTCAGCATCTCAAGAAAATTTGAATAACTGAGCAAGAATCTTAAAAAAAAGGCAGAGCAAAGGAGAAATAGAACTCTGTTAAGATGATGCCATTCTCACTAAAAGGTCAGAGCTTATCAGTATATCCAGAAGGCTAGCCTTTCTGCCTTTCACCCCAACCCTCTTGAGTCACACCAGTCCAAAGGGGGCTTCCCTGAGAACTCCCTCTTTTTGCATGTGTGCAACTTGTGCAAAAAGCAACTTGTGAGGAAGCACCCCCACCACAGGGCTGCTGTTGCACAGGCTTCACACGGCAGGCTCCAGCCCTTTCTTAAAAGTGGGTCCATTGACCAAAGCCACCAGTCCAGGAAAATGGCAGGATCCTTCTGTCTGCACCCACTGGATTTGGAGTCGTTCCTCATCAGGGGATCATCAGAAGAAAAGGATGGCTGCGGTTTTCTCTTTTAAAGCCATGCTGCCACCTCTTCCTTCATGTAGTCCTATCTGGTTGGTGATTTTGAAAGCCAGCTGCTTCCAGAGGGAGGCGCTAAAGGTTGCCTGGTATGTGGCCATTTGGAGATGTGTGTCTTCCTCTTTTCTTTAGGTTTGTAAGTGCTATTTTGAGGAAAGCAGGGGCACCTAGACATAGATGGTTACTCTATGCTATAGCCGTTGTGATAGTGTGTTTTTAATAGATTTTTAAAATAAACGTATGCACATAGTTTTAATATTTAATATTAAGCATTCTATTACGGTTTATACAGTAGTTGTTGTTATTTTCTTTTTTCTAGCTGTTCCTATTTTATCTGCAAGCTACTCTGAGTACCTATTAGGGAAAAGGGTGGAGAATGAATGAATGAAGGAAGGAAGGAAGGAATAGCCACAACAACAACTTTCAATTTAATCAGGTGTTTGCCCTTTAGGTGCAAAGAGTTCCTGAGCAGGCACGTTCATCTGATGTGCTACCGGATCTGTGTGCGAGCTCTCACAGCTATCATCACCTACCACCACCGGTATGGAGGGGATGGGAGGAAGGTTGTAGTACACATGCCCAGAAAAGGGGGAATGTTGACTGGGGCCTGTGTGTTGGCTGCATTTCTGTGGCTTTCATTTTAAAAAAACAGAAAGAGGAGAGAACAAGTTTTTAGATCTTATGGCTGCAAAAAGAATGCCTGATAATGTGAGAAGCCAGGAAGGTGGTTGAACAAGAATCCCAATAGTCAGAGGGTACGATCAGTGCCTTTACAGCTCCTCCTTATGTCTTCTTAAATAAAGCACCAGCAAAACATCTGTACAGCAACACTGAAACATGCAGAAGCAAAACAAAGCTATTATTAAAATCACTGGCTGTTCAAGGGACATTTTAAGCAACTGCATAGGCCTGTTGACATTAGAAAGTCTTCAAGAGAAATGTGAAAGTCAAAAGCAATGGTGCCTGATGACTCTCTGTGTCCTGGCTCACAGCCTCAGTATCTGCTCTAAGTACTGGATACATGGTTCAACCATTCATAAGCTGTGTTCATAAGCAAAGATGCTGTCCCAACACTTCCCAGGTTCCTCCTGCTCTGCTTTTAAAGACGCTTGCCTAGAGCTTGCACAGCTTCTCCTGATTCTGATGCTATGGAGAACTAGGGCTGCATGTCCTCCGTGTGCTAATGGCACTGTGCTCCAAAACACCTAAGGACCGCTCCCAGTGGTTTCATATAGAGGTTAAATAGCATTGGCTACAAAATAGTGCTCTGTGGAACCCCCTAGCACAGGTGCCAGGGAATGAACACTCTTAAAGTGCTCCTCTCATGGGGAGGAATAGAACCCCTGTGCCCATTGCACAGAGTCAGTCTCAGGGGAATACCGTGGTCAGTGGTCTCAAAAGCCAGCGAGAGATTGAGTCATAGTAACAGAGCTGTACTCCCCTGATACAGGGGCAACCAAGGCCTATTTAGTTCTGAAAGTCAGGTTTAAACCCAGATTTGAGCTGGATAATCAGTGTCATCTGCCACTGTCCCCAAGAATGACATGTTTAGCAATGTAGAATACATTGTGCAAACATGGGACACAAATTAATATAATTTATATGGGTCATAGATCTGAGGTTTCTTTGACGCAGAACTTCAGGATTGTTGGTTTGTTTGTTTTTTAAGTTCAGAACACATAAAAACCTGATTGTATCTACTGTGTGTGAACTGTGCCATTATCTGTGTGGCAGGGCATTGAGGTTGCTTGTTCCTTAAGGATAGAAATTGGGGGAAGAAGGACACATGGAAGGAGGCCCCCTGCTGAATGCTTTTCCAGGACAGGCTGAGCTTGTGCTTCAGCCTTTTTCTTTTTTCTTTTTTTTTCCCTTTGGCTAATCTCTTTTTCTTTCCCAACTTCAGGGAAAACAGACCCCGCAATGGAGGAATCTGTGTGGCTAACCACACGTCCCCGATTGATGTCATAATTCTGGCCAGTGATGGTTACTATGCTATGGTGAGGATGGAGAACCATGTGCGTGTGTGTGTGTGTGTGTGTGTGTGTGAGAGGAGGATCACTGTGTAGCAGCAGAAGGTTCTTGAACATAACGTTTATTGAAAATACTGGATTCGTTTTTGAAAAATCAGGGCCATTGCCCAATTCTGTCAGGCAGCATTGGTGGCACTGGGTTGTTTTTAAACCAATCTGTCAATGTGCCCCGCCCAACAGCCATGGGGAGGAAGTATGTTCTGTTCATGCTGCTACGATGTGCCCACCACCCAAAGGAACAGTCATAAGATAGGAGTGTGGAAGCTGTTTGAACTCTCCTTGAGCATCCTCGCTGCTCCTGCCTTTTTCTTGAACCTTGGGAGCTCGTCTGCAGGCAGATGGGGGAATCATTTGGCGCCCTTGGTGGTCTCTGGAGAATGTCAGGTGCTTGGGTGGTCTGCTGCAGCTATTTGCACACTCCTGAGCTTCTTAGCCAAGAGAGGCCTGTGTTCCTCTGCAGCCCTCCCTGAGGACCCTGTGCTTTTGGACAAAGGGAGGACAGGTGTCTCCCACATTCCATGATGGGTGGGTAGCAGTCAGGTCCCACATTCTCACCTTCCTTAACACTTGGCATTCCTGCGGGATGGAGAGTTTTATACAGACAAAGGTCTCTTCCTTTGCAAGTAGAGCTGCTTGATGTTGGCGTGGCTGTCTTAATGGGAGGCTGCTGAACCAAAGTCTCCCCCCACACCCTGACTGACCTATGACCTCTTTTCTGTTCCTCAGGTGGGCCAGGTCCATGGGGGGCTCATGGGGGTAATCCAGAGGGCCATGGTCAAGGCTTGTCCCCATGTCTGGTTTGAACGCTCGGAGGTGAAGGATCGCCACCTGGTGGCTAAAAGGTGGGTGCACAATCTGTCCCTGCTCCATATGCCCAGCAGGCAAGGCTTGTGGGTTGTGCTGCGTATAGTCTGGGGAGTTGCAGCTCTGACTGGTGACAGACTTGGCTACCTGGCTGATTTGAAGTTGAGGAGCTTGCTTGGTGGTTGCTGGGGCTGCTGGAATCTTCTTCTGGATCAGCCAGGCATGTACCTCTCAGTGATACACACACATGCTCTCTCTCTCTCCTTTCTACCTGCAGGCTGTCCGAACATGCTCATGATAAAAATAAATTGCCCATCCTTATTTTCCCTGAAGGTAAGCAAGAATTAAGGAAGAAGGGTTAAGTCCCAGGGCTCTCTATAGTCATGGTGCCCCAGCCACAGGACGGATGAAAGCATCCTATTAAACATATAAACTGTAGAGGCAAGTAAAGGCTGGAGGGACTCACAGTCCTGAATTCCAAGTACCTAACAGAAAGCAGCCACTTGGGTGGGTAGAGACTGAAGGCCACTCTATCCCTGCATCTCTATGGCCCACAACTTCTTGGCTTGGTATGGTTCACCACTGAAAATACGTTCTGTTTGAAATTGGATGTGCCACTCAGACTTCATTGAAAGCTATGCCCTTGATTTATGCCACATTCTCACAAATACACAGGCTTCCCCACCCTACCCCACCCCCATGGGTAAGTCCTCTGTCCCACCATTGGTGATCCCTGTTCCTACAGAAACGGCCATTTCTCTTCACAGGCACTTGCATCAACAACACTTCCGTGATGATGTTCAAGAAAGGGAGCTTTGAGATTGGTGCCACTGTTTATCCGGTTGCTATCAAGGTGAGAGCTGTTACCATTGAGCAAAGCACCCTGAAGCTTGCTAGGTAGACCTTGGGGACTGGAGGATAATGCCACTGTGGTCTGTATGGAGCCAGGAATGCTGGAGAGTTGAGAAGCCCTGGGAATTTCTGGCAAGAGGTTCCAGAATCTTGTACTATGCAACACAGGCCCTGCAACTTTTCACAACCTCTCAGCCTGTTATGCCATTGAAAGTATTTACTCTTGGGCTTTACATTGGACACGTTCCACTGGGGAGTTCTGTAGATGAGCCACCTTGGAATGATTGGGAGTGATCCCCATTTATTCATCGGGACTTTCATAGGAGAATTCCCCACTAGCCTATGCCTATTTGGACTAAATTTCAGATCCATGGAATTTGTTTGGGGCACATTCAAAACTTGCATGAGCATGTAGAGAGTTGGGTAAAGCAGGCCACTGCACGATGGCACACAGACAGAGGAATTTCAGCTGCATTGCTCTACACCTTGGGGTGGGGACCTATGGCCCTTCTTGAACTTTAAGCTCTCATCATTCCCAGCAAGCATGGTCAGTGGCCAGGAATGAAGGAAGTTCTAGGTCTTCAGCAACATCTGCAGGTTCCCCACACTTGGTCTTCCCCACAGTGAAAACTGGGCATGTTGCTCTCTCAGCCTAATTTACTGATCTCATGGGGTTGTTGTGAGGATGGAACAGGATAATCTCATGTAAACTGATCTGAGCTCCTTGAAGGAAGAGCTGGACACTGCTGTTTAAGAAGGATGTTGACAAGCTGGAAGGTGTGCAGAGGAGGGCAACCAGGGTGATCAAGGGTCTGGAAACTAGCCTGATGAGGAAGAGGGGTTGATGGAGTTTGGTATGTTTAGCTTGAATAAGACTGAAAGGTGAGATGATAGCCATATTCAAACATTGTAAGGACTATCACATGGAAGAGGGAGCAAGCTTGTTTTCTCCTGCTCCGGAGGGTAGGACCCAAACCAGTGGATTCAAATTACAAGAAAGGAGATTCCAACTAAACACCAGGAATAACTTTCTGACAATAAGAGCTGTTCAACAGTGGAACAGACTTCCTCAGAAGGTGGTGGACTATCCTTCATTGGAGGTTTTTAGACAGAGTTTCGATGGACATCTGTCAGAGATTCTGTAGTTGCAGAGTGTTGGACTAGATGCCTCTTGAGTTCCCTTCCAACTTTATGATTCTATGGATGCAAATATCATAAATGGAAATCCTTTATTGAAAGGCAGTTCCTACAGGCATATTTCTTGCCGTGTGTTGAATGTGGCATAAACCTCTTTTGCTTTCAGGAGGTGTTGAGTTCTCTATCTTCCCCTCCCTCCCATCCTTTTGTCCTTCAGTATGACCCCCAATTTGGAGACGCCTTTTTTAACAGCAGCAAATACGGCATGGTGACTTATCTGCTCAGGATGATGACCAGCTGGGCTATAGTTTGCAGTGTCTGGTACCTGCCGCCAATGACCAGAGAGGTGGGTACCTGAACTTGGAGTAGGGTTGTTATCAGAGAAATGGCAGCCATCCCCACCAGGCTCCTTTCTGCAAATTCCAACCAGCCTTTGTTCTTTTTTAGCCTGATGAAGATGCTGTGCAATTTGCCAATCGGGTGAAGTCTGCCATTGCTAGGCAAGGGGGTCTTGTGGATCTCCTGTGGTGAGTCCTGAAGCTGATGGATCGGGAGGATGGGGAGAAGCTGGGAGTCATGCCATTGGTCCACCTGGCCCAGTGCTCTGGACACATTTTGCTTGGAAAGCAATGGCTCTACCTCTGAGCTCTGCCCACTCAGGGAAGGGCCGTGAGAGTAGCAGCTTCCTTACCTGCAGAAGGTCCCTAGTTCAGTCCCCAAAGGCATGTGTGGGCAGGGCAGGAGATGTCCCTTGCAGAAAACCCTGGAGAGCCTCTGTCAGGGTAGACATTCCTGGGTTAGATCAGCCAATGGGTTGGCTGATCTGGGTTAGATCAGCATTTGTATAAGGCAGCTTCCTAAGTTTCTGTGTCACAGCCATGTTGGGATGTGGATGGGACTCTATCCTGGCTAAATCTATGGCTTCCTTGGGCTCAGTCTACATGTTAAGATTCCTGCATTGCAGAAGTTTGGAATAGATGATCCTCCGGGTCCCTTCCAAGTCTATAATTCTATAATTATGCAGAATTTCATGGTTCTTCCTACTACATTTTTAAGAGCTCAAAATCAGCTGTATGCCAGTAGAAGAAGCCTCCTTCACCTTTAAAAGATGTGGGGAGGTTGATTTTAAGCTGGAAAAGAATAGGGAGAGTAAAGACTTCAGCAATGTTTCATGTTTGGCAGCAGCCTGCGTAGGATGTTCTCTGTTTAAAGACCAATGTGGTGGGGAGAACCATGGACACTGGCCTCAGCTGTGGCTTGAGCCTCCAGCAACCCAAAGAGCCTGCAGCGTCTCTGCATCCAGCCGCTGCTGAGCCTTTTCCACAGTGGATGGATTATGGGAGTGGGGCTGGCCAAGCAGCCTTGAAGGCGCTGGCTGTGGTGGGGTAAGCCCATGCGCCTGAGACTCCCTCCTTAGCACTGCCACATGATAAATCTGCACACAGCGGCTGTTAGTAGAATTTGCAAGTGCAGTTTTTCCCTTCCTGCTGGCCAGGGCTGTACGTTCCCTCTTGCACGCTGGTGCTTTTAGCCAACAGGGGAGTAATTTTCTTTTCTTGTCCGTCTGCTCTCTCCCTCTCTCTTTTTCTAGGGACGGAGGCCTAAAGAGGGAAAAGGTGAAGGACACCTTCAAGGAAGAGCAGCAGAAGCTCTACAGCAAAATGGTTGTGGGCAACCATGAAGACCGAAGCCGCTCCTGAGCTTCGTGGAGCAGGGGCTGCTGCAGGACTGACAGCCTCCACCTCCTCCCAGCCTTCTGGAGCACATGCTTGGCTGAGCTGCCGCTCCAGGCCAAGGTGGTGCTGCCCAGAGGCTCATCAGCAAGAGGCCTTATTTCAGCTGCAATGGCTTGGCTCGCTACTTAGACAGCCACAGTGGAGAACTTTTCCCACAATGGGAGTGGCTGGATGGGCTGCCCCACGTTTTGTATTTGTGTGACGGTGCTGGAGAATGCCTGAGTGTGTGCTTGCGCATGTGTGCCTGCACTGGAAGCTGCTGTGGTTGCAAGAGCAGCTGGACTTGTTGAGCCCCTGCTGCCTGTGGTAGGTGCCCCCAGCAGCTTCCTCTGCCCTTTGCAGCCCCAGGGAAAGGCTCTGTCCTCTTTGCATTCTGTCTTTTCACTCTTTCTCCCCCCCCCCCAAAAAAGAGAACTGACTGAGACTGCATAGGGTCCCTTTGCATTTTTTAATTAAAATATATAGAGATGGAGCTTTGTGCTGAATAATCCCTCTGCTGTTTTTCAAATGGAACCGCAAAGATGGTGCAGTGCTTTGGCTCTCAAAACTGGGAAGGGGCCTCCTTAAAAGAAGTGCCAGGTTAAGGAAGGTACAAGGCCTTTCCCCTTCCTCTTTGGCATCTTTTGTGTGTGTGTGTGTCCTACTTGGACACAAGTGGCTGGGTGCAGAAGTGGCTGCACTCTGTTAGAGGGCAGTGAGATGGCCAGTTTGGGACACAGAAAATATCACCACTATAGCAGGAAAAGGTGTGACCCTGGGTGGGGAATTCTGCTTTGCCCATTCCAGGGAGAGGCCACATATAACCGTGGCCTGAGCTTCACCCCATCAACCCCTGCTAATTCTGGCCTCTGAAGAAAGTTGGTTTTTAACATCTGCTAATGCAGACTCAAGTTTAAGATACTAAGTCAAGGGCCCTGAGTCAGAAGCAGTCTTCTCTGCCATGTGAGAAAACTTCTGAGGTGCTGCGCTGACAAAGTCAAAGTCCATCTCCTTGCCTCCAGCTCCATCCCTGCCCTGTGCTTTGCCTCCTAGAGCTGCTACTTTGAAAGCAGCGCTTGCTGCTCACAGTGGGCTGGGCTGCTCTCCACCTGCCCTCCTGCCCCTGGTGACGCTAATGGCCTCCTTCACAGGCTGATGAGGGAGCAGTGCACTCAGAAGCCACACAGGTGCTTTGGGGCTGGGGGCGTGTTTCATCTTCTTCACATGGAAGCTTTTTGGCCCTTCCCCAAGCCAGATCCTTGTTTGCATTTGCATTCATAACCCACCTACCATCTCAGAGATAAATAGAATGGAAACATCAAAACCCTCTGAAGCTGGCGAGAGACCAGAATGATCCATTCCAACCCATTTCTTGAATAAGCTTTGGTGCTCAGAACCTCTACGGGCAATGAGTGGCCTGCCCACTCACAGACATTGCTTATTCCGGCAGCTCACAGCAGAACAGCCAGGAACAGCTCCAGTCGGGGAACTTGTGGACTGATTTTGTTATGGGCATCCACCAATGACATTTGGCCTGTGGGCCTGAAAATGGACAAACTGAACAAGGAGTTCTGGGTTTAGGAGCTCACGTTTGAGATTTGCCACGGCATAATGTGTGAAAAGGCCCTCCGTTTCCAGGAGCGGGCTGAGTTGATGGGGTCATCCGCTTTCTCCTCCCTCTACACTTGGCTGTGCTGTTGGGTGGCTCCTTGGCTCACTGGCAGAAGTTCAGCAGCACCCAAGACCAATCCTACATTGGCCTGGAATCCAGTCACCAGTAAAAAGCATGCCAGGACACAGAGTTCTGTGCATTTAGAGTGGGGTATTGGCACTGTCAGTTCATTTGGAATATTTTGCCACCGATCAGTAAAAAGAGTAAACCAAGGAAGCAGCGAGGGGGGTGGGCAGAGATACAAGGGGCCCAGACCCAAAGAGATGGGAGCCTACCTTCCTCTCCCCTGCTTTCAGTATTGGGGAGAAACTTGGCTTTCAAAAAAACAGTCTCAGGCTTCTGCTCTGGCTGCTCCATTCTGTAATTGCAGCCAGGTGGGTTTGGGGGTCAGTTGTTGGCCCAGCTTTACTGTTGGAGTTTTAAGGTCTTGCTGTAAATATTTGTGGGAGGTGCAGTTGTCTACCTGCTCAGGAGACCCATGAACCCACAATCTTCTTTGGCCCACTTCAGACTGATCAGGCCCCCCTTAACTTTCACTCCCTCATGATGCCCAACCTGATGGGGGGGGTTTCCAAAATAAGAGGTTAATAAGAAGAAAGACAGTCTTCCTTGGGAGGTGGTGGACTCTCCTTCCTTGGAGGGTTTTAAGCAGAGGTTGGGTGGCCATCTGTCATGGATGCTTCAGGTAAGATTCCTGCATTGCAGGGGGTTGGACTAGATGACCCTTGGGGGTCTCTTCCAACTACAGTTCTATGATTCTATGTGCCTCTGTACTGAGCCTGAACAGCAGGCAACTGCAGGGCCCAACTATGTGTTCGGATCAGGAAGGGAATAGACTTACCTCATTCTTTGGGGAGTTGTTTGGTGTTCCTCTTTGCTCCCATTCAGGGATTCCATTTGCTTCTGTGGTGCCCTTGAAGTCAGGCTCCAGTTGCCTCAGACCAGCAGGGGAGGGGGGGAGAATTCACCCCCAGCACTGTTCTCACTGTGCGCCATGGAGCATGCAAAAATGTTATCGCGGCACGTAGAGTGAATTATCCATGCACACGTTTTACCTCTTCTAAAAAGGACCTGCCCCCACTTGTGCCCCATTTTTGCAGGGCCCCCGTCTGTGTCTTGGCTTCTTCCTTGAGTTGAGAGCCTGCTCTTGTTCCTCCAGCAGCTGCAACTGCTCTGGTTTCCGTCATGATCTCTTGAGTCTTGTGGGAATGTTGCCCTAAAGAGTGGGGCAGGAGGTGTCTCTCCTTGCCCCCCACCAAGCGCTCACCCTTTCCTGGGCAGGGGAGAAGAACACTGCTGTGATCCTCCCTGGGGAAAAGCCCATTCCTTCTTGTGTTTGCTCAACCCTGAACTTTGCCCACATTTGATAAGGAGGATCTTGCTCTTGCAACAAGCACTTAAGGGGTGTGTGTCTTCTATCTCGGTGCCTCTGCTGCTCTCGGCCCATGAATATGCACGTCCCATGGCTTGGGGAAGCAAAGTGTACTCTGCCTTTTATGGTTTGACTCAAGAGGCCAAGGTGGGGGGTTTGTGGATGTCAATGATAAGGCCAGCCCCTCACACCCTTTGGAAGGAGGAGAGCACCTGGGTTCGCATGAGCCAGCAGTTGTAGGTGCTTCTGCCTGGGCTATTCTTTGCAAAACCTCACAATCCGGGCCTGAATCAGACCAAAGTTGGGTCTAGCATAGCATTTTGCACCTGCCAGCAGCCATTTCTCACACAGCACAGAGGCAATGTGACCACCCTCATCCAGCAGCTTTGGGTCTGTTAGCAAAAAAAGTGGAACGGCCCCACCAACCTCAGGCCCCACCCCCGCTTGCAACCTGTTCAGGAAGTGGCAACCGCTGCCAGCTTCCTCTTCAGTCTCAGTGTTGTAGAACTAAGCAGGGAGAAAGATGGGGACAAACCTGGAATTACTTGGTTCTGACTGGCCCTCCTGTTGGCCTCCCTAACTTCTGCCCTTCCAGTCCCCATGGGCATCAGCCACCACTGTGTGATATTCTACCTCTGCACCCAACGCTTTCACTACCTCATTCCAGAGCTACCAAATCCCTTTGGGGACGGAGCAAGCACAGCTGGAGGCAGCAGCAAGGAGGGCTGTGGTCTGCATCCTGGCACAAACTCGGAATTAGTTTCCTCTGCCACGGGAACTGCGAAAGGGGAGGCCCTCCAACAATAGCACAGCTTCGCCTTTGGCTCACCTCTGACCAGGTTTGGTGCTGTCCAAAACATCTGGAGAGCACCAGACTGGGGAAGGCTGCCCTATCATAATAGCGTCTGAAAGGCCAGTGGTGAATCCCAGGTAATATTTGCTTATTGGTTCATGGGGAAAACAAATTGCACTTGAAAGCTGGTATGTGAATGTGATATTGAGCCTGCCCTCGTAGATTCACCTTTGTGCTCTGCACTGTGTCGAAAGCACCTATAGGAGAATGTAGGTCAGCTTTCACATGGCAGCTTATTGCAAAATGGGAGCTTGTCAGGCAAGGAGGTCCAAATGACATCCTCCTCAAAATTGTCCAAATGACATCCTCCTCAAAATGCCATCCCATCTTCCTCCCCCCCCAATGTAACCCACATTTACTATTTTTTTTGTTGTTTTTCCTACTTACTGGCTTTTCCATGGAAGCAGTAAATCTGGATTAAATGGGGAACTAATACGGGAAAAGGTGTTGATTGGGGTGGTGTTGGACAGCAGCAAGTCCACAGTCATCTTCATCTTGTGGCTCAGAGGTGCGGATCCCACTGCGTCTGCCACCTCCTCCCATACAAAATCCACCACAATGGAGGCCAAACAAAGCCGTGATCAGGAAGCCACTGTTGATGTGCATATCAGCCCTGTTGTGTATTAAGCAGGGACAAAGGGAAGTGCGGCTCTTTCTAATGCTGAGAAGGTTGTGCAGGGGAGGAGCTGAACCCTTCCTCTCTGGCATTTCAGGGGATTGGACTGCATGCACAAGTCTATGATTCCCCATGTTCTGTTGCTTCTGACATAGAATCATAGAGTTGGAAGAGACCACAAGGGCCATCGAGTCCAATTTACTCTGTGGGAATCGGGTCTGGCCGTCACGGCGAAGGCAGAGACCCCTCAAAAATCACAGGCAGGTGAAGCCTGTGAACGTGGGATTCGGTGGGCACCTTTCGTGCCCCCCCTACTCGTGGGGAAACCTGATTTCGGGGCTCCGGAGCGAAGTGGGGTGAGTGGCGCGGTGCTGTGAATCGACTGCTTTTTCCACGGAGTGAAGCCGCACAGCCGTTGCCGGAGAGCGCTGACTTTTTCCTGTGGACAATTTGATTTTAAAAGCAACTACCCGTGAGTGGAATAAATTGGAAGTTTTTAAAGGGGAAAAAAACCTAATTTGGCACTGAAGCGGGGAGGCTCAAACAGGAAGTCCGCCTTCCGCTTTTGTAAATAGATCAAAGCAAAGAGCTTGCAAGCTAAAGTCTTGGAAAGTCGATCGGAAAGCACTAATTTTCCAACATTAAAAAATAGTGAATTCCCCCCCTTGGAAGCAGGAAAAGAGGGCGGGAAGTTTGACCATATATACCTGCAAGAGAGAGGGAAGGAAGTTAAAATTCCACCGCTCAGAACCTGGGAACGGGCTGCCAACAGGACAATAAGACTGCCGTACTTTGAAATGCGTATTGACTGTGAATAGACCATGCGCTGACAGCTAGCTGAGTAAGAGAGATACATTGTTTTCAGCTGCCCCTTTTTGATCTTAAAAAGGAGGAAAAGTAACTGAAAATTGAAACTAACTTTCTTGCTTGAGTTGTGTTTTAAAAGGTGTTATTTTGGATTAATACAAGTACAGATAGCAACTGTTTCCCCCTAGAGGAAGTTTCTGAAACTGTTACAAGAGTTGGATCAGGGGAATTTTCCACTTGTAAGACAAAACTGTGTGACTGTGGGACTGACCTTGGATTTTTTAAAGTGTTATGGCAGATGGGAAAGAAAAAGTAGATCCATCACACCCAGACAAAACAACAAGGTCTGGGAAGTCTTGGCAGCGAAGAGCGTCAGCATCCGGCCCTTCTGCCTTATCTGCGGCTGTACCAACACAATCTAAATCAAGAGGAATGTCATCAGAAGAAGCTCTAGCGCTTGCATTAAGTAAGATAAATGAATGGAACTTAACAAGAAAGCAGATGCTACAAATGCAAAAGTGGATGCCACAAATGCAAAAGTGGATGCTGCAGTTATTAAAATTGATGTAAATACAGAAAGCATAAATAGTTTGGGACAAAAGGTGAATACTAACACAGAAACTATTGAGAAACTGATACAGGAATCTAATTCGACACGACAGACCGCAGAGGAAGCCAAGGAAAAAGTTGCTGCTGTGGAATTTAAGGTAACACAATTGGAAACAGAGTTCCAGACCTACAGAGGCAACTTCGGGACCATAAGCTGACGCTTTCTATGATTGAGCTTAAGGAGAAACAGACAAATTTGAGGATCAGAGCTGTACCTGAACTGGAGAAGGACAGTTTGATAGACTTTCTCACACAGGAACTTGCAGAATTTTGGGAGTTGGATTTGGAACAAAAGGAATTTAAAATTGTGAGGGCCTTTAGATTGGGAAGAGGAGGGAAGAAAGAGAAGAACAGAATAAGAGACTGTTTGATTACCCTCAGATCTAAAGAAGAGAGAGACAGAATTTTGGGTTGGCATTACCAGAAGACTTTGGTAATACAACAGTCAAGAGTGGAAATATTTAAAGATATCCCGAAACATCTTTTGGACCTTAGGTCCAATTACGGAGATTTGGTTGTCCTGCTGAGAAGGAACAAAATCATCTTCAGGTGGGAATTTCCCCAAGGCCTATCCTTCAGTTTCAAAGGAAGGAAAATAAAAATAAGATCAGTAGAAGATAAAGTAAAGTTTTTGAATAACTACGAGGAAGATCTGCAGAAGGAACTTGGAAAAGAGTCAAGAGCATCGGACAGAAGATCACCAGACAGAGGATTAGAGCAAAGAGCATTGGACAGAAGATCACCAAAAAGAGGAATAGTGGACATTGCAACATTACCTTTTGGACTGGACCGCCTAGTGACACCGACACTACCAACAGAAGAAGAGCAGGCATTGGGTGCAGTTGGAGGAAAATCAGAGTAATCACATCATGGCACTGCAAGTATTAAGCTGGAATGTTAATGGACTGAACTCCCCGGAAAAAAGGCGGAGAGTCTTTCATTTATTGAAAAAAGAACAATTGGACTTGATTTGTTTGCAAGAAACACATGTGACAAGGCTACACAGGAAGATACTGAGTAATAAAAGATTGGGCCAAGAATGTATTTCATCAGATAAAGTCAAAAAAAGAGGAGTAGTCCTTTATGTAAAGGAGAGCCTATCACCGAAATTTATATTTAAAGATGACCAAGGAAGATTTGTCGCAATTGAAATTCAATCACAAGGAGAGAAATTTTTGATAGTAGGCATTTATGCACCAAATGAGGGAAAATCGGAATTTTACAAGAAGTTACATGAGACTCTGATGGACTTTATGGATTACAATATGATTTTGATGGGGGACATGAATGGAGTGGTGTCTACAAATATGGACAAGGCACTGAGACAGGTAGTCACCAAGGATGGTAGACTACCAAAAACTTTTTTTGATATGACTGACAATATGGATTTAGTTGACATCTGGAGAATGAAGAACCCTTTGGGAAGAGAGGGAACTTTCTTCTCTGAGGCCAAAATGACATGGACAAGAATTGACCAAATTTGGGTAACTAGAGGGTTGGCTCCGAAGATTAGAAAAGTGGAAATTTGCCCTAAAACTTACTCCGACCATAATGCTGTGAAGATGGAAATGAAACTAACACCAACTGGTTCCTTTAGATGGAGGATGAATGACACTTTGTTTAGGAACGAAGAAGTGACTAAGAAGGCCCAAAAAACCTTGAGAGATTATTTTGAGATAAATATGAACACCACTATTGAAAAAAGAGTAATCTGGGACGCAAGTAAAGCGGTTATGAGAGGATTTCTGATACAACAGAATGCAATTAAGAAGAGAGCTCAAAATGAGAAAAAAGACAAGATTTTGGAGAAAATAAAGGAAGGAGAGAAGAAACTGAGAGTGAAACCAAAGTCGCAGGAGATCCTGAAAGAGATAAAGTTATATCAAGTACAATATATGAAAATGATGAACCAGGAAATAGAATGGAAAATTAAACAGATGAGACAAAAGACATTTGAATCAGCAAATAAATGTGGTAAACTGCTGGCTTGGCAAATGAAAAAAAGACAAAAACTTAATACCATTACAAATTTGGAAGTGGAAGGAAAGAATATACAGAATCCAGTGGAGATCAGAAAGTGCTTCCAGAGGTACTTTAAACAATTATATACACAGGAGACGCAGAAAGAAATGGACATCGACCGATTTTTGAAAACAAATGGACTACAAAAAATCTCTCAAGAAAACAAACTAATGTTGAACTACAAAATAACGGAGCAGGAGGTAGAAGGCCATCCAGAACATGCAATTAGGCAAATCTCCAGGACCGGATGGTTTGACCTCAAGATATTATAAATCCCTGAAAGAATGGTTAGTACAGCCATTAAAAGAAGTTTGTAATTGTCAGGGGTTCAGGAGCAGAGGCACAGGAAAGGGAGGAAATAGAGAGCGAGGGGGAGGAGTCCGAAGGAAATGTTAGCGATGACAGCGGTCCGAGGTCTCTGAGTCTTTCCAGCGAATCGGAAGATTCACAGAAAGGGGCTCCCTTGGTCAGAGCAAGGCCGCTGCCGAGGGGGACACCCCAGGAAGAAGGGGCCAGAGGGGACTCAGAGAGCAGCAGTTGGAAATCAGGACCAGCGTCCACACCAGAGTGCAGTAGGGGGGAGGGGTCCCAGGCATCGGGATCAGGCGGCGCACTGCCAGTGGGAGGACATGAGTCAGGATTGGCCACGCCTCCATCGGGGAGCGAGGAAACGGTCGAGAGGAAGGTTGAAGGCTGGGCGCGCGCGCCAAGTTCAAATGTACAGGAGGGCGGCGCAGTTGGCAGCCCGGATAGGGAGCCAGGTCCCAAAGCCCGCCGAAAAGAGGGGGAGGAGTCAGGGGGTCAGCGTCAGAAGAATCCAGGAAGGAAGGGACCCCGGGGGGTAGCAGGACCCAGAGGAGAAAGGAGAGACGTAAGAGGTGGAGTAAGGCTAGAATCTTAAACTGGTGTACAAGGGGCGGAGACTCAGATGGAGCTTCGCCGATCTAACCCCTAGACGTAGAGCTGGGGCGCTGCGGCTTGAAAATGGAAACTGTACTTCAATAAAGACTTTTGTACATTACTGCCGGCTAGCGTTGGTCCTCTGTGAGCTGGGACCTGGAGCCAGCTCTGACAGTAAGCTCCATCTCCTAAAGTTTTGCACCAAAAACCTCGTAACGTGAGTGGACGCAGCGAGGGAAGAAGATTGGTGCTTCGCGAGCTCACAAAAGTCAGGCAAGATGACTACAGAACAGCAACTAGCAGCCCTGCAAAATGCAGTGACACAACTCAACGCGGAGGTACTCGCATCCAGGAAAAGGGAAGAGGAAGCGGCTGCCGCCTGCAGGGATCTCCAAGCCAGGTTGGAAGTGCTTGCTAAGCAGGGGCAACCGGGACCCAAATCAGAGGGGATTGGGCTGGGGAAAAGAGGAGGCAGCCTGGTATCTCATTTCGATGGGAATTTGCAGCAGTACCCTAACTTCCGAGCAGACGTGCTGTTTGCGCTGGAACTGCTGGATAAAGACTTTAGAGATGAGCAAGAGAAGGTGGGGTTTATCTTGTCCCATTTGCATGGGGAAGCTAAAGCGTGGCTGCGCAATCTGTGGAGAGATAAGGATCCGGCGCTCCAAAATGCGGATGCATTCATTAAAGCGATGGATTCGTGTTTTTTATCAAATATAGACATTGATATCGCCAGAAAAGACATACATGGGCTCAAACAAGGCAGAGCCAGTGTAAGGCAGTACCATTCCCGCTTTTTTGCATTAGTCCATGCGCTGGGATGGGAGAAGGATTCTGCCCCAGCCAGAGACCTTTTTTGGGAAGGCTTGAATGCAAATGTGAAAGATGAGATTGCAAGGGGGGAGAGACCAAAGAGCACTCAGGAGGTTGTCCGGCGGGCGCTGCAAATTGGGGTGCGTCTGGAAGAACGTCCATGGAACAGAGAAGAAGGACGTTGGGGACGTACGCCAGTGAGAGCACCTCCCCTCTTTCCCAAGGATGCAGCGCGTGTGCAATCCCCACCTCCGCAAGGAGGGGGAGAGCAACCGATGGAGATTGGAGGCGCCAGGGCTCAGTCAGCAACCAGAGCCCTAACACCGGGAGCAGTCAAAGCGAAGCCTCCTAGAGGGAACAGGAAGTGCTACATCTGCGACAGTGCTCAGCACATGGCGAAAGAGTGTCCCCAGAGGCTCCACAAGCACACTGCAGCCTCAGCAACAGTAACAGACGCAACTCAGCACAGAGAACCACAGCAGGGAAACGACAGAGTCTGGTTGGAGGAAGAGGCACTGGGGCCCAGCCAGACAAGTCAATGAAGCCGTCCCCAGAGATTTTGCAGCCCACAGACAGACACCCGCCCAAACCAGTGGTGCAGCTCACAGCATCGCTCCAACTACCCAATGGACTCACTATGGAAGTGCCGATTACCATTGACTCTGGTAGTAACGCAGACTTCATAGGACTGGATTTCATTCAAGAGCACAACATAGCACTCCTGCCAGCCACGCTGCCTCTGAAAGTTGTCACGGTGGATGGCAGGGAATTGCTGGGGGGGCAGGTGGTGCAGCAAACGCCTCCGATGATGATGCAAATTGGGAATCACCGAGAAGTCATCAGCTTCAATGTCACCCAACTGTCGGACACGCCTATAGTATTAGGCATGAGTTGGCTGCACAGGCACAGCCCAGCATTGGCGTGGTACCAGCGACAACTGACCTTCGGCTCCTCATACTGTGCGGAACATTGCATTCTGCCTAGCCCGGAAGGGGAAGAGGATGACCCGCAGCTACAATTAGGCACGCTGCAAGCAGTGCCACTCAAGTACGCAGCGTTTTTGGAGGTTTTCTGCGAGAAGGAAGCGGACAAGCTACCTCCCCACAGGTCCTATGACTGCAAGATTGACCTCCTGCCAGGGGCGACGCTGCCAACCGGGAAACTGTATTCCATGTCTGAAGACGAGCTGCAGGAACTCAGGGAGTTCATAGACCTCAACTTGAAGCGCGGTTTCATCCAGGAGTCGAAGGCAGTGGGGGGCAGTCCTGTATTCTTTGTGAAGAAGAAGGACACGCCCCAAAAAAGGCTTGTGGTGGACTATAGAATTTTGAACTCGAAAACCAAGCCCACAGCCTTTCCCATGCCCAAGATAGATGACCTGCTCGCAACGGTGAGGAAAGGACGCGTTTTCACAAAGTTGGATCTGCGAGGGGCGTACAACCTGATTCGCATACGGGAGGGCGACGAATGGAAGACTGCCATGTTCACGCCCCTGGGCACCTATGAATACAGAGTTATGCCCTTTGGATTACAAAATGGCTCCCACTGTTTTCAAGCCTTCATGCATCACGTATTGGCGGGTCTCCTCTACAAGAAATGCGTCTGCTTCCTGGACGACATCCTGATATTTTCAGAATCAGAGGAGACCCACGAGGGAGACGTCAAGGAAGTTCTGCAGAGACTGCAGGAGCACAGGCTGTACGCCAAGCTGGAGAAGTGCCAGTTCGACATGAAGGAGGTAGATTTCCTGGGCTACAAGTTGTCGGACAAGGGGCTCGCCATGGACAGCGCCAAGGTTCGCTCAGTGTTGGACTGGAAGAGCCCGCGCAATCGGAAGGAGGTCCAGCG